GGTCATCACCAATAAGTTTATTGCATCAGCACCGTCATTTCCAGTTACATTAAGTTGCATTTTTCCCTTCCAGATGGCATCAAGAAATGCGTCGCGAATGATTCTCGACAGGGTATCACCATCAATGACTCTGTCAAATGAACGAATGTTTTTATCAAGGTCATCTTTCAAGAATCTAAGCGGGAAAATCTGGCCATCAACATCGGATATTCCAGTGATAAATTTGCTAATTGCAGTGTCAATATCATTTGATTTCATATATGCATCCAGAATATACGATACGAAACGTGGTCTTCCATGACATAATTCAAAGTCTGAAATTCTTGATACAATAGCATCCAGTTGATCGACTTGATGGTCTTGTAAAAATTGTCTAGCATACTGTTCGACCTCGAGCTTTTTCAGAGGATGGAATTTTGATATAACTACATAATCTGTGACTTGACCATCCTTCATAACACTGGACTCCATTAGCTCTTTGATAGATTCAAAGTTAATACCGGTACCAGACAGTAGGAAATGAGGAAATATTCCCATCATTTTGGAATGGTATACAAATGGAGAGAAGAAAGGACGCAGGTTTTTACTCTCTGGCAGGTAATGTAAACAAAGACCTTCTGCAAGAGCCTGGATTTCATCAATGGCAGTAAAAGGAAATGGGTTTATAATAGCAGTTGGGGAAAGTCCAGGATCTTTTACAAGGATTGTAAAAAGACGCTCAAACAAGTCAAGCCCAAAGAATGCGATAGGATGGAGTTGAGCCAGAAGAATTTGCCAAGGTTCCTTGAATCCCTTGCTTATCAAGTAGTTGCAAACAGAAACCCGAACGAAATACAACAGTTGGATAGCATGCTTAGTGAGTTCAGGTTTACTGTCGCAATACACACGGCATTCATACATGTCTTTAGAACCAAAGTCATCTTGAGAGCTCTTGGAAGTGAAGTAGTACCCAAAGTTTGAATAAAGCAACTCTAGAAGCATCCTTGTTTTTCCTGCACCAGAAACAGCAAGAAACAGTTTGACATTATTGACATCGTCAATCGCATAGCTAGTGCTCCTTCTATCAAGACGATGCTCCAAGCAATTGTCGTGAAATACGGCGTTATTTGGAAACCTTGAGACATTGACAATCTTTTCCAGATGATATATCAAATACTTGAAAGCGTCATTTGGGGTTTGCAATGCCAAATTATTGGCGTCGATGAATTCTTGGTCACTTTTACTCCGTACAAAATTACTCTTGGCCTTGATTATCAGTGGATGGTCGTAGGAACTAACTGGTTCCTGAATGGAGGTCAACAGAGTATTCCCGGAAATGGCTGGACCATCCACCACAAAATGTAGAGTGATTGGCCCATAGTCTTCTGGGATACCAGCAAGCCTTCTAGTTGGTTCGACAACGATGGCTGCAATTAGTTTCGATACATTGTTGAGTGGTCTTTTTCTCTCTAGTTCTCCATCAAAGTGGGTTTCGATTTCCACTGGCTGATTTTCAAGATATTTGATGTATAACTGCTTGTTTTCCATTGCAATTTGAAAGAAAAGAAATATAGTAGAATGAAATAGAATATATAATATAGAATAGAATAGAGTAATAGAATAAAGTGAAACAATGAAATGACAAAAAAAGATCAAAACGTGAATTTGTCTCACATTCAAAACTCGATATCACGTGAACAATGTGAGACAAATTCACACTTTGAATAGTGTTTAAACATTTTTGTGTGAAATTAAAATCAAATTAAACATTTGTCATGTGATTATTTGTATTGTTCAATCGAGTGTCAACTCAACAATTGATTACGTCATTCATATAATGACTCGAGTCTTTTATTCAACATTTTAATATTCAATTATTGTTAATCAGTCAATTGTTGGATTGGTAAATACGCTACAAAACATGCATTTACATGCTGAATCTGACAAGTGAATAATGATTGTTCCAATCAACACATGGATTGGATCGACTGCAATATTGTCATTGATTACAGCCACTGTTGACCAATACACTGTAATACATTGACAGTCTCGATATCAACATTGTCATTCATGTCAAGTTGTGTGTAGTTGCTAATATTACACCACAACAATACTGTTGCTCTTGGACGTATGACAACATATTAATGTAGTATAGTTTTGGAGGAATATCACAAAAGTAAAAGATGAGAATGAAGGAATGAACCAATGAGTTAATTGTGTTGTTTATTGATAAAAGAAAACATTGATCATTTTATAAAGATGTAAATAACGGTTATGCGTATCCGTGAATTAGACGTCATAGCTGAGAAAGTCTCTTGTTATTGCACAAGTGATGGCTGCGATAGACATCGCCTCAAACATATATGCGTCGCGTATGAGTCTCTGAAATATCTCGTTATTTATGATATTTCACATTACCAATGTTTAACAATTCTGACACAGTAATGCGGACTCGTGCACCGAGTTGAGTTGTCCAGCAATCGATTTTGGAAATGTGTTTGATGTGATGGTTTGAGATGGATGCCAAATGACCACGAATGTTACCAATTGTCATGACAGTTGATTGTTGATTCAAAACGTTGTTTATTTGGTATTAATGGTTAGTGTCACTCATTGACCTGTCAGATCAGCAAGTGTTATTTCGGTGAGTTTCGTGTTTATTGTAGTCACATCAACATCAGCAGGTTGCACTACGGATTTGCTTGACAGAGTTGCAGATCCAGTTGGATTGATAGACGAGCAACTGTGCAAACAACTGTGCGAGTTGCAGGATGTTTGAGATCCAACAAAACACTGCTTGCACACAAGTTCACGAATGCAGATTGCCAGACTTGACCACCAACTTGCAGTATAAATTGCGTGTACGACAGTTTAAACGCTTATCCATCAACAATAAACCCACATAATCAGCAAATCATCAACGAGCAGCCAGCTCAGTGGTCGGATTGATGGTTTTTGTTGGAGTTTCTGGATCAAACTTGACCTGATTTGTACCGAGTTGGGTCATGACTACAAGTTTGACAGCAATAGATTGATGTACTAATAATCTGATTGTGTTGTTGATTGTATGGATGTTGGTAATCCGTTGCAGATTGATACGGAATGTGACCAGAATACCACAAAGTTTATTGAGTGTGCACATTGCATTCGATGCAAAACGCAATAAACAAATGCGAGTTGCAGCATTCATTCAAGGTTTGACACCAGTTGATACAGCATTGACCACAATGGTATTTATGTCAACAATTGCACGACTACGGAATAAGTTGATTGTTGCTTGACATTCCGTATCGACAGTCTGCGTGTGTGTGCAACGTGCTGTTGTCGCATATGAACAACTTGGATTGACTTTGTGGACAAAACACAGTCACTGTTGCGGTGGTATTCACAGTCGTGGAAATGGTTTCGAATACCGCAACTGGTATAACAACTGCATGTGTTGGTGAGCAATCAGAGTCCAGTTTGACCAAAATCTGTCACAGTAATGATTGAATGACATTGTCGTGTTTGGTCATCATGACAACAATGACATTGGTTTGGCTCTGCAACTGACCAAATGCGCTAGTCACAGCGGCCAGATCAGTTTTCAAGGATACAACTTGCATGGTGAGGTATTTGACTGTTTGTCGCATCTCGTCCATCAATGTGAAAAAGTCAACGTTTCCAATCGAGTTCATATTACCTCGAGTTGCCCTGCCAGTAGTTTGGATTGGACTGATACCACGCAAATTGTTGGTCTGCGTGTACACTGACAAATCGCTGTTGATCAATCGCATGCACACAGATCCAACTACATATACCAGTCGAGTTGCATCAGACGCAGATGCACTGTCTGGATCAATCGAAAGCACCTTACATTTGTCACGGATGCATTGGGTGGTCGAGTAAACGGTACTGGTTGATTGATACGGTGATCTTGCCATGTTTTCAGCAATCATGAGTTTGGTCCAGTCACCACTGCAGAGACTGCAAACACTGAACAGGATCTGGTTGAGTACCGTGATTGGGTCTTATTTTTGACTGTAATGGATGTTTTGTTATCAATGATTGTTGAACCAGAAACTTGTAACTCGCGCACATACTCACAGAGACTGATAGAATCACTCAGTGATGACATGGGCTGTCACATTCTCAATCTATCAACCTCACCGGGAAGCTTACTGCTTGTGTACATCATCTGGTCAGCCTGTCAAATATAAATGGTTGACACATACCAATAAATAAAACATTAGTCAACCATAACTATACAGTTGTATCAATCCAGCACAGCTTGTGTAATTTCAAGGCTAAACCCAAGATTTATACTAATACAACCAACTTACTTTATACCGAGTTTCAAAAGGCGGTTTGTCACACGCCAAAACCCGTTTAGCATAGCTGTATGACAGCATATATGCTTGAGCATCGGTATAATGCTCAACGGGTCCTGATGAATGGCCAGTCACTGCTGAATCTGGTGCAATGGACTCTGCAGTATATATGGTTGATACTGTAGAGTCACATTGCTTTCCAGACTGCAGTATCATAGCTGCCTCAATCAGGGACGAGACTATAATGTAAATATTTTAAAACAATCAATCCATCAGTCAATATAATCAGTATAGTTACCATCAACACACTACAGCCTAAACAATCCACAATACATGCATTCACACCCAAAACTCGTGAGAAATTGATACAAAAATCACACACTTACTTGGTGAAGTAGGGATTCTTGGATCATTGATTGCACTGATTGGACTGATTGGGCTGGATGTATACATATCAGTATATATGTTTTCCTGATTTGAACTAGTCAATCACAACATTACAAAATTATTCACAAACAACAGTAAAAGTTTAAAGTAGCATTCAACCCATTGTCCCATAAATCAAATTAGGCATCAACCAATTCAATCCCAAATAATAATCAACCAGCACATCATACCAGCCAACACAAATCACAATTGATACACATTGAATGACGTTCAATGACATTAGATAGCATCAAAAACAGTCAAAATCATTACCATCAAAGTCGCGTAGTCGAATCAACAAAATTAAATTCGGCAACGTTTCGAGTCCATCCCAAAATACCGTAAATGCAATCATCAAATCGTAAATAATACACATGCAAGTAAACAGTCATGTTAGCAATGTGCTGTGTAACCAAAATACAATATTCAGATGCACAACTATAATACAAATACTGTACTGCATACCTTTCTGGATTCATGCTTGCTTCGGCAAGGTGTGGTGCATTTTCACAAGTATTGGTTGGTTGGGGAATAGTGTTTTGCACACTACGGCGAGGCTGTCTTGGAGAACCAGCCGATAAGATGTTGAGACGGGACCACAGTGAATTCATTATTGGTATTTGTAGGGTGTCAGGAAATGAAGATGGAAAACGAGTTGATCTCGAAACTTGATAACAATAATATGGGTAGCAGTTGTAATAGTTGCAATAGTTGCTGCAAACTAATACGTTCAAACAAGTAGTGTGTATGACTGTTTAACAAAATACACAAGGGAAGCAATCAGATCTGAGATTTGGATCAATAGGTAGATGGACAAGCGAGTTTTGGATCAATAGGTAGATAGGCAAGTAAGATCTTGATCAACAACTAATAATGGTGTCGGATCTGGACAAACGATGCACTATTTAACTGAAACAATTGACATGCGAATCCCCGACAAGCCAAACTCTCAGCACGTAATAATCAAATACATTGCAAAAACGTCCCGTAATAATCAAACTATCATCAATTAATTCGTTATTTTACCTTGAATCCCAGACTCCGCACGCATCGACCTCGTGGAATCGAGTAACACAAACTAGCTGCATTAATGCATCAACACATAATACTTTGAGTTGATTGGACCATATCATCATCATCCCTCCGACTCTGACGGATCGGGGATCTATGTGCCAGCTTGAAGTGTGTGGGGTGGCTGGGTAGTGCGGTGAACGTTCCCAATAGTCAATCCATGTACGATGGACAATGCGTAATGCTGTGCTGCTGACAACTCCTGCAGCGGTCATGGCTGATGATATTAGATTCGTTTGTACTGCAGTTGATAATGCACAACCATCTCATACAACTATGCCAACCGTATGCTGTAATGTGGTCATGTATTGTATCTGTCTGACTGTCTGACTGTATATGTGATAGGCAGATCTACTCGATTGAATAGTGACCAAGATCCACTCGATTGAATAGTAACCAAACGCACTGCATGTTCATACTTGTAGACGTCTAGTACGACTGTAGTGGTTGATGGTTGTGTATGACTGTAGTGACGAGTCTGTTCACACGATTATTGCATGATACTCCAACTGCATCGAATACAAACTGCTCAAGTAGTCTTGAACGCAGTGACACCCGGTTCAGCTAGTTTACATGAGCAAGTATATCCACACATCTTCCGTATAATCTGTGCAACACATTGATGGTATACACAGATCCAGTCAGTCAATCTACACAAATCTGCACATTTTTACGCGTCTGAACTGCAACTCTTCACTACTACCTAAAATACATTGGTAATGCATACCAGACAAACAAGGTTTCATGCATTGCTAAAATCAAAATAGTACTACTGGATCTAATCAATACACTAGGTTAGTAAATACAACCCACGTAAATGTCTGTTTGGTATTCATTGCATGGATCAAATATACTGAAAATACAAATGTCTGTTATTCTGTTTGACTGGAAAATCAAGCACGCTAATATCAAAGTACTCTCTTCATCTGATATACCCATAACATATATGTCATCAACTCAACACTGGTGATATTATGACATTGGTAGAAACCTGTCCTTTCAACTTACTGCTGATGGATTATCAAATCATTGAATTTTGAACAAATCGTTGGATTTGGTTCAATAGCAAGTCATAGTATACGAACAACCGATGTGTGCATTGTCGACAGTTGAATTGGATATGGAAACGGACCTAGTCACTGTTTTTCTGATAGCTTTGAAAGGCTGGCAACATCAACACTCACCACTGACCAACCTCATGTGCTCCAACTCACTATAAAATGTAGATCTACATATCAAAGAGTATAGTCGACCATGCTTCATTCCAAATACACAACAGTTCAAAGTAGTTTGATGATAGCCAAGTAAAATACAACCCCATATGAACAAGACAGCTTTGTTGGACAGTTACCATTGCCAAGATGATGCAAGACCATAATATTGCCATTTACATTTCTTTAGCCACAACTTGCTGAATTTGGCAACTCGTGCAACCCGCGCAATTTCAAAATCAGATCATTGGATTAAATTGGATTGGATTAAATTGGATTCAACCCAGTATTGGCTTGTTGGGTAGGCTGTTGTATCATTAAAATGTAACTTGACAGTTTCAGAATTCAGTATTGGCCAATTCATACAAATACATTGATGGTTGATATTATCACGAGTCATGTTGTGATAATACCACATGAGATGCAGTCAAACTTCAATTTATTGTCGAATTTTACTTTTGCACATCAATTACCAACCATCATGTTTGGGTGAGTTGGGTTTATGTTCAATCTTATCAACTACTAATATGGAGAAGTTTACCTCAATATTTATCTGTTCAATGCATTCTTGAAAGCCAACTTGACTGTTCAAGTGAATTGAAGCAACTATTCATTACTCAACCTAAACTAAGCTATTTAATCCACAACTAATATATCTTGTATGTACATCTACTAGTGCTCAAGGTGCTTCTCAGTTTGGGGGAGCTTCTACTGCTGCTACACCATTTGGATTAGGTGCTGTTTCTACTCCGGCCTTTCCTGCTGCAACTAAACCTGCTGCATTTGGCTTTGGTATGTCTGCACTACTATTTGAACTTGCTGATATGTCTGTCTGTTACTTTTCCTAATGGAGTTTCTAGCTGCACATCATTAGTAACAACTACAGCAGTACTCATGCTTTTGGAATACTTGATGGTTAAATATTGGTGGCATTTTTTACTACAAATTGATGGCCTCTTCAATAGATACTATCCATCATATGATCTACAAGCTATGATTTTTAACTGGAATTGCCCTCATTTGAAAATCATATATTGTACAATCACCAGATTCACAACAATCCATATATTGGATTCGATTGTTCTGATGTTGTCAACAAAACTTTTATTTAGCATTTCATTTTATATGAATACAGCTGTAACTGCAAGCCATTTCAAATACTGATTTTAAATATATTATTTCATTTTGAATATTAATCCTTTACATTCCAACTATAGGATCATCAGCTCCTACCTCTACTGCGCCATCGTTGTTTGGAGCAGCTCCAGTTCAAACAGCAGCACCATCGTTGTTTGGAGCAGCTCCAGTTCAAACAGCAGCACCATCGTTGTTTGGAGCAGCTCCAGTTCAAACAGCAACACCATCGTTGTTTGGAGCACCCGCAGCGACCATATCCACGGGTATATATTTAAAACCATATCTAAAAATACTCAGTTTGAGGAACATTTTTAAAAGATCTGACGTATATTTAATATATCATATGAATACAAGGATTTGGAAACCCATCTGGTTTAGGTACTGCAACGTTAGTACCAAAAGCTACCACTTCCTCATTACCTATGTTTGGTAATACTGCACCCGCTGCAGCGGGTGGATTTGGTTTATTTGGGCAACCAGCAGTCACAGCCACCCCTGTAGCTTCTGGTCTACAATTAACTGAAAAAACCAAATATTCCGAAGTTCCAGAAAATGTGCGCCAAAAGATTGATGAGATTGAGTAGGTGTAACACAATTGTGAAACTGTACAGACAACGCTTGTGTATATTAATTGTGTGATTTTATTACCTTTTTTGAATTGAAATGCGTTGCTAGACGCTTTATTCAACAGCAAATCCATGCTTCAGATTCAATTGGCATCTCAACGACTGATGGCTCTACCGCGTCAGTCTCTGATGAAGCAGTGTCGATCATGCAGGTAAATATGTATTGCTGTTTTATATTAATATAGCAGAGCAATCAATTCTATATGATGGCTCAAATAACTCATGACTGTGACGTATTTTAGCGACTTGTTGGTGCACGAAATCTGATTGAACGTGACTCGCATGTTTTTGAAAATCTCAAAAAGCAAGTGAGTCAAGAGCATAGAAACATTGATCTTGCATCTCGGTTTATTGAGCGTGCACAGAATGGAGTGCAGGCAAAATTTTCATCACCTCACCAAGACGCCTACTCAAAGTACATACCAATCTTTAGTATTTTTGATTCCCTATACTATTATGTGATGAAACTAGTGTTGACTTGAAATCGTGTGGTGTATTTTCTAGTTATTTTACGACATTTGCAAATGATTTGGAGCAAAGAATGCAGATTTATCGTCAAAACATTGAAGAAATTGAGCTCAATGTACGAAATTTGATGATTTCACCAACAAAATGCACACCACAAGGTATGTTGGTACTGTTATCCAAGTATTGCCTAGAGTAGTTTTCACGTCATCCATTTAATAATTTTACTTTCTCTGAAACTTATACTGATAGTTATTCAGGATATCATTCGAGACCAGTACCAAGGCTTTGTTACTATTGCTGGCAGAGTAGCACAGCTGCATGATCAAATTGACCGTGAATGTAGCAAATTTGCCAAGTTTCAGCAGCGTTATCTTGGCGAATCCAAAGGAGTCCGTGTTTCGACTGATGCATATTCTACACAGTTACAATACCAATCATACCCACAATTGAATCCCGCACAACAAACTCGAGGTGGTATATCAGGATATAATGCGACTGGAAATGAGGCTACCCCACTTGCAGTCATTGCTAGTACTCTTCAGCCTACAGTTCAACAAGGAAATCGACAAGTAGTAGCATCGAATCCAGGAAATCCAGCTCCTAGTATGTTTGGAGGATTTGGTGGTGGTGTGGGAGGATCTACACTTGGACAGCCAAACGGATTAAATGCATTCAGCACGCCAACCACAGTACGTACTATGAGTACAGGACCACAAGTTTTTGGAAAGCGATCCAAAACCTGATAAAATGCCACTAGGTTTAAAAATACAGTTTACAATCTGATGAGTTGATTTAGAGGTTGAACAAGTAGAAAGTGAAATAGAACACGTGACAAGTCATGATTGATTTTGAATTTACACAACTGCAGTTTTAGCGCAGCAATATCTTCCACTACATGACTGATATGACGAATTCATCTGAATCTATTGCTCGTAATATTTTGTCTTTTAGACAGGAAAATGAACTGTATGTATGACACTTGAAATACCGTATCTTGCTAGACATTCACTGCCGACAGTCACTTGTCCATCACTTTATCTTGTTTAGGTGGAAATATACTATCAAGACATTGATTACCATATCTTGTTTCTTATACATCCGATACTATGCAAATCATAGTCTGGATTTCAATCATCATTGGCTTACATTTAACATTTAAACGCATCTACACTACCATTCGTACAAGGCGGTATGCCATATTAGACTATCTGTGGTCGTCTGGAATGAGCAAGTCATTTGAAACATTCCATGCTGAATCGGGTATTAGTCAAGGCAGTGGTTTGCCTTTTGAAACAGATGGAAAACAAAAGTATTCTGGGTTGCTGGCAAAAAAGTGGATTTCAGTAATTCGACTTCAGAAAAAGGTAACCATTTTATAGTAAACTGGCGTTGTATCTAATTCTTGGTTGCATTACGTTTATTCCAAGTATGTAATTTACCCAATGATGATTACGAAGTTGGTATTAAACTTGACGTGAATTGGCCATCATTTGGAGTAGATTATGGATCTAGAGTCACAAATGACACAACTCAAGGCGGATCTTGATATTGCTGCTATGCGTAGACCATCAAATACTACTGCATTATCCAATGGTAAATCTTTAAATTACTTGCCTTGTGCACCTGAAAAACATCGGCTTGCTGGTCATCGAGGAGCCATCACCAAAATTGCATTTCATCCCGTTTACTCCATCATGGCTACTGCAAGTGATGATACCACTGTCAAAATATGGGACTATGAGACTGGTGTGTTTGAACGAACCGTCAAGGGTCATACGAGGGCAGTGAACGATGTCGCATTTCACCCAAATGGCTCTTGCATGTGTAAGTCTTCCAACTCGAGATTTGTTTGAAATAGATACATGGCGTGATTAAGCATTTGGGTTAATTTAAACGAATATATTCAGTGACATGCTCAGCAGATCTATCAATTAAAATGTGGGATATGGAAAATGAATACGAATGTATACGCACACTACATGGTCACGATCATTGCGTTTCAGCAGTTGCTTTCTCTCCCATCGGTGATTTTTTTCTTACTGCTTCAAGGGATAAAACCATTCGTTTGTGGGAAACAGCTACTGGGTAAGATAGTATGATGACAATACATGCACAAAACAACCACTATTTGAGCCAATGTAATTACAACTGTTTATAATTAGATATGCAATTCGGACGATCCAGGGACACGATGATTGGGTGCGGGGTGTTGCTTGGAATTATGATGGTTCCTTGGCAGCAAGTTGTTCCAGCGATCAAGTAGGTCAAATACACGCAGTTTTTGGCTAGTGCTATGATAACTATGATATTGACTTTTGTTTTATCGATCAATGATACAAGTCGATTATTGTATGGGATACATCATCATGGAACCAAATATCCCATTTACACGGCCATTCACATGTAGTGGAATCGGTAGTTTTTTCACCCTTGTCGATTGCATCTGCCATTGATAAACTGGCACTTCAATGCATGGTCAAGGTGCAGCCTAGCACTCATGGAACACACCATTTTGTTGCTTCAGGATCTCGAGACAAGACCATCAAGATGTGGGATGCTATTTCTGGCCAGTGCATATATACCCTTGTATGTTTTTAATTCCTAGTTTCATTGTTTGAATCTATACAAGTGTGCCATGATTATACTAATTTAATATGTTATGATGCGACTTATTTTAGACTGGCCACGAAAATTGGGTTCGAGATTTATCATTTTACGCAAACTCTGCGTATATTCTCAGTGTTTCGGACGACAAATCGTTGCGTGTATGGGATGTTGCGACTGGAAAATCGGTTAAAACGCTTGAATCACATTCTCAGTTTACCACTTGCTGTGCCATTCATCCGTCTGAACGGATTATTGCAACGGGGTCTGTGGATCAGACTTGCAAGCTGTGGATATGTAGTTAGATATCGTTGATTTTATCACGAATGTGGATGGATGTGCAGTATATTACGAATTGAAAAACACTTTGGGAGTTGCAATGCTTACCAAGATTACGAAACTTGGAAATGAAAAAAGACGAGTTTCTATATAGCATAGTTTAATGTTTTTTAGAACATTCTGCATTGGTTTCAAGCCAGTGTAAGGATTCTGATGATGACGATATGAATTGCAACCATTTTATAATCGGAGTTTCAGCTGTAATATTTCTGCAGTATCATGCTGCCACGTGCAGGAAGCGACTGGCTGATATCAAATCTACTAATGAACAAGACTGGTTTGAATCTCCTTGAACAGCAAATAAAGTTTGCATATATCATGTACATTCATTCGTTAAGTAAGACGAACAACATTGCCTCTTCACAGCCATTTACAACAGCAAGCACAAACCTGCATGAACGCGGTCTTGCTGCAGAGCATTCATTAGCACACGGCAGTAGTAGATACACGGCAGGACATCCTTCTTACTGTCATCCACGACATTCGAGTACAACGCATATGGAAACCATTTCATCCATATCTGGTCGACGCTCAATCACACCAACTCCTCATGCTGCACATTCGTCCAACAACCATCATTCAAAAAGCCTATCTCAACTTACCCTACAGCCATCTAGTCATGCTCATCAGACTATACCTATTCAAAAAAAACATATATTTGAGCCTATCGATTCAAATCAATTCAAGTCGGATTTTGAACACAATGATAAAGAGTTGCTGGCTTATATACGTCATTGTCTTGCTCAATCACTCGCTCAAACTCGAGGAAAGTCCAAACCAGACATGAGAGCCGGAAAGACGGATGAAAATTTCCATGTAATTCTTGACTGTGAATGTTGAGCATTGCATACCAGTTTAAATGATGTTTTGTAGTGAGAATCTAGAATTTGGTTTAAATAGCTAGTATTTTCAAGTATTTGTTAACTCGTTGCTTATATACTAAAATGGTCAATCCAGAACTATACATTCGTAAAAAATATCCGTAAACGAGTTGATCATTTTGTAGCATGTATGCTTAATGAGCATCTAAAATCGCAAAGTAAATTATACTAATTTGTAAACTATTCAATCATTCAGATATTGATTCTATTTTTTTGTTTATTTGTATCTGTTACACCAGAAGCATCCTCGCCTGTAGAAAACCTTGTTTTGTCGTTGATGGACAAAATCATCACATCGCAAGAATATGCTCGTCTTGTTCATCAAATCACTCAAGATGCGAAACTCAGTGTAGAGCACCTTCTCGATCATGTTGGTAGCAAAGGATATCTTGAAGATGCGCCTTCAAAAGTATTTCATAGTCAAGACTCGTCATTTTCTGCCCATTCGGCAGCAACATATGAAAGTTCCTCTATCGGATCAATTACTTCTGGCGTATGTCCCGGAGCTGACGAACTAAAACACATGTTTGGACATTTACATCCCGGACAACCTTTCGAGTGCCGTGTTTCTGCTGTCCAAGTGGGTTGTTTTAAGATCTGAGTTGGTGATGATTCATGAACAAAAGTTAATTGGTTGCAAACTTAAATTGAGTATCGTTTAGAGACTGGCATCATTTTCTATTGGAGATATGCTTTCAGACGAGTTTTGGCCTGATGCTAAACGGAATCTTGAACTGAGTTTGGGGGATCCTGATACACGGTATGTGTTTCGTACTAGATGCGTTGCTTGCGTTTCAAACAAATAAGCATACAAATGACAAAAATGGACTATACTACTTATGCTAGAATCACGTTAGTTGTGCTTCGAATCGTTGCACGAGCATTCAAAACTGCTCCAACATATATGATTCCCGAGGTGTACCAGTGTTTGGTTTGGCACCTTGTCCAAACCTTTGAAAATGCCAGTCTTGACAAGATTTCGCTTGGACTGGATATTAGGGATCACCGGATCGAAGTCACATTGAAAAAGGTTGTACATTTTATCCAATCTACACATCGCAGTCTGTATCTACAAACCCACTTCAACCATTTAAAAACCTGGTCATTATGGCTAAATATGAATTTATATTTTCTAGTTTCGACTACTGAATCAGTTCATGATGGAGATACCGTCACTTTGGTTTCGATTTCCCGAACACGTATTCAAAAATGTCATGAATGTAACATTTCGTCTTTTATGCTCTCCTCGAAAATGGGATGCATGCATTACTCCAATGCATTATCTTTCAATCATTGATCCCCATTCAACATGGTTTGAAAAATGGACACTCAGCAATCTCGGTCGAGCACATGTCATTGGCGCAATGTCCCCGTGTGGATGCATATCCGACTTTTCCAATGCATTCATCAACCACATTGTTAATGTGAGCGTATCCGAAAAACAGATGGCTACATCTCATGATGATGAGATTTTGGTTGAAGATGTTGATCAAAACGATGACGGTGATGTCAGATATTTAATCACAAAATCTGATTTGGAATACGTATATTTCTTGCATGTCACAGTGATGCTTTCGCGTTTGAGTCTAAGTACTGCTGGACGACTGCACTTTCCAATTAAAATTGAAGAGTCCGCCATGCTTCGTGCATCTCCCATTGCGCAATTTTTACTTGTTCCAGGTAGATCTTGTTGATTTGAATGCTGTTGCATTGTTGAGTATCATTCAAGTTTATGTTGATACGATCCTATTGGGTTTGAATTATTTGACGTTTATTTTCCATTACTGTAGATGTAGATCCAAATACTTTTACAGAAAAATATGAGCTGTCTCTGAGATCATTTATTTTGATACTGATTCGGCAAATGAGCTCCAATGCAAAACTACTCAATGCAGGCAATTCGACAGCAGAAAACAGCAGTATTGATGTATTCAACATGTCAAAATTTATGTCACGGATTCTCAAAAGTATGGCACTGGCTGATTCGCAATACCGAGAAGAACTCTGCAAGGTAAGCTTGCTACAAACTATACAATACATTGATACGTGGTAAATCTAACCTTGTTAAAAAGGACGATTTTTTAAAGGAGCTGGTTAAACCAATCGAGTTGACAGTTAAAGGACAGACAACATCTTTTGACGAAGCCTCACTTTTAGCAATAGCTGAAACTCTTTCAGATATTGCTGCAACAGACACAGGCAGAAGATTTATTTTACGTGGTCAAGTCAATCTTCATTGTCCACATTACAATGCCATGTCTGCATTTAGTGGCAATAGCATCAATCCAACTCTTGATACGATTGCTACGTTTGTCAAGCACACTCTCACGCATTCAACTCACAATGTGGGTGCATCTCGCCAGGTTCTAGGCAGCTATATATTTTTTTTGCGACAATTTTATCGTTCTTGTGAAGGGCTGTTGTGGCTACAGAAATATAGCCTGCATACTGTTTTGGAACCCATACGTGACAGTGGTGGTATGAGCAAGGAAGACGCTGAGTGGAATATGGTGCTGATGGATAATTTACTGAATTTTGCCGCGACACCCAAAGGAGTACTGCTACTTCAGCAAACTGGATCCATGGAGCCTTGTGTTGCATACATGTTTCAAAGGTAAATTTGATTTTTTGTAAATGTTGAAGCACTTTGGTTAATCCTGACTGATGCCATCACAACTACTGTTTTTGAATTGAATCGCAGATATCAAAAAAAACTCAAGGTCAGCAAGTCCGAAAAATTTGGATATGGAACCCTTGTATCGCAAGTATCGACCACATCAGCTGGAATGGAAGCTCTATGCAAAGCAGGACTTGTTGGTTCATTTATTCGAGATGTATGGTCCTTATTATCTGGCGATCGACCTTTTGGCGCGCCTAATTTGGAAATAGACGATCACAGTGCAATCAAAACAGTTTCAAACGTGCTAAAAGTGTTTACAAGCTTTACTGCATTGTCAACTTGCCTTTGCATTGAAAGTGATAACAGCGTTGTACCCAACACGTTTACTTATTTGATACGAAAACTGGTGCTATTGGACACTGATGTGGACAATGATTGGCTTGTATCGTACGAAGACTCGCATCAGGTATTAGTGTTGATATTAAACTGCATTTTTTCATAGTACTGCAATGCCGTGCTAATTTCAATGGGATTATCATTACAAATGGCTTTGACAGATTGGATTGAGGATTTTGAGGCTTGTGACATCATCTCTTGACTCGCTTATACTATTGGAGTCTACATTCAAATATATTGATTTTTTTTGGAAACTTCAAGACGACTCGTTCATTTGTACAGGTATGTTTTAAACCATTTTGATACATGTTGCATTTTAAATTGTCTGAGATATATATTTTTATTTGTTCATGTAGTTGATGGAAAAGATGCATCAACTTTTGTTATTGATGAAAACTCGCTGTTAAGAAACTACATCCTATCCATGTCGCTTAGTGTTGGCGGAGCAGGAGAACGGCATCCGCCTCCAACTATGATCCCAATAGTCACAACTCTTTTAAATACCTCCAATATAGTTGTTATGAGAGATAGAGTGATTCCCGAATCTATTCTTCCTACTTTGGATAAACAGGCTTATACGAATATTTCTGGCAGGTAATTACGCGTTCATTATATTTTACTTGGTTTAAAGTCATCAACCCACTTGATCCATGTAGGTTGACATGCATTTGATATATAGCGAAAATGCAAAACTATGCAGGGTTTTTTCCGATGCGGACAAGTTGACAGACTCGACGAATGCTGATTTGTGGATTAATGATCTTCAAAATATCATTACTTTGTGTATATCGCACAATCTGACTCATTCCATTCCGTTTTCACTCTGCAGTCAACTTTTTACTGTGCTGGCTAGTGTGCTTCCAAAATGTAGTGATGAAATTTTGTCTACAATGGGATGGAATGCAGTACAGCCCTGTACGCGCCATCCATCTGCATCCCAATCCGCAGATAACGAGCCCAAGGTATGTTTGTGTTATCTTGTAAATCACATTTGATTTATGCATATATATTTTAAACTCGACTATTTTGCCTAGTTTTATCCTACCTGCAAGCTTGGAGTAAAAATGGTAGCAAATTATGCTTCCAGATTACTATCGCAAGATTCCAAAATTCTTGCTAAAAGCATTGAGGAGTTTTACAGATCTATCAAGCGAAACCACTATATATTTGAACCACCAAAGAGAAAATTCACAGGCTTTGATTGGTTTATTGCAACTCTGTATATAATGACACATGGCGACGGTGAAGCAGTACAAGCGTTTTTGGACTTTTTCTCATTCCGCATGCTTTCATTATTCATGTGGTCGCGACCATTAGAGTTTTTCTCCAAAGATACTCTAGGTTTAAAGTCGACGATGGAGTTGCTAAGGCTTACCTCGTGCCATTTGGTTGAATATATATTATCCGATGAGTTGCCAATGATATCTTCAGCATTTATGCTGAGTGGATGTACTCCCACACAGGTGTGTATGCATGTAGATGAACGTGATATCAAAATGATGAATTCAATTACCAAAACTAAACTTTCTGCACACAACTTTGCATCTACAGATGTGCCAACGATGGTTTCGTGAATGTTTCTGGACAATCCTTCCATTCAGTGAGATTACCAATTACATTACAATTAGTCTAGTATTTGGAATCGACTACCATATCTACTTTGCCATTGCACTGATCCGTCATGTACGCGAACAGATTCTGGTTGCTACACGAGACCATACACTGATTGAGTTTATGAATGATGGACAGCAGATTGGAAAGGGATTTATGGTTTGTGAATGCATGGAATACATGCATGCGTTGCGAGATCGACATCGAGGGCTTGTATTGGCAGAACTTAAGCTGGCTTGTGGTGCCGACAGATTGTAGTCATATCAATAGAATGAAGATTCTAGAACAAGTTGTTTTATAAATGCAGTCTAGTTTAACAGTGTTTTAATGAGTTTTGACATGCTTGCAGATGGAATAAGTTGGACTGTTGAGCGGAATTCATGGTTTATCCAGTCTTTCAAAGTGTTTAGGCTGAATCATGGCTGGGAATGCAAGAGACTCTGCACGAAGCAGTCTCAAGTCTGCAAGCAGCAACATTGTGTCAACTGGAGCTACTCAGTTTGTCAAGGAATCATTCAGACAACTCAACAAGCGAGCTGATGTTCATGTGGATTCGACTGTACCAATTAAAGCAAGTTGTTGTGTCAATTGGCTTGATTCTAGTTGTTTGAATGGAATAAACTTGTACTGTCTTATAAACTAACTTCAAATTCAATTCTACAACAGAGATATGTCCAGTAAGTTGGGCATGGTTTGGCATGGAATTGGCTTCAATTTGTCGGTTGTTTTTACTGTCGCATTCATGTAAAACACTCCATTTTCATGTCTTGCAATAGTCGTCGCTTGCTCTGGACATACACTATTTGCTTCATTTTTAAAAATCGTCTTGTTTTTTATGCACTTTACTCATCATATAATACAAACTATAATCTTGAACTGAAATAGTCTTGATTGACATAGTCGTACATTAACAACACCAGATTCATTCATTTTAATCCAGATATTGGATTCTGGTGTTGTTAATGTAACTCTTATTCCAAAATCTCAAATACACTCGCGATCTAGTTCAACAATTGTTTTCATGCCAATCACAATGACATTATGTTTGAGTGAAACCGACTGTTATGCACTTTGATTCAGTATTCCATGTTTGTACATACGACTGATGGATTCATTCAAATCAACTAAAATTTTAAATATACTTTATCTGATCAACATTGATTAGGTCTGCACCTAATATCTGGAGACAGGTTAGTGGCATTTGAGCATGAACTGTATTCAGTATTAACTGGTATAATGTAAATGTGACCAACATGAGTTTGTTGACTTGTCATTCTACTCTAGGCGATTTCATACGAAAAAGAAAATGATTTGGTTCAGACATATATTATGTTTATGCGATACACAGTGTAGGTTGAATCGAATAATGTTCGACTAAATCTACTAATTAAGATTGAAGCTAATCTAAACGGAATGTGCACATTGCAGACTCGGAGTTACAGAGCTTAAAAAACATCCAGATTACAAGTCACCTGCTGTTCAAGGGGACATTCAAAAGATTCAAATGGTACGATGGAATAATTAAACAATATGCAAAATATAATCGAACTGACTTTTTAGCATGATATACTTTGGATTTGATATGTTTAGAATTGTGCCATGGCTATTACAAAACTGGAGCGAATTCGTCCACTTCTTGAAAAACGGTATTCAGCGATCGAGCAAGCAAACATAATAGAAATGGACCGGCGAAAGCGTGAGTATGCAGCAAGAGTCGAGGCAGCACAGATTGCTTTGAATGCAGAGAAAATGAAAGCAAATCAGCACTCTGACATGAGTGTACATACCGAAAGGGTGTCTAGCGGATCTGCTATGGAGGGTCAACTCTATGATGATGAATGGTGGCGTATGGAATCTGGATCAAAGAGTGATGGTCAATCCATGACAAAATCTATTCAGTCGGAATTACCAGCAGCTATGCCCACATACTCACTTCCTGTGCAGGTACATTATTATTTCACAAGCCACTTGATTGATTTTTGTGAATTGACTGGATTTTACATTGTTTGATAGTCTACATCAAACATTTCAGCATCACTACCTCCACCTATACCATTCAAGCCAAGCAATGCAATGTCTGCTCTTCTTGGACCTGAACCTTCATACGAATCATTGACATCTCCTACTTGTAAGTTAATTTTACCTGTTGAGGTGTTAATTTTGATACGTTTTAATGATTAGTACTGACACGATTTGTCAATATTCTAAATTAGACAAGACTATTTTTGACGATTCTCTTGAAGGAAAGTTACGAAAAATGCATCTTCCACGCAGACTGATGCAAGAGTTTTTGAAACGAGCGCAACCCAATACCAGTCGCAATCTAGAAACGTGTGGTATTCTTTGCGGAAGACTTCAAAAGAACGAATTTACAATCACCAACTTGGTGATTCCCAAACAAACTGCCACGTCAGATACATGTTCCACGACAAACGAAGAAGATTTGATTGAGTTTCAAGATAAAAGAGATCTGATTACTCTAGGATGGATTCATACACATCCCAGTCAGAGTTGTTTTTTGAGTTCGGTAGATCTTCACACGCACTGTTCATACCAGTTGAGTTGATGACACAAGATTGAGCCTTTTATTGAGTACTAACACATGAATATGTGTAGATTGATGTTACCAGAAGCCATAGCAATAGTGATGGCACCCTCCAAGACTCCATCACAGGGAATATTTCGTTTAACCGATCCACCAGGAATTGATGTGGTAACAGCGTGTCGCGATCCACAAATGTTTCATTTGCATGAGGGATACGAAGGACAACTGTATGAATCAACAGAAAAAGGACATGTTTATGTTTCTGATGAGATGATGCTGGACATAACAGACATGCGAGTATAAATCACAATAAAATGAATTGTCGATAGTAAGATTTCCTGAGGACGAGTAGTGTAAAAATTTGGTGATGAAGCCGATCAGCAGTTAACATTACATTGGAATCATGCCGTATCTGGCATCCATGCGCTACCTCGCATTCACTGCAAGGAAACCGTCATTAATACAGCCACTGTTTTGTTCGTCAATACTTTTACATGTTCGTAGTTTTACTTCAAAAAAACTGTTTCAACTGGAATCAGAATGCCTGGAACTTGGAAACCGATCGGATCCTACAAAACAGAGAGAGTTGTACAAGGCTTTGTACAAGTCTGGCAGCAACTCCACTCTTATTTCTCGGTTTGAAATGCAGCCTCAGCTGATGCCAGTGTCAACTAAATATTCAGCTGCTATGAGGGCTGAAGATGCTCGAAGAATTCAACAAGATCCAGAATCTCTGAGTGTTTATATTGCAGCACTTGCAAAAGAACGGAAACTGGACCGACTTGTTGATTATATTGCTCCGTTGGTATCTGGTGCTTCCCTTGATGGGGATGTTGCTCCATTTACTCCAGGCTCTAGAGCATCCATGGAAAACATGGAATCCTCATCCAGGAATATGCAATCCTTTGGTGGTGCATCGGCTTCAGGATTTATTACTCCTGGTAGAGAGCATACTGTTCATACTAATGTTTCTCAATGGGAAAGTGCTTTGGGTTCAAATCCTATTCATCAGCAGCAATCTTTGTATTCGCGACCTGCTGCTCCTGGAAAGACTGAACCCTTTTCAGCCCTGCGTCGCTCCATTGGTTTGGGTAAAAATTCTTCCTATCCAAACAGTCAACCTATTCAGGTTGTCATCAGCGAGGCTTGGTCTTGGAGTAAACTTGCTCGAAAACTGGGATCTCGTCTTTTGCTTGGTATCTTGCTCATGACAGGTCTTTCTGTGATTCTTGATCAGCAAGGTATTATGAAATCTGGCATGGCTTCTGGGGAAGTTGAACCTACAGTTCAAACTCAGACGATTAAATTTGCCGATGTACAGGGAGTAGATGAAGCAAAACAAGAACTGGAAGAGATTGTTCAGTTTTTGAAAGAACCACTCAAGTTTATGGAACTTGGAGGTAAACTACCCAAAGGTGTGCTTCTTTATGGTCCTCCTGGAACTGGAAAAACTCATCTTGCTCGTGCCATTGCTGGAGAAGCTGGTGTTCCTTTTTTCCAAATGAGCGGATCTGAGTTTGACGAACTGTATGTTGGCGTTGGTGCTCGTCGTGTTCGAGAACTGTTTGCTGCTGCAAAAAAACGTGCACCGTGTATTGTGTTTATTGATGAGTTGGATGCTGTAGGTTCAAAGCGATCTACAAAAGATCAAAGCTATATGCGTCAAACACTAAACCAGTTGCTTGTAGAGTTGGATGGATTTTCTCCTACTGAGGGTGTTATTTTAATTGCTGCAACAAATACTCCCGATTCTCTTGACAAGGCACTTGTTCGTCCTGGACGATTTGATCGTTTGGTGCCTGTTCCACTTCCTGATGTCAAGGGTCGAACACAGATTCTCAAGGTACATATGCGTGGTGTTCAAATGGATCGTGGTGTCGATGCCAGCATTATTGCTCGTGGAACCCCTGGGTTTTCTGGTGCTGATCTTGCCAATATTATCAATCACGCAGCCATCAAGGCATCAAAAGACAGTTCAAAGTATGTCACCATGGCTGATTTGGAGTGGGCTAAAGACAAGATTATTATGGGTTCAGAAAGAAAATCTGCAGTCATTACCGACGAAAGCAAAAAGTTGACTGCTTACCACGAAGGTGGGCATACTCTTGCTGCTCTATATACTGAGGGTGCCATGCCACTTCACAAAGTCACTGTGATTCCTCGTGGAAATGCTCTTGGAGTCACTGTGCAGCTCCCCGAAGGTGATCGAAACTCCCAAACAAAACGGGAACTGATTGCAATGCTGGATGTCTGTATGGGTGGCCGTGTAGCCGAAGAATTGATCTATGGAGGAGACTACGTAACTACTGGCGCATCAAGCGATCTTCAAAAGGCAACAAGTGTAGCACGACAAATGGTGCTTTCGTATGGTATGAGCAAGCAAGTTGGTCTACAGAGCTTCGATAATGAAAGTTTTGAGCAAGCAAGTTCCCAAACGCGTGCGACTGTTGAAGCAGAAGTAAAGCTTTTGTTGGACTCCTCTTATGCACGCACGTTGGAGCTATTACAGAATCATAGTGAGGAACTGCATCGTCTTGCACAGGCTTTGATTGATTATGAAACGTTGACACAGGAAGAAGTCAAGATTGTTATTAAAGGTATGTTGTATTGTCAATCTACTTTGAATCAATGTAAACATGATGCTAACCACTGCTTGGTTTATCTGAATATTTTTGCAACCATCTTGAAACTAGGTGGTAATCTCGGGAAAAAATTCTAATAAAAACTAAATACTGGATCAATAATATATCATCTCTAGCTTGCATTGCAGCTGTTTATCTTCAACTAGTACTCGTGCTTTTAAATGCTCATTTTATATAATTCTCTCCACTCATAATCAGGCAAAAAGGTAATGCTAGCCGCCCATCATTCTTCCGTATGCTAAAAACCAACAGAGATGATGAATTGTACAATGGTGCTATTCTTTTATTCAAATTTGACGAGATGGCTACTATCTATATGATTTCCTATGTTTCCCATGGTTTAATATGCAGACCAAAAGTTAAATGTGACATTCAACAAACGTTACAAGATGCACATTGATAAACACGTGTTTAAACTTACTTTAAAGTGGATGCAGCAGGTAGCTCTGGTACACGCTCATTAGGGGTTTGTCTGGAAATGGGTCGGCTAGCAGGGTTCACTTTGATTTGAACTTTTGGTAGCGTTACACCGCCAGAATGCACTGATGTGCCCACTTTTGACAAATTAACTGGAATTGAAGCAGCTACCATTAGCTCATGCTCGAGATTTTTTAACTCGCCACTGAATGACTTTCTGGGTGTGGATGGATTAAGAAGTAATGAACCTTTGGGTGAATAATCATCGATGTGGTCACCACTGCTTGCCAAACTTTTTTTGGTGGGTTTAGAAGGCTTGGTGGTGTTTCCTACACTTTTTCTTACACAAGCCAAATCTATAGATGATGATGGGTTGCCTTTGTTTGATATGGATGATGGGAGAGGTGTAGATCCATACACCTGGGAAAACTGAGCAGCGTGTAAAAATGATTTGGATGATGAGGGTGATGAATTGGTGGGTGTATTGCCTAATGTTATTGGCGAATTTAATGAATCGTGGGTGCTTGAGCTTGCAGTGACATTGGTTCGTACGAGTGGTGGAGCTGCTGTAGATCCAACAGCGCGTCGGCGAACTGAAAACCCAATCGATTTCCCAGATGCATTGGCATTTGCTGAGCCAGACCCACTGGTACCGAGTCCAGACCCACTGCTTGATGACAATAAATTTCCTCCGGCTCCATTTGTATCAAACCCGCTTTTGGTCTTGCTGCCATGAGCTGATGATATACTTTTTTTACCAAGATCTTTATCACCGAATCGACGATGAAAATCCAATCGTGCTTCATGAAGCTCACGCCGTTTTACTGTCCAATCGGTTCCCATTTGCTCAAACGAAAGCCTTGTTTCTTCTTCCTCTTTCATTTTATCTGCTTCTTCGGATGTCATACCAAGCATGTCGTCACTATGAAGCAAATAACCGTCGGTAATACTTTCGTTTGAGTTTGTGCGAGCATTCTTTAATGTCAAAGTAGGCGTACCATAGCTGTTTGATTTCGTACCACCGATTTCAGAGCGGTCGGTTTGCTTATCCGAGTGAATACCCAAAGAGCCGATCCCAAACAAGGCATCATCATCAGTAGATTTTGTATGTTTACTGCTAGTTCTAATCCCCATACCACAAGAATCATTTATAGTTTTATCGGTATATCCATTGCCATCAAGTGGGCCATACTTGGAAATCAATTGGTTCATGGCAAGCATAATATCACTGTCAGAATCACGAGTAATCAATGGCTCAGTTGCGTCCACCAATTTTTGTAAAATAAGTGAATCCACTCCCGTTCGTAGAGTTGCTCTCACAATCGGTAAAAGCTGAACAAATCTCAATCGAATGTTGGCCACGGGATCTCTTAGAACACCCAAAAAGTGATGAAACATATGATCACGGAAAAACTTTCGAGAAAATACTTGCAAAATAGATTCACATGTATCAAGAAACATCATACGATGATGGCAGCTTCGGTCTTCTTTTAAATCAATGAGTTGGCGAAGAATGTGTTCGCGATGGTCCAGACGCTTCAACTTTCGAAGAAAGTGAACCAGGGTTTGAATTGCAATGTGTTTTATCGGTATAGCAGAGCTTTCTGCTAATAGTTTAAATAATGATGGAATGCATGTTTCAAAAATAAGGTCCGAGTCGAAATAATCGGGAAAGATTCGGTATATTGCGAGTATGTCATGGTGCGTTCTCCATGTAAGAAAATGATTTTCTGCATGAGTTTTTTCGTGTTGCATAATTGTTATGAAAATATCGTCCATTTGATTCGGCTAATAGTTTATATATTTGATTAGATTGGGTACTCTACATGACTTTTGAAAATACAATCAACTTGAGCAAGTCATACCCCTCTTGCAGCTTCATCTTGGATATATACTTTGAGAATTGCTTCTAAATTCGGTAAAATGGCCTGAACAACTTGAATGCAATCTGTTGTCAGCAATTTCACTAGCCAATTTTTGGTCAATTTGAATGCGGATACCCCGAGCTGATTGACAATCTAAACATACAAATGGTTTCAGCCAAATGGCGTTACAACATTCGTCTGACTACTCAACATTACCTCGTGGAATCCTTGCGCGACAGTAACCCGTACAGTCGAACTTGTATCAGAAGCCAAAGCAGCCAAAACCTTGTCGAGTTTTAATGCTTCAAAGTACTGTGGCTTGTATAGCGTAATCATTCCAGGAAAATTATAGGCACACATGTGTCGGATGGCTTCATTATCGGCTGCAAGAGGAATCAACGACTGGTAAAACATCAGAAAATATTTTTTGTCCGACTCGCTCATATCCACTTTGTACAATAATCAAGACAGATGAATCAGCAAATTGAGAATGTGAGCTATCGTGGACAAAGTGTAAACTCTAAACCACGACACCAGTCGACTCAAAACATACCCCGAGTCATCCATAAAAAAGCTCCTAAATGTTTGACAATGGAAACCATGATCCCTTGTGGTCGTTCATCGCACAATCTACGCCAAAGCGGTATAATGGACACCAATTTGGTGTCGGCATCCAACACCTCGAGCAGTTCCATCAGATTATCCATTGCAGCTTTGCGTACAACACATTCTTCATCCATTACTAATTCAAGATATTCGGGTATCAGCTCTGTTTTGGTGAGCTTTGGTCTAGATATTGGATAAACAAGTCTTGCGTTAACTGGATTGGATAATAATGCAGTTTGAGATATTTTTCAAAAAGTTAAATGATACCCCAATGCTTTGGCGATCATGGTGAGTTGATTACACATGGATGTACGAACATCATAGTCGGTGTCTTGACATAAACTAAGTACTTTTTTAAGAAACAATTCTTCGATTCTATTTGAAAATACATTTGTGTGTAAGATAATATGCTAAAAAATGATTTCATTGTATAACTTGATAAATGGCGAGTCGACGTACCTTTTACCATCCAGTCGCATTGCAATTGCACCGAGAACTCGACCACACCAAATACGAAATGGTGCTGGTTGAGCTAATCCGCCGTCTACAAGCGCTTCTGGCAATATCTGTGGTTTTTAGTGAAATTCAAAGAACATTAGTCGACTGTTTTTGTCGAGTACTAAAATTCGAGTTAGCAAGCCGATAGGCTCAACAACTAACCTGTTGAGTGATTGTATCGATAGGAATATACTTGATACACGATATAAACACATTGGACCATATATTAGCCGCATCTAGTGTCAAGTTGATAATTGAAAATTAGTATTGTCCTGTTTGCAAGTCTTAAACCCATATATACATCAACTTGCTAAAATCACCACCTTCATCCTTGCCATCTATAAACTTGCGTGAAAGCAGCACAATTAATTGGACAGTTTTTGCTGGCAATAACGATTGAGTTAAAATATCTACCATGCATTTCCCCAATGCTCGTTGGAATACAGGCGGTTCCAAAACCACAATTTCCTACACATTAAAGCATGCATTATTTAGAAAACATTGAATCTTTGGGTAAAATCAAGTCAAGAGTTACCAGGAGTATAGGAAGAATTGTTGCACGAAAGTCGTCATTAAATTCTACAACCAGTCTATTCACACTATTGATGACACTGAGTTTTTGTACGCTTGTTCCGTTCCTAACCTCGTATATTATGTTGAGCATACACGCAAAAAACAATCCATGTTGGTGATATTTGAATTGTGCTTGAATTGATATTAAATTTAGTATAGATTACCTTAGAAGCCAGACTGCTCGATCTACTTCAGATAATGATTCTTCGACTATAAGTTTTTCAATTTCCTCATTCGACTGATGTATAGTGGAATACGAGTTGTATGTTCATTGAGTATGTATTCAGAGTTTCAAGTGTCATTCCGACGTTTGATTGAATAGGTGATGGAAATGAGTCGAGCCATTGCATTTTATGATACATTGCCGTTTTTATATCCGTGGTTTCATAAAAATATAGGAATAGATGTGCAGGAAATGGTTATATATAAATGGGTTAGTGTATGTACTCATTGGGATAATCCACTATAATCTTTATAGTGATGTTCTTGAATGTGTTGTTGATTCGGCATTGACAGACATGCTTTTATGAATCCACAATAGCAAGTATATGGACCACAAATCGGCTCAATACACTGTATTGCTAATACCCAACTTGAATGGGTTCAATACACATCCATTGGAATAGTCTAATTCATCGAGTCGCGTTATAAGAATATCATAACTGATGATGCATGTCAAAGCATGATATACATATGGTTTTGGCGCACCTTGTATAGCCTGCTAGATAAGCTAACTTCATCTTTTCCTTTGATTTCGTCGTCAATGGAGGCTTCTTCTGCACCCATCATCATGGACTCCCATTCTAGCTCCTCAGCCATATTATGAAGCTATTGGGAAGATTACGACGTGATGCGTGTTTGTGTAGACTGTTGACAGAGTTGCAAGTTGAAAAACGATGAATAAAAGTTGAATTTATCAGTCGTATTCACGTCAAATGAAATACTGAACAGAGGTGCATAAGAGTCAGTTTCACAACATGATGAGTATCAGTTGACTGGACAGTTTGTATCATGAACCTTTTATTGACTGGTCTGTTTTCATTCTTGTATTAAACAACTGAATGTTTACATCAAGGGTTTAGTATATCGCATTTGTTTGATCTTCAATTCTTCAAATCAAATTTATGACATTGTGGTTGGCATGGAAACCGATATGTTGACAAGGTAATGATTTCATTCATACAAAAACATAATACTCGATTTTATTTAAATCCAAACCATCCTTTTTTTGATTTAAGTTTATCTGATACACCCTCACGAGATCCACCTGCAGAGTCGCGTGAGGAATCACCCAAAGGAATAGGATCATTAGAGTATCCGCGACTTTGAGATCGGCTACTATTTGGACTACTAGAACCAGTACTACGTCCATATTGTCCACGACTGGTTTGAGGAGAATCGCGTGATGAAGCGCTGTTTGAGGAGCGACTTTGACCACTGATCCCCATACGGCCCATTTGTGCATCTAGCCGATCTTGCGACATACTACCATTACCTTGTCTAGAGTTGTCTGATGATATGGGATAACGACCAGGACGACCTGATCCACCGGGAATATTATCCATTGATCTGGATTCATATTGACCATTTCGCTGTGGCATGCCTCTTTCTCCTGTATACTGTTGCGGAGGTGGTGCTTGTGGAGTAGTATCTCTGCCAGTACGACTCCATGTTGGAGCAGTTCGCTGTTGTTGAGGAGGCGGTGATCTAAAATCATCTTGTGGAGGTGAACGAGAATTCAAACCTTCTGCACTATTGCCACGAAATCCGCTACGTGAATCACCTCGTGGGTCATTCCTTGGATCACCTCGTGAACCATTTCGTGGGTCATTTCGTGGATCACCCCGAGGATCACCTCGTGAGCCGCTCCGTGGGTCACCTCGAGGATCACCTCGTGGGTCATTCCGTGGGTCACCTCGTGGATCACCTCGTGGGTCATAGTTTTGTGCAGCACGAGGGTCAGAACGAGGCGAAGGATTTTTTCTAGAACGAGGATCATCTCTTGGATCGGATGGTCTTCCATTTCGAGGTGATGCACCTCTTGGACTACCACCACGAGAATCTCCACGCATGTATGCCTCTTTCGGTCCGCCTTGAGATCTAGAAGATCTCTGGTCAGCAGGAGGTGGTGGAAGGGGTCGATGAAACGTCATAAACCGAGAAGCAGCACCCTGTCCTCGATGCAGATCCTTCAAAGCCTCAACAAACCCGTCGGGTTGCCACACATGTGTTGATCCTATGACAATATCTCGACGTAGATCTTTTTTAGCTTCAAATACTGCTCGCATTTCAGAGTAGGTGATACCACCAATAACAAAAAGAATCACTCTGGGTCCATTTTCTCGAAAATCCTCCTCGGCTTTGGATGAAGCCGATGTAGCAGCTACAGAAGTGATGTTTGTAACCGAGCCACCACTTGTTTTTCGAGTAGCCCATGATGGCTTTTTGCGGTATGTAGGTGAAATGGCGCTCTCAAAGGATGGATCAGACCAGGTACTGGGTCGGTCGCCATATTCGCCAACCGGTGGATCTTTGATCCAGGGAAATACATGCTGATCAACTGCATTCTTGCATTGGTCTTCAGCAATATATTTCAGCATGGGGGTATATCGACTGTTTTCAAACTTGAATACTTTATCTTTGCTACGCTTGACAGTTTCGGCATATACATACGGGTTCTGTCGAGCATGCCAGTATCATTATTGAATTAGTGTTGAAGCGTATGCATTCGAGGATATAAACTCCACAATTCATAGTCAAAATGAGCCATTCAAGTCATCAATATACCTTGGATTCGACTTTTTTCTTATCCAAACTTGGACTCAAACGCACACTCAGCAAAGACAGATTGGTGAGCGCCTGCGACTCTTCGACAGTCAAAGCTCCGCGTTCTAAAAATCGCTGTCTGTCGGAATCTTGCACACCTCCCTGAGAGATAATAGCCAACATGATCAATCGAATCTTATCCAAATGCCTAGAATAATATGTTGCGAGAATAAAAATCATGTGTATCAATAGGTGTAAAAGGCATCAAGGGTCAATTCAGCACTTTAATTGCCTACTGAATAGAAGAGTCTTCCAAAATACGAAATACGTCAGAAAGTAGTAGTCGAGTTTTGGATGCATCAGTAGGATCAGCCATGACCAAGTTTTGTTCTACTTCAGAAATCTTTTCCAACATCCGTTCCTTATAACGGTTCATAACATCTTCGCACATGAATGTATGTAGCGCATATTTGGCCTTCATGTCTTGATAAACACCAAGTGAGCCCATGGCGTCCTTGAGATCTTGAATCTTGTCAGAATTCTCGCTATATAGTTGGTGCACAAGGTGAGTAAAGTATGGCAGATGGCTTGTAACTTTGAAATCAATTTAAACGTACCCGCCACCCTTTTCCAACTCCCATTTTGCAGCCTTATTTTCAGAAGTAAATCGTTTGAATAGTTCAGGGAGGTAACTAAGCACTTCAGCAATATGCCATGTACGAACTTCAGCCCAAATTGGGTCAGATTCATCTACAATGGTTTCACTGCCATCACGTCGATCTCTAACATTTTAAAATTGATGAGTGATGTGTATAACAATGGACAATAAGTTGAGCTAAAACATACTTGTATTTTCCAGTTTCAAGACCGATAAGATCGCCCACAACAGCTTGATATGAAAACTCGTGTAAAAGAGGTGAAATCATGTCAATGGATCGATCAGTAATGATCAAAACAGGACGTTTGAAGGTTGACTGAGGCGGGAAAGACGGGTCGTGACGACACAGTTTATCCAGTTCCTCTTGAACTTGTACGGCAAGATCCTGTGATAAAGACTTTTGTGGGGCAGTAGAGAAAGGCACAGGTCTAGTGTGATAGCGAATGTATGGATATTCACCGAGAGTGGCGAGTACGGATACAATCTATAAAATCCAAATGGTTGGCCAAGATGATAGCAAAGATGAATGAATTGAAAGACTTACTCGTTTGGCAATATGATCCAGTTCGTATTTCAACAATGATGGTGCATGTGGATTGAACAAGGTATACCACGAATCCGGATAGTCAAATATAAAGCTCTGTGAATCTGGCGCTGTAAAACATGATTTTTCAAAGAAATTGAATGAATTTGGAGTAGGTTTTGATGAAGATGAAAGAAGAGCGAATCTAAACGATCGACATACCAAAGAAGTCGATATTGAGTTCCTTGCAAGTACGAAGATGGTTGATTGCAGGAGAGTGTTGAATACGTTCAAACAATTGATCGGATAAAGCAGAAGTTGTAAAAACATGGGCAGCAGCATATGGAGGACGAGTTTTAGAATAATCATCAATGACCGCACGAACACTGTCCAAAGTAGGGGATATAAAATAAATGGCTTCTTTGTCAGGATGAGCCTGTCGCTTATTGGAAAGGCCTTCGACCACTGTAATACAAACCATTAGATTTCCAAGAGTTGAATGACAACAGACAGTATCGTCTGCTGTTGGCATCAATTCCAGTTGAATCCAGACAAGACTGATATCATCACATACCAGAAATGTTTTCTGAGAGCACATCAGGCATCTTGCAGCAAGAGTTGAGTAGACGCAATGCATAAGCATCGACTACTAGAATCTTCCATCTGGAAGGTGGATTAACAGCTCTGAGCATATCATTGATGATTCCTATCGATAGAAACAAGTTTTAGTATCAAAACTCATCATTCCAAGTGACATGACATACTTTTCTTGAGTGTTTCTCTCAGGGACGGCATTCTTGGTCAAACACTTGCTAATTGAGTTGAATTCTGATTTTACTTTTGTATTCGTTTTATTCAAGATGGTCAATTGATTTTAATGGATTTTAAATATAAAATGAACAATAGATTGATTCATTACTCAAGTTTTCAATTTTATTTTGAAAAATACATCAAATGGATGACTTGGATTTGGATACATTTCTGAGATTAGAAGTAAGTTTGACTGTCTTTAATCCTATGTTGTGTCTTGAATATTCTTACATATAACCTTGTCTAGTCAAATGACTTTAATCAACGTAAAGAAGTCGAAAGAATTCTTGCATTGCATGCTGCATCAACTACAATCGAACCAGTCGACGGTGAAGCATTCCTTAGTTCAGTCAATCCAATAGAACTTTTAGACCTTCCGTTAACCATCTATGTAACCTGCGATATTCAAGACAGATCTATCAAACTTCAGTATCGTAAACGCTCGTTGCTTGTTCATCCTGACAAGTGTACTCATCCTCGAGCTCAAGAAGCATTCGACTTGTTAAAAAAAGCAGAGGCTGCCATCATGGATCCAGTCAAACGCAAGGCCATCTTGGGATTTATGTTTGAAGCCAGAGCGATTGTTTTCATGGCAAAAAAAATCCCATTACCAAAGGTTCACACTCCCGTACAGACAAAACAGGCTGAAGATGCTGCTCCGTTACCTCCTGTCATGCCAGTGTCTGAACCAGTGGATGTTAGAGGAATTTTGGAACAGTTTCCTCAGATTGGAACAGAGATTCAGACACAGACTAGGAAACTATTGTATGAATTACTAAACCGAGACAAGATTCGAATGGAGAATGCCGAGGGTCGACGACTTGCTGAAGCTGAGCGTGAATTGTCTGAGCGTCGTCGTAAAATGGAACATAACAAAAACTGGGAAGCTGTAAGTATTGAATCAAGTTGCAATCCATGAATTTAACTGAAAGTCTAGAAATTAAACTTTTTAAATATTTAGACGAGAGATTCTCGAGTAGATAGTTGGCGTAAGTTTCAAACTGGAAAGACTAAAAAGAAGAAGAAGAAGGACGATGACTTGCCACCTGGAGCCATTCCGTATAATATTGCTCAACACAATCCTGTACAATTGTTGGATTCAAAACAACAGTCAGAGTCTAGCAAACAAACATCAATGCAATCTCATCGAGCAGCACCTTATCGCAAGCGATAAGAATCAAAAAATATGACAAATTCATCAATCTTGAACAGCAGTTTGAATTCAAGAAATGACTTGACATTAAAATTCAAGTTTTCTCGCATGACAACACTTTCCAAAATAAAAAGTTGATTTCATTCGACTGCATTAACACCATTGGTGAATGAAGTTGGAGAATTCTCATTCACTTGTTTTTACTATTGGAATTATAGACAGCTTTATCCTGTTGATTAACCGTCTGTTGACCTTTCAAGTCTGCTGTCATGCCAATGTCTACTGTACTGGATCCTTGTGTTGATTCAGTCACTCCAACTGACTCTTTTAAACCAATCGACTCTGTTTTGTCTGACCAAACATCTGAATCCAATTCATCATTACCAGTCAGCACTCCAATCACCAAGAGTCATGTGGAGTATACAACCAGTCATTCCAATCCATATTTGATATCAACAGTCTCTGATTTACAAACAGTTGTTCCTGTAAAACTGGCAATGACTTCATTACAGTCATTGCCAGCTTCTTGTCAGAATTCAACCACTGCATTGGGTTCTTGTACAGAATCCATGTCATTTCAATCACAACCTCGATCGCTGCCAAAAGTCGAATGTCAAGCATCTGCTCGTATTCCATCATATCATGGTCCAGGTACACATCGCTTACATATTTACTCCAACACTCACGACTCAAAAGAGCATATGGCTCTTGTTTTTGGTTCATCCATTATATCAGCATCATTAAACAAATGGCTGGATTCAGATACTCGTGAATCGAGAATGATGAGAGGTGCCAATCCGGAATTGAAAAGGGTCGAGTCTGAACTCAATGATGATGCAGTATCACCACTGGTACGTATTCATTCATGTTGCTTTACAGGTGAAACCATTGGTTCAATGCGATGCGACTGTGCTGAACAGTTGCAAGAAGCAATGCGAATGATGTCCAATGCAGGAAGTGGAGTGATTCTGTATCTTATTCAAGAAGGTCGTGGAATCGGTTTAAAAAACAAACTCATGTAAGCATGTATGGGTGATGAATCAGATTGCCAAATAACTCGTACTAAATGTTCAATCACAACTTTAGGGCGTATAATTTAATCGATATGGGACATGATACGCTTTCAGCGAATGTAGCACTGGGTCATTTACCAGATGAACGCAGTTATGCAATTGCATCTGCCATGCTAGCAGATTTGGGCGTATTCAGCATCCGACTGCTCACCAACAATCCACACAAGGTTCATGAACTTGAAATGGATGGAATTTCAATTGTGGAACGAATTCCAATGATTCCTACATCTTGGCAGCAACGACATGAAGCACACGCCAATGGATCTGACTTTGATCAAGATGAATTGAATCATCAGCCCAATAGTATCAAGATGGGTATGCAAGATCGAGACGACTATCTAGTCGCAAAAGTCAAGCGAATGGGACATATTTTAGATATTCCAATATCACTAACACACACTGGAAATGATGATCAGAAACAATAGAATGAACAAGAATTGAGGACACAATGCTGTCCAATACATTGAATGGAGATTGACAGTTTATTCTGAAAACACATTGTATTTTACGTGAATACAACTGTAAAAGTATATGTAAAACAACAAGAGTTTAAGAACAATCAAACCCATGTCAAGATTTCAATGTATGATTATACCAATCAGGACAATTTTAGTCTAAAACGATTGTTTAATCTTTTATAAAGAATGAATTGAATTAGTTTAATATTTTATAAAGAATTGCTTATTCCAAAGCAATCGTAAAATCAATACAAAAATATCGAATACAGCAATAAACCATCAACAGATCAACTCTTGCCAACAAAACAATATTAACAAATGTCCACTCCAAAATCAACTCAAACTGTCACTAACAAGGCATGTCTGATTGTCATTGATGGTTGGGGAATTTCTCCAGAATCTGATACAGCTGGTGATGCTGTTCGCAATGCTCAGACTCCAGTCATGACGCATCTGGCTAAAACGTATCCTCACACTCCCATTGCAGCGCATGGTTTGGCTGTTGGTCTTCCAGAAGGATTAATGGGAAACTCTGAAGTAGGCCATTTGAACATTGGAGCCGGTCGTATTGTTTATCAGGTAAAGATTGAACTGATTTCATTCAGAATACTCGACACTTGTTAAACACTTGTTAATGCTGTTTATCTTGTAGGACATTGTTCGCATTGAACTTTCTATAAAAAATAAAACTCTTCATACTCAAAAAGCTGTCGTCGATGCATTCTCTCATGCATCACAAGGCACTGGTCGTCTGCATTTGGTTGGTCTTGTATCCGATGGTGGAGTCCATTCTCATATGAATCATTGCATCTCGCTTCTTGGTGCTGCCAAGGACGCTCAAGTCCCTGAAACTTTTATTCATTTCATTGGTGATGGTCGTGACACTTCTCCTCGCTCTGCTGCCACGTATCTTGACCAGTTGATCGCTACTACTACTCAACTCAAATATGGTAAACTTGCTACAATGGTCGGTCGTTACTACGCCATGGACAGAGATAAGAGATGGGAGCGTGTGCAGATCGCTTATGATGCATTGGTTCATGGTGTTGGTGAACACGCTCTCAATCCTCGCGATGCCTTGCAAGCAAGATATGCTGCCGATCAAACTGACGAGTTTTTGAAACCCATTATTCTTTGTCCCGATCTGACTGGTACAATCCAATCGGGCGACTCTGTCATTCTCTTCAACTATCGCAGTGATCGTATGCGTGAACTTTCTCTTGCTCTCATGGCAAAAGATGCTACTGACATGCCATTCGAATCTAAAACTCCTCCTCCAACCGGACTGTACATTGCCTCCATGACCCAATACAAGGCTGATTTCCCCTTTCCAACCATCTTCCCTCCACAAACCATGGACAATGTCCTGGGCGAATGGCTGGACAAAATGAGCATTTCTCAATGCCATGTTGCTGAAACAGAAAAGTATGCTCACGTAACCTTCTTTTTCAATGGCGGTACCGAGGCTCAGTATGCATTGGAGGACCGTGAGCTGATTGCTTCGCCAAAGGTTGCCACTTATGATCTCAAACCAGAAATGAGTGCAATCGAGGTGGCCAACAAGGTATGTCTGAATGGTTCAATTCTTTAAATGATCAATCTTGACCAGTGATCTATTTGATCTTGAACAGGTTGCTCATGTGGTTGAGTCGCAAAAGTATCCATTTGTAATGTGTAATTTTGCACCACCAGATATGGTGGGTCATACAGGCATGTACGAAAAAGCTATTTTAGGAGTCGAGGCAACCGACCGTGGTATTGGCATCATTTATGAGGCCTGCAAACGTGCTGGATACACGCTGTTTGTCACTTCAGACCACGGCAATGCCGAAAAAATGTTTGGTGATGATGGCCAACCTCATACTGCCCATACTTGCAACCCTGTTCCCTTTATCATGACTACAAACAAGAAACAATTTGCTGTTTGCGAGAGTGATATTGGCTCGTTATGTGATGTTGCACCCACTGTGCTGGAGTTTATGGGTTTGGAAATTCCCATTGAAATGACTGGAAAATCGATATTGAAGCATTAAACAATCATTTATGTGTTTCTATATGCTGGCTATTGTTTTAAATTCTTGGTAAAACGTATAATATGCAAGTCACCATCGCATTCGCGTAAATAGAACACTGAATAAGAGTGTCAGTATAGCAAACAGTCAGATCCTCCCATGACAATTGTGATATCCGTTTGTTTCATCTGCTCAAATGAGTGTCGACATGAAAAACATTGTTTGGTAGATGGTTTGCCTCACAATCTCTTTGGCTAAACAAACAATGGTTTTCTCATAACAAATGCGTCAGATAAACAGGCCAACACCTCATCAGCTGTAAACCTGTTGTGCAAATAGCTGTATTCAATCATGCATAATAGACTGATGCAACCAGATATAAATAACATTCACCATCATCTGGATGCTAATGCGTGTATAGTGATTGTGTGCAGACAAAGGGAAATGAGTCTAGGTTTAAGATTGCTCATCTCTCGACTCATTCAATAGATTATCACTGCTGCCGAAACTGTTCTTGATTGCATTCCACATGTATAATCTCGCGCTGGCAAAACGATTCAAGATATCCATGAGTAAATGAATTTTATGTTGAATGGCTGGTAGCAAGCAATTTTGTAAGAATCAAAGCACTGTTGCAAAATCCAATCACGGTTTGCCATGTAACCACTCGTTCTTGGGATACCGACACGAGGGGAAATGCGTTTTGTAGACGCTTCGGATTGGCTGGGAAAAAGACGGATGCTCTTTTACTTCAAACATAAGTTGATGTCGTGTGTCTAACGAAAGAAACCTGATCTAGTGAGATGATGTTTGCCGGCTGCTATTCCTGTCAAAACAGCGTACTCACGTTTTGTCATCTTTGAGGATCTGTTTGTTTGGTGCCAAAGTACGCTTGCTTGATCAGAGAGATGCATCTGTTTGACAGAGCTGTTGTAGGGCAGAAACAATTCGAGTCATATCCACCCCTTTTGTTTGCTGAACTACCTGAACAACATGTTGCTACCCCGCATCCGTAAGGATTGAGACATGTGCATTATTTAGATGTTGCAGCACAATCAGCGCAGATGCTAATACTTGCGCTCGCGTTCGTACAACTGCTTCTCAGCAATAATCAACGCTAATCTAAAGCAATCGTGCAACTCTACAAACTAATATTCATGTTTTTGAAAGACTGTAACGTTAGTTGACTTGATGCCATTAAAGTGTTTTCAAAGTATGATATAATTGAGTTGAAATACAAATAAATATTTCTACATTCTCATCCCCATCGTTCTAGACGCAATTACTAGTATTACCTCGACTATTTTCCCAGAAAAATGTTTTTTGGCACTCCTGGGCCATATTGTGAACATGTGTTCCAATTATCTTGTTTACCAAGTACATTGGGTAGAATGCTCTTTAATTTTGTATATCCTTGGCAAAATTGATTTTCTATTGATCCCCCTGTATGATACCAATGCCATAGCAATGTTTGATTTTAGCTGAACTGGCCCGTCAGTCTCGTATTTTGGTAAACGCTAGATCAACTGCTATAAATTCAACCCATATCTTGCTCCAATTCCCATTATCTATTCAATCCACAAATCTTTACTAATACCCAACTGCCTACTATAAACCTGGGAACCTGATTTTTTTATTCTATACCTTTTAGTTTAATTATGCTTTACTCTACTACCTTAATTCTGGCCGGACTTTCCTGTATCTCTAGCCACGCGGTATCCACTGACACGCACCATGATGTCCCTGCCGACTTTGCTAATGCAACCTCGACTCAAGGCGATGAGTTTGGATCTGCAACTACCTACACCGCGTACTCTGCTACTCCTTTGGTCAAGACTCCAGCCGGCTATGGCCCTGAATCGTCTGGAACACAGACAGCATCAACCATGAACTCATTCGAGTGGCTAGAAAGCACTGCCACCATGACTTCCACGGCTGCTGACAATCTGACACCCTACTCCAACTATCCTGCCGAGTATCCTGTTTCTTCTACTGACGTGAAATTTGAAACTGAGTTCAAGTCAGTTGCTACCTATACTGCTTCGGATCTACAAACAACATCTACTTTCAGCGCTCCTGAACCAACAGAAACTGCTCTGCCAACTCCAAAACAATCGGAATTTACACTCCTCGAGGAAGATCGCAAATCGGGCCGACTTGTCTTTATTCCTTACACTGCCGAGCAGCGCAATAACATTCTGACCAATATCGAAACAGCTATTCCAGCCTATTTTAACAAGGAATCCAAGGTCCCCTATAAAGACTATAAAATCTATCTTGATCAAATTTTCAAGTACTTCCGTTCCAATATTACTGATGCTGAATTCCAACTTGGACTTTCCGAGGCCTTTACGTATCTCCACGATTACCAAACCTTATTTACCATGTCGGGTCCTTATTCATGCTTTCTCGCTACAACCGGATTGAAATTCCAGATGGTAAATGAAAAGACTGACAGCTGGAAAGTTGAGCCAACCGTTGTTGTTTCGGAGGTTACGACTGATCCCCACCGTGTCAGTCTGCATGGTTCAGCATACACTCAAATCCAGCAAGGCGATATACTTTACTCCATCAATGGTCTCAATTTCACAGACTGGGAAAATTCAAATTGGTTCAATTATAGCTTCTTCAGCAAAAAGTCATCTAGTTTTCAATACGCTTCTTTGGAGATGCTTCATGCTATGGGTGGTGGCAGTACTCCACTTCCTACAGACGATTCTATACATTTTGAATTTAAATCTGGTTCAAAGAATGGCACAATGTACTCTGTCGAGGTTCCATATGTCAATTACCGGGACGACGAATGCTGGAATATGTCAAGCACGCTTTACAAAAATTTGACTGGTGTAACGCTTGCCGGTACTCCTGCTGCTGAAAGTCTCCATGATACCGAGTCGCTACCGTTTACGTACAACACGCCGTACCATGGCAACCTTGTGTTTAAAAAACGTGGTGATTCTGTTCGGGATAAGCTTTACCAACTGGAAATGCATGGTGCTACTTTGCCAACGACCAACAGCACCAGTAATACCACGGATTCAACTGCTGCTCATGCCTTGAACTCGACTGCTGCATTTACACTTCACTCGACAGCCTCTGAACATATCAAATGGGGTATCTGGAGCCCGCTAGACAAGAATTTGGCTGTGGTTCGTCTTGATACATTTATGCCATCTGTAAACCATTCTACACTGACTCCAGTTGCAGACACATTGGAAGTGCTTCGATACCTCCTCACCCATCAACTCAAATACACCCGTGCACTAGTTTTAGATATCCGTTCCAACTCTGGTGGTTTATACGACTTTGCCTCGCAGATTCCACAGTTTTTTAAACCTGACCATCATCCACTTCAAATGCAGTACTTGGTCAACAATGCCACCTATTCACTGTTTGTCAATCACACGAGTGTAGCAAGCCCGTTTTACAATGCATGGTTGTCCACACCACCTGGCAGCAACTACACGACCATGATTGACATTGTGCCGATGCAAAGTGTCAATCTGATTGGACAAATGTACCTTCGTCCAATGGGAGTTTTCAACAATGGTGGATGCTATTCTGCATGCGAGATGTTTACAGCTAGTATTCAAGACCACAATATTGGAACTGTGTTTGGCGAAGATGGACAAACTAGTGGAAGTGGAAGCCTTTCTTTTGATACTCAGGATCTTGTCAGTCACAACCCGGTTGATTTTACTCCAGCACCCTACACATCTAACCTGACATCTCCCGATGGTCAAACCAAAGCTTATAGTGATTTTAGCGTCGCGGTTGCACAGGTTGTACGCGGTGCACGATTTGTTGGACTTCCGATTGAAGAGATGGGTGTCTACACTGATGTACTTGTTCGACCCACTCATTCAGATCTTCAGCCCAACGCAACAACAAATACTCAATTGGATCGGATTGCTGATTATCTTGTTCAAACGGGTAACTCCACCAAACAAAACCAGCTTCATTTTGTCGCTGAGCCCTATTTGTCTGAAATCATTGCAGGTCCATTTACACTCACCTGCGAGGTTGCCGGAATGGACAATGTTACCCTGTACAATACTGACGGGTTGGTTTTATCAAGCGTCACCACCAATCAGACCAACATTCACAATGTATCCATTACGGCTGATACCAAGTATACTGAATTAGGGAATAACCATGTGATGCTTGTTGGATCCTCTAACGGCTCACAGGTGCTCAAAACGTATAGAGAGGTACGAGTTGTTCCAACCCGCGCGAACCACCATAATCTTCTCTCGAGCAATTTCACACTCGGTAATGTGTCGACGCATGTTGGTGTATACAATCATCCTTTAACTCGGTCAGATCAAGGATGGAATAAACAGGGCGAAGCTTGGGTGGTCAATACCAATACAACCAATACACTGGGTGTAGATACTACCCTCGAATCCTTTTTTGTCTCGCCTGTTGGTTCTAATGTAACGGTTGCAATACACGCCAATGTAGATTGCACACCTGCGCATGATTTTGTATACATCAAGGTTCGTCATGCTAATGGACTGATTGAACCTTTTTTCACAAGCACTTTCGACCCATCTACACGTAGTGTGGGTATAAGTGGTCGAAATAAAACAGTTGATGAGGCGTTTACTTTCACCGCCATCACTGATTCATTCTCAGTCATGCTGCAATTTGTCTCGAATGCAGGCAGTCTATCCAACGTAATTGTGCATTCAATGGCTGTGTCTACAGCCATTGAATCTAGTTTTCGACCAAGGTCGGTTTAAAATAAAGTCCATCAAATTACAGTTTTAATACATGAATTTAAACATTGTTTCAATGAGAATTGGTGGATGCAGTGGGTTTGGCATCAAATTAAACCTTGAAAACTAATGTAGATCTAGCGATAATGAGTATGAAGATGAAGAAATGAATGGGATTGCCAACAACCATTGTTCTTGTTTTGCAAATATCAATACTGTTTGTCTGCTGATTGAAACGGCAAGGGTATTTATCATTCGTGTCTTGCATACCGCGTCAACAATCCAATTTGCAGTTCCTATCGATTCAATATAAAACAATATCACTTGTCTGGTCTAGCAACGACTACTTGCTGATTCTAGCCTTGTTTTGACCCAAGATCTCAGTGTTCCACTTGTATAGTATACACCAATCTAAGTCAATCGTGCAGTATACAAACCAAAAACTTGTTTTCAAAATGCTACAACAGCAGCTTGGTTGATGCTACCAAAATATTTTCAAAATGAAATTGAATTGTTGAAATATAAATAAATATTTTCTTCTGCTCTCATTTTTTTGTCTTTTACTTTAACTGCATAATTTACCATATTAGTATTTAGCCACCAGTGAAATTCTGATTGCATGATACCAAGCACAGATAGAATCATCGTTACCCGTAGATATAGCAATATGAACTAGAATAAGCATTCAAGACAATAATAGTGTAGAGCGAATTTTAATATGGCCAATCAAGGGTGTATAGTTGGGGAAACCATTGTGGCTAAGGGTAGTGTATAGATCACATGAATGCATGTCAGAATCGAGGCGTTACATACATCCAACTTGTAGATATAAAAGATTGCAAACAGATCGTATCAACAACAACAAGAATTAAAAATGGGTTTTTACGCTATTTCCGTGTTGGTGATGATGCTGGTAATAAACAGCACTGCTGTTCGTGTTCCACTCTACCGCTCATCTCGATCTGCCAGTGTATTCAACCCAGCTAAAAGTGCTAATATTCCCATCACCAGTACTCAAGCTGCCTGCTTTATGATCAATCTCGATGTAGATGACGGCACTGTAAGTTATTGTGTTGAACTTGTCAAAGATTCAGTAAGCACATTGAGATTGAACAAGAATTATGTTTTGATCTACTTGATCTACTGTGTTAGTTTAATGTGATGGTGGACACCGGATCGTCGGACACGGTTATCCCAGTGAAAAATCTCAACAACTACAATGGTCCGACTTTGGACTATATGGGCCAGCCTAATGCAAAAATGATCTCAGGATCGTATGCATCAAAAGCTGGATGGACAGGATATGGTCTTTCCTTGTTTGTAGGTCTTAGTGGAACTGACACGACTGCTGATAATGCACCTATTGTCAATGCTATTCGCCAAACTGCCAACCCAATATTTATCGATGGACAAGACACTCAAGGACTATTGGGTTTGGCCTACTCTGCAGCAGCAGTTTACAAAACTAATCCGTCAACGGTAATGGATGCATGGGTTGCTGCTGGCCAATTTGCTAAAAACGAGGTTGCGTTTCGTGCTTGCCCTTGGGAAAAGGAAAGCCAAAGTTCAATTGATTTCGGAAACACCCAACCAGTGAATAACTGTGGAAAAAATGGAAGTCCTAACGTATGGGTCAAGTCACCCGAACAAGGTTTGTTTTCCGTAGATATCAAAGGAATCTCTGTCCATGGAACCCCAGTCAGGCTTCCCAGTGCATTTCAAAGAAATGGCCGATTGTCCATTATCGACTCGTGCACAACTGATTTGAAACTACCTGGCAATGTGATAAATGCTATTCGCGATATTATGATTCGACTGGGCGGATTTCCTCCATTGAATACCGCCAGGACTCCCGCACCACCAACTAGACCCATTAATTTGGCTTTGCTTCCGTCAATTACTTTCCATATTGCTACTGGTGGTGCTATGAGAAGCGCTCCTGGATCTACCATTTCTGTCACAATCGGTCCCCAACAATACCTTATTTACCGTCCTGGATACTGGTGTAAGCCATCATATTTATTTTAATGTATGCTTGATGATTCCCATTGCTCATACACGCATTATTTGTATTGTTTCCAACAGACCAAATGGCAGCGTTTAGATCCGACGATGATTCTGTCATTCTCGGTGGTCCTTTCTTTACCTCTCTCAACATTGTACACGATCGCACCAACCACCAGATTGGTTTATCTCTTGGTTGCGGATGTGATTCGGCCCAAGAAGATTTCCCCAAAATTGTTGGGACAAATGGCATGCAATGGAGTCCAAAAAGGTAAACCATATAAACAGATATATTCCCAACTGTGTATTTCCAAAATTCTAACCAAGACGAGCCATTTTTGATATGTTTAGTCCAAACGGTATTTTTCCTCCCAGACGCTGATTCAAGAGTAGACCAGGTTGGATAATAAAACCTCATGGCATCAGTGCATGTTTGCCTTTATATATCCCTTTTAATTTTTCCGTTTAAATAAAAACTGTTTTGATAAACGATCATCACAGCATATATATTGGCAACCCATTCATTTTAACATCCGTATTCACGTAAATGGAATATTTCTAGTGATTGTCTTGCGCTTTCTTGATAGAAATGAGCTACACCACTTGTTTAGTTCTTCAATAACATAGTCCATGATACAAATTGAACTAGTTTTGAAGTGAAATTGTCCTGAATTCATGCATTGAAATCAGATATTAAGTTTGATTGTTTTCAGTCAAACTCATCTTATATTCTATTCTAAAAAAGCAAAGATTGCACGTTTTGGGGTACAATTGCTGTTTGCATACCAATCATTAAGAAAAGGATCAACCAATTAAAAGTTCCAAATGCACATGTTGCTCAGTAAACTGACCAATCATCTCACAAGATTGGCTGTTTATTCTGCAGATATTCCTATTTAGCACTCTGTTTTACGTGAATACGGCAGTGAAGGAGCATGACAAAAGAATACTACTATGTTGCTGCACTACTACGATGAGCACGCATTTTCATGACTAATTCTTTGCGAATATGAATGGGTAGTTTTTCACAAAGGGAACGAAGAGCTTCCATGGACATGAAATCAAATCCGACGGAATGAGCCCATTCGACCACATGATCCCTGTGACCGACACTGAGTTGACGCATGCTCCATCCTACAGCTGTTTGAAGAAACCTTTCAGGGGATTTGACCACACAGGTTGTCATGCGAGTCAAGGTATCTCGTAGAGTATTGGAGCTGGTGGCTGCCAAAGGAATAAGAGTGACGATTGCAGCACGGCGTTTCCATAGATTATATTCAGGATTGATAGCCCATGGTTCCAAAATAGAAGCCACAATAGAGTCGAATACAGATGGGTTCGTTTTCATAAGATGACCAACAGCTTTGGATGTAAGCCGAGCACAAATACTATCGCATGTTGCCCACTCGTTGACCAATCCTGCATCAAACACCAAAGCCAGTAGATCGTAACCGGGATGTGTCAACATCCATTCATCAATATGTGACTGCCAGAAATACGTGGCAGCAAACTATGAAAATACAATACATCACAAACCCAACAATTAGCTGCCAAAGTGAAATGACAAATCCAGCTATTGTATGACTAATTACTTTGATTTCAAATTGGTTACTGTAATATAACGATAAAGTAAGTAACTGCTTTAAAGTAGTTTTACTTAACGAGGGTTCGAGATTGTTGGCTTTAGAGTTGAACGACTGATCGATAAAGACATTTACTGAATGAAGCCATGACTTGCATATCTTGTCAGTTTCAGGAATAGTCAGACCGATATAAGAGATTTCACCTCTCATATATTTTTCGTTATACTCTCTGCGATGCAGAGTAGCTTTTTGATGCAACGAGGGTACAAGAGTGGATTCGATCCATTGTTTCCAGGCAATCAGCATGGTCGGACCGACCAAAGTAATCAAGACCTGCTCAAATTTAGATCTGCCTTTGGGAAGAGGTTGTTCATTAGTAACAGTGGATACCAAGTGAAATACAGAAGTTTCTCCAAAAGTTGGATAATGGGTTATATTTTGTATTGGAACTGGATTGGCAGACCGGAGTCGACGTTTGTTGCTAGTAGGATCGGTAGCTTCAAGCTGTCGTTTACCATTCATACTTTTTGTTGTGGTAGATTCAGTGTTCAAAAGATTAGAGGATCGCATAGTTGGTCTGATGTAAGCGAATGTAGAGCTTATTCTAGACCAGCTTCTAACAAGATATTGCTGTCAGTGTTTTTTGGTTTTTGAAAGAAATCGGTAGCAGGTAGCTTTGAATCTGCACCTGTTGAACTCCAGACTGTCTTGATCAACTGTTCAAGAATGCTAAAAGACGGAAATAAGTGCTAAACTCTTATTCCTATGCTGTTATCTTTCTACTAATAAATGGATTGATTGGCAGCCTCTCATAAAACATGGATGATTCAAATAAAGCCAACTGTTTATGTATTAACCAATCTAGTCATAGCAGCAATAACATCTCCACCACATTCCCGTAGCACCTTGTCAGCCTGCAGCTTGGTGATTTCAAACTCTTTTATCTAGTGGGATGCAACATGGATGAGTGAGTGCAATGGATGGATTATACATTACAAAGCATTGAATCTTACTATCAACTCTAGATCCTCCTTGGCAACAGTGACTTTTTCCATTGCGAGTTCTCTAAAAAATTATATCAGTACATTGGCATGCAGGCTGAGATTAATGTTGAGCATTACTTACTTGTCAGTTTTGCTTGTCAGTTCTTTTTTGGATTCAGTGATGGAATCCAATGCCTATTGAACGCACTCAAGTGTCAGTTGGATGGTTATAGATTGAGCTAGATTCAAGAGCACCAAGAACAGTAGCAAGTACCTTGTGCAACTTATTTTGATCGACTTGTTGAGATGACTCTTCAAAATAGCTGTGGACAGTTTCCATATCTTTCTTGGCCTGACCATAGTGGCCTTTTTCTTCGACTTCGGTATTCACTTGTGATTGTTGATCGTCGCTCATTATCAGAAACTAGAGTTTGGTTATATTGATAAAAGTTGGCCAAAGAATCAATTTTGATATTTCAATTCAAATGTAGACTTTTATTATGAGCTACGAAAATCATTCAATGATGTTCAGTGTAAACAGCCTAGTGCAGTCGATGAGGAGTGAATTGGAAACATGGAGTTACAGGGAAGGATCTTGGTTTTATCAGATCTGATGTGATACTTGTATTGATGGGTGAATCTGATGTACAGCTGATGGACTCGGAATTGATAGTTGGCCATTCAGCTTTGGACTGCTGTGGAGCAGAAATGATGGAGATGTCAGATGGAGATATAAAATTAGAATCTAGATCACTAAATAAGATGGGAGAAGGACTGAGCATAGTAGATGACTTGACAGTAGTATCAGGGAGAAGAGTATCAAGTTGAGTAGTAGATTTCAGAGAGTTTAAAGAGGGAGTAGCCGTGTTGATGAGTAGAGGTTTAGAGTATACCCCTTTATTGAATAGTCCAAGTGAGGTTTTTGATAGTGGGCCATATAATAAAGGTTTAATCTAAAGAGTTGGTTAACATTAATAGTTGAAGAGTATAAAATCTAAAGTAAACTCACAGATAATCTCTTGGTATTCCTAATATGTTTACTCTTGGCAGACTTCTTGATAGGTTTACTCTTGATAGGCTTCCTAATAGGTTTATCGATACTCTCGTCAATCAACTTGGATTGTTCCCTGACATAATTCATTACTCGACTTCGTTTATAAGCAGAAGTCACAGTCGTATCCATGCGAAATGAAACACTAAATAAGGATGATAAAGTATAAGAAACCGCCAATCTCATGGAACGGTAATCTTGACTAAATTTACTAAACATTGTGTTTTGGACTCTTTAGTTGGCTAGTCTCCTAACGAATGCCATGAAAGCAATCGTTGTATTCCCAACAGTATAATCACTTGTGAACTAGAGCGTATCCGAGACTAGGATGCAACAAAAACGAGTTGACAGTATCTAAATAGCCAAGCCCAATATCTGGGATGGATGAATCCAATTTGGAAAATTTCAGTTTAAAACTATAATCTAGTTTTGTATGATGAACGCTGGTTGAATTGAGAATGCCGATTGAGGAATCAGTAAGCTAATTTGTAGCAAGTCACCGAATATTTAACCATTTTTCATTCCAAAGCAAAATACAAGCAATCACTTTGGCAAGTGTTTCATTTTACGTGAATACACTGTAAATCCATTTCAAGTCAAGCTACAAACTCGGCCTGAACATTAATCGTATTACGATGAGTTCCCCTTTCTGGTCTGCTACTCGTTTAGCTATATTTGCTACTGGTGTCTTGTCTGGCTTTCTCTTTATTAGACTCGCTAATTCAAAGAACACCTCTCAAAAACCAAAAGCTTCTCCAACTACCACCGGCTCTACTTTATCTTCTTCCACTACTTCGACCAGTGACCCTCCTCATCATTCATCAAGCTCTACCAGGAGATTATCAATTGCTCCTTCATTACCTGTTTTGGATGAAAACGCTGACCCTAGATTACCACCATCTATTCTGTTTACTAACCCGACTGATTCCATCAGTGCTTCTGGTCATCTTCCTAATCCTCCTCCAACCTCGAGAAGAAACAGCAACGGAAGTGAAGGCTCGTCTGCTTTTCTTTCTTCGAGGCCTGCTTTGGTAGTTTCTACTAATCAAGGATTGAATCAGGATCTTACTACAGCACCGTATTTTGATGCAAATGCCAATCCTGACACTGAGCATCTTGCTAGTATCGAGTCACATTTACCACCCGTACAATTCCACAGCGTATTGGATTCTGATCCATCCTTGGATCCTGAAGTCAACTCTAGCCAGGATTTTGCTTTGAATTCTACCACTTCAAATGTCGACTCTTCAAGATCTAATACCGAGTCTCGTGGCATTGTTGGTCAAGAGTCCAAAAATCTTCTTCAACTCCTTTATTCCATTGCTGAAGATCAGGCTCGCAAAGAAGGCTACATTCATCGGTCTATTACTTGCAATCACTGTGGGGTTTCTCCTGTTCGTGGCTACAGATTCAAATGTGCAAACTGTGTCGACTTTGATATCTGTGAAATTTGTGAATCCATGGATGTCCATATCAAAACACATGTATTTGTCAAGATTCGTATTCCTATTCCTCCATTGGCTAATGTTAGATCATCACTGTTTCTCCCGTTTTATCCCGGTACTGAGTTTAGTGCTGACCAATACCAACGGAATTTCATCTCTCTACAAAAAGAAACTCATTTTGATGGGATTGAATTGGAAGCTTTGTTTGAGCAATACCGTTCCTTATCTACTATTGACTCTCCCGAAGGAGGGATAGACAAGGATACTTATTTCAAATGTTTAGGCCCGCTTGGCTTTGAAAAAAACCTGATTGCTGAACGCATCTTTGCCTTTTTCGATCAAGATCGCGATGGTATCATCTCATTCAAAGAACTGGTTTGTGGACTATCAATTCTCTGCAAAGGAAATCTGGACGAGCGAATTCACTGTATGTATTTTTTACTGAAAACCTGATACTTGGCTAGATTTTAACTTTTCGGCTTGTAATTATAGATGCATTCCAAGGTTATGATCTTGATGGGGATGGATTTGTTTCTCGCGATGAGTTGCGTCGTATGTTCAAGGCGTACTTTAACATGTCCATGGCAATAGTAAGAGATGTTGTCAAGACAATGGAGGAAGGTATGATGAGATCGTTTGATGATCAGGCTGCAAAGCCTGTTTCTGCGTCTTTTTCTGCACCCATCCAATCTAGCGGCGGTCCAGAGTCTAGCGATGAAGAAGATGATCAAGGAAATGAATCCATTGCCTCTGATGCTGATGATGGGTTTTGGCCGCGACAAAATACGGTCATGACCAATGGTATTAGAAGATCAAATCGACCACGAGCAGCAGGTCCAAGAAGAACGAAACTTTCTAAAGCGGTAGAGCAGTACGATGAAGAGTCTCAGTCTCCCACTAGCCCACAAGCACAACTGTTGTTAAGACCCTTGACTGCGGCCAATACAGAGTCCCAATTTACAGAACCAAATAGCATTCTAGGATTTGTTGTAGATCGTGCTATAACTGCCACGAATGGATCTTTACTTGTTGCTGCTGCCGTATCGAGTTCGCCAGCTCTGGCAACTTTGCTGCCTCAACATTCTCAGTTACAGTCCATTAGTGAGACATCTGAATCTCCCAGCAGTGTATTACTTCCCGTTCCAGTAGCAAACCAGTCTCCAGTGTCTGTCACTGCTGCTGCTACGCTTACCAATACAGGAATTATGCGTCGTACCAGTCAGCCCATTCTTCGCAACTCTTTAACCACCGAAGAAGTGAATGCTGATACAGCACCTGTCCCAACGCGCGACTCTGTTCAACAGATCCGTCAAAGAACTTATCAGAATCGACGATCTGTATCATTTGATGTACAAAACAATGTCTCTGGAGTTGCTCTGGCTTCTTCCAGCGCAGAAGGATCCAACGCTACTTCTACAAATGTCTCACCTTCAACCGCACTACCTCTTCCAACAGCATTGACAACGGGATCACTTTTGGTGGGAACCTCTGTACCCAGTCCACTTATCCCCATGTCAGCCAATCTATCTGCTGTTGCCGCAGCATCAGCTACTTCCGCACACTCTCCTGCTTTGCATTCTATGCATACCTCTTCAACTGGTTCGCCTACTTTGCATAGTACAACAGTGTCTCCAGCACTCATGCAAGCACATCTTCCGCAATCTTCTCACGAGAATTCAACCTCTGTGCAAACCATTACTTCAACAGAAGGCACACCCCAACAAGAGCGCTTTCCAATCATGGAGGCCATGAGTCAAGACGCAATCGAAGAAATGGTCGAACGGACATTTGAAGCCATTGGTGCAGGAGATCGAGATGTACTCAACTTTGAAGAGTTTAGATATGTAGTTGAACACGATATCAACATGTTGGCATGGTTTGAGGCTCTTGGGAGTGTATTTTAACCAAGTCTAGATAATTCGATATTGAAATAAACTCTAATTATTGCCTAGGACTAAGCTAGCCGCGTTTTTATTGTAAACGCTAAATGATTCAAAAGTACATGCATGTATCCGTGCTCTTGACTCTAACCCAACACTATAAAGACGCGACTACATGGTTGGAAAGTATATCCCATAATTTAGCTATTGCATTGGCTTCAGTTTCTGTGATAATACCTTGTAATCGTCGTTTAAAGCAATCAATGATATGATTAGATGACATTCCCGCAAATAGCCTCGCTGAACGTCGTTTTCTTTTTTCCACTGCAAACTCGAAATCATTGTCATCGTCAAACTGAGTAATCGGATCATTCAAAAAAGGTTTAGTAGCCATCTCAGTAAAACCTGGTGTCAAAGGTTTCATGTGTAATGATTGAAATGTCTTGAAAGATTCAAGTGTATCCAATTGACACAGCTTGATAGTATATGGAACGACCCAAACCAACGTGGCTCTAGGTCGTATAGCAAATGCAAGATCTCCAACAACATTTTTCATACCATCAATCCTAAATATAGAGTAAACGCGTGAGTCCCTTGTTCCACTCGCATTCATCATGCATGGTTTCAATCAGTTTTGGGACTCATTTTCAACTTACGATTTCAATTTTTTATAGCAAGTACTAAAATCTGGTAAATGTAGAGTTGGACCAGCCATTGGTATTGACGGCAATAAATCATTAATGCATTCAACTACAGATTCAATAGCAAGTGTTCCATAACCATAGATCCCAGTAAATCCACGCGAATGCCACGAGTTTCCGACAGTTGTAAACGGCGGGCGTTGAAGTAAATGATGGGTAGGTATAACCTGCTGTGTGGTATCTTTCTCACACCAAGGAGAGGTTAACCATGTTTCAGGTGAAGAAAACATGAATGTATGCCAATCGCTTGGTGCAAGAAGATCGCGCTGACTGATAAGATCCAATCGATCTGCGTGTGCCATCACATCCTTGACATGCTGCACTCTGTCTGATTGTGTTACAACAGTGTCAACAACCAAATGCAAAGCATTGTTTGAAACAATAGGCGGTAAAGTCATTACTACACATTGAGTAGGTGATGTTGGAATTTGGTACCATGCTTGAAATGTGGATATAAACTGACGTAAACCACCGTTGATGCCTTTACAAATACGTTCAATTTCACTTTCATGAACAACAACATGTTCACATACACCCATGGCGTGTAAATAAGGTTGAACGATTTCCCATTCTGGATTACGAAGTTCTAACACCTCAAATGCATCTGTGAGTAGCGGAAGAAGCATAGATGGAATAGTTGGGTTATTTAAAGTGAATGGATTGGATGTACAAGTGAGAATAATAGGCGTGCGAGAAGTTTCAATCAAAGTTGCGACTCCTGTCCAAAAACCTCGATCCTCTTCCAAAAGAATGTCAACATCTTCAATCAATAAAAGTGTGCCAGCTTGATCCTTTGTCAAAGGTAATGGTGCAGTAGTGGATGTATTGTCACCCAGTTTAATGTGTTTTAAATCTATGGGGTTGGCGGTGGATGAATTAGCAACGGTGTTATCGCTTATAGCAATCGCGTCCGAGGGTACAGTTGCTGAAACAGTAGAAATGCATTCAGATGGCCGAGATTTGGAGCGTCGAGAAAAAAGAGCGCGGGCTGCATCACCCATTGATTTTGCTTGGCTAGTCTTTGGTGCTACTTTTCCGTTGCGACTTTTTGTATCCACCGTATAAGTACTGTCATTATCATCGCTATTCAATCTAGTCATCAGACTAGCCATATTTTCTTCAAAACAGGCACCACTATTCCCTCTCATACCTCGAGTTAAACTAGCTTCGCCTAGAATACCAACTAGATCTTTTCCCGTTCGTCGCTGACTTCCATTCATTTCAACAACCAGATATCCACATTCTTTAGCAGCTGCATAAACCAAAGCCGATTTTCCACACCCAGTTGGACCTACAATCAGTTTGAACAAGGACGCTTTTCGACTAGATTTTTTCCCGGTAGACTTGGCTTTAGCACCGAGTTTGGTATGACGCTGTTTTTTCGCCGTTTCAGTATCATAGTATAGGCTGTCCAAATCATCATCAACAATAATATCCTCCATAAAATCACGACTGTCCGCTCTATCATCATTGCACGAAAAATCAAGCTGGAATAATCCTGGTGCGGTTTGAACCATGGTAGGAATACCCTTGTCCCATTTATCATCAGACCGTTTCCGTTTTTCAATTGCTCCTATTTGGTTTAGTTCCCGAGGTCGCTTGATTGTCGCGACAGACATGCAAAGTGGATCTGATCCAGTGAGTAGTCCAGATCGACGTTTCCACTGCCATAACCACTCCACAATCTGTTTACCAACATCTACATTCCATTCACCCAACATTTCACAAGTAGAGGTGGGCTGATACTTGTGTGTCCAGTCCATCGTAATGGAAGGTGGATGGGATGTGTTTGAAGTTGACATGATGGTGTTGAGTAAATGTTGTAGTGCACCCGTTTGAAAAGGCGGCAAGTGAGTTTGAGTGTTTTTATCTTTGGACAAATTGTATTTATCAATCAGTTGTGCGATAGCCTCTGTGTGGGAGATATAAACTGGATTAGATTGGTTTTTGTGATGGGTGTCGGAAGTTGTATATAAAGCAATCGCAGCATACGATTGTCTAAACCAATCCAACTCGTCTTGATTGGATACAAAATTTGCTGAAATCAAAGGGGATTGAGCGCGCTGTGATGGACTAGCAACCTTGCTAGTCACAGAGTTGGGCGGATAAGTGTATCCAACATGTACGAGCTGATGAGTTGGCCATGGTGCATCTGCAGAAAATAATTTGTCTTCAGAATGAGATGGTTTAGTCGGCGAATCTTGACGACCAACACGATTAAACATGGCAAGCGACGTAGTATTGTCAAAGACTGTAGTAGACAGCTTTCCATTTATCTCTGTAGAATCATTGCTATGGTTCAAAGTCTTGGTTTCATTGTTGCTCGATCTGTCTACTTTTGGGTCTATCGTTACAACAGTCTTGTCGACCTTTTTAGACACGGGATTGGACTTTGATTTTGATGCAAAGAATGGATGAGCAGCTTTGCCAGTAAAAAACCCTGCTGCTAGTTTTTGAGTGTCCAATTGCTGCTGACGAAAACGAGCCTGTTCTTCGATCCATTTTTGTTCCTTGAGGGTTGTACCCGACCACAAGCTGTCTGGAAACTGAAACGAATGATCAATGGCGATTGAATCAGTACTCCCACTGGCGATATCAAAAGATGTATTAGCAATGGGGTTAGAAGTTGTGGATCTAATATTTTTGGGATAATTAAACATGTCTTTAGGTGTTAGCTGAATGAGAGTTGCTCGTTGTTTCTGGCCAGTTGTGGGATCTGACGGTCTAATGGATCGTTTTTGTTTGATGGGTTTGGATAAATCTTTAACAAAGATATCGGATGGAGTGGCCATACAAGCAAGGGAAGGCTGTTGTTTTGAAATGGTTCTTTTCGACATTCGAGCGGTAGGTATACTTGTCAAATCAGTTTCTGATGTAATTGGATATGATGCTGTATGGATAGTAGAATTTACTGGTGAATGATGCACCAGATCGACAACAGATTCTAAATGATTGTCCGCGACCAGCACAGGAGAATCCACTGATGTTGGAGCAGGAATAGAGTTTTGACCAAAAGAAAGATGACATTGTTTAGAATCATCATCTGTGCCCATAATGGTAGTGGATAGAATATGCAGTTTGGGTGATTGTATATTGCTGTCAAATCCAGTAGAAACCAGAGTTTCCGACTGACAGGTATTTGTAATGGGAGTAAGTATCCTTTCTTTGAATTGAAAAACAGTGTTGTGAACTGGAAGTTTTTTAGAGTTTTCCGAGTCCGTCAGATTAGATAGTAGCGAGAAGTCAGACATGACTATGGTGTAGATTGGCAGCCGTATTCATAAAATGGACCACTTTTCTGTATCTTGCAGTCACTGCCTCGTTGGGGATAAAAATGGTTGGATATTTATTGCGCTTTCTTGATATAAATTGACTGCTTCAGATATTCTCAATTGAATCAACACAACATTCATATGATGTACAGTCAAATTATCTCTTTCTTCACGTTTGGAATAGCTATATATTTTACAATCATTAAACCCATTCAAATCCAGATACTGGGTTTGACTATTGTCAAGTTTATACAAATCTTTGTATTTTAATCTCATACGTTCGTGTTCTAGTTCAAGAAACCAAGATTGCAACTGTTGTTTTCATGCCAATCACAACGAGAAAGATCAATCCATTTAAAAAAGTTTAAAGAGCACATGTCGTCTAGTAAATCTAGTGGAGGCTGGCAGCTTGTCCTGCAAATGCCCTTATTAATGCTCCATTTTACACAAATGCAACTGCAATTCGAGAAATGTCCGAATCAAGCACCTGAGGGCAGTTTTGGTTTACATTGACGCGGTGCTACAACCAACTTTAGTCGATAAAAATGCAACGCTCGAATGTGACAAAACTACCTGCTATTACGCCGCATCATATTCAATCCGATTCTGGCATATCTACTCACCAAAACTCAACCCTTGTCACTTCAAACCATCACTATAAAAACTCTAATCACTGTACTACAATAGCCAATAATCTTGCTGTCCTTGATCAGATCCATCAGTTACCAAATGTTGATAGTTCCACAGTCAAGCATCTTGTAGATGCGTATCGTGGTTTGGTACACATTACTCCAAAAAGCACAGCTTACTCCTCTCATCCAACACGTGTCACACACAACCCTCAGTATCGCCGTATTGGTGGTGCAGTGATTGAAAGCAATCACAAGTATTGGCAGCAAGGTGTAGGCTCGATTTTACGTCAAAAAGACATGACAAGCATTTTAAATGGAGATGCTTCGTTTGGATATTTGACAGAATGTGGAACCAATCGAGATTTAATTTTGCCTGGAATTCAATCATCTAATAGGGGGAGACTATGCACCAGATTGCATGATCGAACTCGTAGCGAACCACTATCAAGTGGAGAAAAGATATTGCATGAAGCAGTAACAGAAAATAAGGACGTTTTGAATCAGCCTGATATTCGCAAGCGACACCATTCCCATCATCATAAACATGTTTATAAAAAAACAGGCTATAGATCTGAAACCTTGAATTCGGTGGACGAAAAGGCTCTACAGCATTCCAATTCATCCCAGTCAACGAATAAACATGATTGCCAACAATCAAGTACTTTGAATCAAAGTAAACGCACTAATCCATCAAATTTAAACAATTCCCTGCTTGATTCAACCAACTCTCAATCCATCAACATTTCATTTCACAAATCTCGAACACGTCGGGAATCATGCAAACCAGATCAAGAAACAAACATATCAAAAGAAAGTCTTTTACACGAACAAGAAGTCAATGAGAATGATATGTCAAGCAATACAACCGAAAATTCAAGCATTATGTCGGCTGCAGAATCTATATCGGATTTAATGACTCGACAATCTTTAATCCAATCTGATTATTACTCTGCATCAGTCACATTGGATCAGACAACAGTTAATCAGCTTAAAAAGGATGATCAATCTTTTAGTTTAAATGGAACTATTGTGAATCCAATATTTACTAGACGGAATCTATCTATACTGAAAAGTGAAATTTATCTACCATCAGATATATCACCTGCGTGCTTTTTATGGAAATATGCAATTCGTAGTGCACTGGATCAGTTAAAATCGGCTGATTTTTCTACTCTAGTGCAAAGACATCAGCAAAAATTCAAAAGTAGTAAACCCGAGGCCGTTGCTACAATAATTCCAAGCATTCCATATAAACCAGATACTCAGCCTGAATTAGATCCGAGGCAAAATATGAAACCGCATGATTCACCAAAGCAAATTATTGCGGCTATGCAAATCCATCGTATTCTTCAAATGCATGCTGGTATTCGCAAAGAACAAGATATAGACACGTTGGATACGCTACTTGGTGCAATTCCATGCTTTTCAAAACTTTCAACTTCAATTCGTATGCTTCTTTTTTCAAAATCTCGGTTTGAACGTCATTCAAAATCAACTAGAATTATTTCTAAAGGTCATACGACATCTACCATGTATATTGTGCTTTTGGGTGAATGTCGACAACATCAAGATATGTCCTCCAAATCAATGTATCTCAAACAGCAAGGCGGTATGATGTCATTTACTGCTGGAATGTCATTTGGAGAATTTACTAATCAAACGGGACCAAGGTTGAATTCTGTGACATGCACTGTATTGAGCGAAGTGATGGCGATTGATAAATCAGACTGGATACAAGCAATGAAAGAAGCAAAAAGCATCGAGTCGTATGAAGTCAACGTGTTGGCTGCTGTACCGCTACTATCCAAAGTGCCTAGACCAATACTTGGCCAGATCGGCTTTAAATGGTATACACTTTTAATTTGGACAATGTTGATTTGAATAGATATTGACGTTTTAAAACTGCCTGTTGGTATTGAACTAGTGTTTTACGAAAATTTCTTGCCAATTCAGATATTAGTTTAGCGGGAGATATTAGTAGCAACCTATTTTTTATTCTCAAGGGAAAATGTAAGATCAAGTATCAAGTTCCATTTGTGAAAACACGCACAGCACTATCAACCGAGTTCAAGCATAAATATGTGGTATTGTAAACCCAAGTCAGATCTTTGAAAATACTCGCGTCTTTTAACGAGAATAACAATAGTTTAATCTTGTTTAGTTGCAAGCATATCGTGGTCAGAAGCTTGAAACTGAAGTTGATGAAATGGTTTATGAGATGGAGAATGTGGGTGAGCTTTATAGCGGTGACTACTTTCCACAACTTGGTAAAAATCAGATGAATCAATTGCAACTTGAGCAAATATTCAACCCGACAGTCTGCAAGCCTTTAGTTTTATCAGAAAGTGTTTCTGGTAATATGGATAGTAGGATTCCATCGTCCGTTGAATTTGCAGAGAAACTTGAAAAACTTTCGCCATGGCTACTATTGCAACCACCCATCAATCTATACACTATTGTATCAACAGACGTGGTTGAATGTGTTATGATTCCCAGATCAGATATTATTGCCCATCTCCCGTTTGAAACGATCCGCCAACTCATAAGTAGAGAAAAGATTATGTTTCCTTCTGAAATAGTACTAAATGAGGCACAGGATAAATATTTGACGCACAATGGCTGGTGGACAACAGACGAAGATATTATTTTAACCAAGCTAAATGCAGAGATGACTCGAGATCGAGTAGAGAATCTCAAAAGTATAGCTATTGTCCCCAAGATTGGACTTGTTTCAACTTTACTATAATAAACATGCAATTCTAATCGTAGAAAAGTCATGTTTACTTTGAGTTGGAAATAACTGAGATTTCAGTTGAAACGCAGCGAGTATTCAAACATTGTTTATTTTCAAGAGACATTCACTGCAAAAGTATTCCATTTACGTGAATACGGCGGTGACGATACTCGAGTTTGATCTACGCGCAATCAAAACTGAGAAGAGTCACGTGTGAGACAATGTCTCACGTCAATAGTGCCTCATTCTGTTTGCTTTCGTGCTGAATACTCTGCTGAGGCTGGTCGAAGGTAGGGTCGTTGCTGCTAGTCAACCATTGTTTGATATATAACTGTATTTCATCATGTTGTGTCTGAGAAGCAGTACTGATGGTCCATAGTGTGGGTTGTCGTAAGACTGCAAACCGTCTTGGCTAGAATCAAAACAAGTGAGACTTGGCTCATCCTTGAGACTGTCTCGCTGCTAGCAATGTGATAAATCACTTGTCTGTGTACAGCAGTCGGATTGATTGCTCACTGCTTGCTATCAAGAATATCTTAATAAGGAAATCATGTTTGTCGCTTGAAATCCATTGATGGACTATTCAATGGTCAGCAACTGTGGGGTTGTCAACGCATATCATTTGGAAGTAGCTGCTACTCCATGTCCACATTCTATTGTAATGTTTCTGCTATATTGACTGCTGCTGTAACAACTTTACGGTCGCTGCATGTTGGCTACTGTGCTGTTGTCCTATCTTTCTATTACCTTGCTTCTACCATTCTTGCCAGCCACGGTTGGATCATTTTCTCCCTTGTTTGCCTTTATTGGCAATGAACCAATATAGCTAGTCTTGTTGCTATCTTGTTCTTTTCGACTTTATTCCTATCCATGCATTCTCTACTAAATGATCGTCCTGGCTAAAAATGCATTTACAGCCGTATTCACGTAAAATGGATCACTTGCATATCTTGCAATGATTGTCCATTCTGTTTTGGGTTAGACTGGTTGAATATTTGTTGCGTATTCCTACTAGACATTGACTACCTCGATAGATGTTGTCAATTCTTTGAAACACAACGACCATCATATGATGCTCATAATCAAACCATCCCTTCATTTTTGGCATAGCCATACACTGTACGATCATCAGATTCAGATATTGGACTCGACTGCTGTCAATACAACTCTGTAAAACCCTACTTTGTTGTAGTCTAATCTCATACGTTTGTGTTCTAGTTCAAGAGAACAGAGATTGCACGTTTTAGTGATAATTGTTGTTTCGTACTGGTCACCACAAACAATACCATTAAACTCGACCAGTTCAGGGACAGTGTCTAGTAAATTCGGTGAGGGTTGGCAGTTTATTTTACAGACACCCTTATTTAGTGTTCATTTTACATGAATACGGTTGTAGTGCACTGGACCAGTTACTAAAGTACTAAAGCATCTTATACTGCTTCATACCAAAGAGTCAATGACATACCTCTAATTTTAAATGCTTTAGAATTTGAAAATGGTTAAGCACTAACACTTGTTTCTGTTTTAATAGCAATTGATTTTTCTTTTTAAACGCACGTCCATACCATGAATATCCCAAATAATCTTGGTTTGCACCCCCTTGCTCATACTCGTGTCGGTGGGAAATACAGACTTGGTCGTAAAATTGGTAGTGGTAGTTTTGGTGATATATATTTAGGTAGGATACCAATGACTATTTTGACTTTTGTTACTTTTTATTCATGTGTTTGGCTGACTGGTTGTATTTGATTCAGGAACAAATGTGGTTACACAAGAAGAAGTTGCTGTGAAGCTTGAAAATGTTCGTGCAAGACATCCTCAACTTGAATATGAGGCACGTGTTTACAAAAGTCTTGCTGGAGGAGGTAGGAATTCTAGACTTGTTTATTTAATGCTATGGCGTTACTGATTTATGAATGATCTAATGCAATGGTTTTGTGGAATATAGTCGGAATTCCCTTTGTTCGCTGGTTTGGTGTTGAACTCGATTACAATTGCATGGTGGTTGATCTTCTTGGACCTTCTCTCGAGGATTTGTTCAATTTTTGTGGCCGAAAGTTTAGTTTAAAGACAGTTTTACTTCTTGCCGATCAGTTGGTATGGCTTTTGCTATTTGATTTGCGATGGATATTTCTATTTTAATCATACTTTATCACAGATTTCTAGAATCGAGTTTATCCATGCCAAAAACTTTTTGCATCGTGATATTAAGCCTGACAACTTTTTAATGGGTCTTGGAAAACGTGGCAATCAAGTCAATGTTATTGATTTTGGTCTGGCTAAAAAGTATCGTGATCCACGTACTCATCTTCACATTCCATATAAAGAGAACAAGAACCTTACTGGAACTGCTCGTTATGCTAGTATCAATACTCATTTGGGAGTTGGTAGGTCTTGGGTTTTAATATTTCACTCTGTGTTTTTGTGCTGATTTGTTTTGTTTGTACTAGAACAATCTCGCCGAGATGATCTCGAATCTCTTGGTTATGTACTCATGTATTTCCTTCGCAGCTCTCTTCCGTGGCAGGGACTCAAGGCTGCTACCAAAAAACAAAAGTACGATCGTATCATGGAGAAGAAAATGACGACTCCTACTGAGTTGCTCTGCAAGGGATTCCCACCAGAGTTTGCCGTGTATCTCAACTATACACGCACTTTAAGATTTGATGATAAACCTGATTATAGCTACTTGCGCAAGCTGTTTCGCGATCTATTTGTTCGTGAAATGTTTCACTATGACTATGTTTTTGATTGGACTGTTGTCAAGTATCAGGTATGTTGGGTTTGGCCAAGTGCTTTGGTTTGCCTATCATTTGAATGGTTTACTAACTTGTCGAGTTTAATTTGGTTTGGTATGCATCGTTTCATTTTAATCATGCTTTGTTTTTATAGCAGGAGGCAAAGGAAGGCGGTGCTAGCGGTGCTGCTCGTGAAGAACAGCCAAATCCAGAGCATGATGCTGCAGCTACTCCAGAAGGTGAAAAAGACGGCGCGGGTGAGGGCTGGCGTATGCCCCGTTCTACTGTTCAAGGCGGCATGTCAACCCGTCCTACGACTACCCAAACACATGGTCAAATGCCAGAGTCTACTGCTCCAATGACCTCTAGTCAACGACCACCAGCTGGATCAGACCCTACTAAATCTGACCCACAAATGCAGAATTCTGCTCGCGCATATAAACCCGCCGGACCTTTTTCAGGTCGTCCCAATTGAATATTGGGCTAGATTACAATCTCTGTAGTACGTCTCTGGTTACGTCTTGATCCACTTTTGGTTATCGCTGTGGTGTCTGTAGACACCTCTTCTTCCACTTGTTTGCATTTCTTGCTTTTCATTATCCACATATTTTTAGACTGACTCGATTAGACAAATTTCTTTTATCCGGCGAGTCCACACTTGTAAGAGTGAGAATGGCTAGGGGTTTTGTACTATTCGAGTTTAATTTTTTAATGTGTTGATATGACAAGATGCAGAGTATGGAATGCTTGAATATGCAGTTGATTTCATTGGGTTTTGATGGGCTTGGGTCAATGCTGAGGTTTGCCAGTCCGACTTATTAGGACTCCAAAGTGCTCGTTCTATTTCATTGTGATGGAGGTTGAATCTGTGACTATAGGTTGGCAATAAATTTTCAAACTTTCAATAGGTTTATTCTAAGCTTGTATTGGACATGGTTATTTTTGATTGATAGTGTTGTGTTGGACAATCACGGAGCTTTGCAGCAGCGGTTTCGGGGGTCAGATCTCGTTGAGCCTCGGCCAACATTTCAAACCTAAATCTAACCCATGAGTATCAATGTTGACATGCAGTTGATAACAGTTTTATCTTACCCGACAAGGAACTTGCGCACACTAGCACTGCGTAGTAATGGTGGATAAAAATGCAAATGTAAATGCATGGTACAATCTGCCTCACCAAAGGGCGATTGATGCACACCCATAGAGTAGGGAAACGATACTTGAAACAGGTTATCGTACTTGCATGTCAATGCTTTGATCATTTTGGCAAGATCAGCACGAACATGCTGATCCAGATCACTCAACTGACCAACGTGATGGGTAGCAACAATCAACGTTTCAAAAGGCCACACGGCCCAAAATGGAACCAAGCAAACAAAGTAATCAGTCTGAAACACAACCCTGCTACCCAAAGTAGGACATGAAGCTATTTCCGAATGAATATAATCGCACAACAAACACGAAGCATGTTTAATTTGATACGCTTTCATACAAGCCAATTCTTTACTAGGCTCATTAGGAATATAATCAGTACCCCATATCTATGCATTCAACAGTCCACGTTAATTCAAAATAAACGAATGTTGAATGGAATGAATGACTTGCCTGACAATGTGGATGTGGATTAGAACAACCCATAGTATCCCCTTTATTTTCAAATATCTGAACATGTTTGACATGTCCTGTTTGAACCATCCGATCAGTTTCCATCACCCATGCATCAATCACGACACCAATCGACTCGACATCCATTTCAGCAAGAGTAAGGTTATGGTTGGGTGAAAAACACAACACTCTAGCATAACCAGCAACGGGTTGAATCTGAAATAAATCCGTACTCATCGTATAGTTCAATTCTTGAGCTTCACGTTGGATTGCAGGGAAATCATTATCAAATACCATGATTGCAGAGTAATCTGGATTGACTTGTCCATTAACTCGTCGGTTATTTGGACTATTGAAACCAATTAGTTTAGGGTCAAGGTTAGATGTTCAAGTCTTGCTTACCATAAATTACAATCTGGTTGATAGGATGGTATATCTAGTGTTGATTGCGTTTCAATGTGTCCTGTTGTTGATGGTATGGTAGAGGGTCAGATAACATGACATGATGGACTGTTTATCAATGGGTTTACCTAGCCATGGACGTTTGGCTCTATGGGGTGAGCACAATACCCATGAGCCATTGAGTGGATTAAAGCGTCGATGTGAACAGTCCGAGTAATCCACATCATCAGTATGACTACCACTCATGTCTAAAAACTGTTTCTTGACAATAGGCTGAATGAGGGTGTTTAGGGTTAGATATGGATTATCTTGAATTGTCAATAAAAAGGACTCATGGCAAACACTTGTCCACAATCTTGTGCTTTCGAGTGGTTGCATGACACACATCTGTCTTGAAAAAATAATCCACAATCCATCAAAACTAATCTATTTGTAACCCATTCTACCAACCAAACTATTCAACTCTACCCATCAACATCAATAAACCTTACTCGTCCATGTTGGGTTATAATGGTATGTTGATTCAACTAACGCGTTTTGTTGGAGTTGTATTTTAAAGAATGTACTGGTTCAACTGAAATGAATAGGTTTAGAATGCAAGGTGATTGAACATGAACTCGACTCATTTGATGAGCAGTAGTTGCTTTCGGATATGTACTGAATTCATGTTAACCAAATATAAATAGCAGTGGATTCGGATTTGAAAACTAGGCAATTCTTTAATCAAGAAATAAAAACTCGCACATGTATTAATCATTGTTACATACTACGCCGCCAACACACCCAGTCCAAATCGACAGTGAGATGAGTTATATTGAAGCAAAATGCACGAAAGAAAAAGAAAATTCAGCAAGTGATTAGAATAACGGAGTTTAGGCACTAGCGATCACTATCTAACTTGTAAAGTGAGGAATAGTACCCACATGCAAAACGTCAAGTGTAAATAAAAAGGAATGAGCTTAATCATATAGGATGGGGAATAACGTTTTAAATACAAATGACATTTGGAAATCAGAAAGAGTTGGCATACCTGCTGTGTGTATGGGTGAGATACAATCAAAATACGAGATAGCAGAGCCATTGTCGACCAGGAAATCCGCGTCGAGATTGATGAATAAAGCAGCATAAAATATTGTGGGATAAGGGGAGATCAATTTGGATATGGGAAAAGGAAACGACATTAAAACAAGGATACACCAAACGGTAAGTGGAACAAGATTGCAGAATGTAGAGGCGAGAAAATGACAATCAAGATTGGGTTGATGTTGCTCAGTTAGGAACTAGGAAATAAATGATCAGGTTTAGGTTTGTTGAATTTACCATTTGAAAAGAATGTGGATAAAGTAGATGAAGCACGAATGGCAATAGGATGGTTATGAGCTATGAAGATGACAATGAATAGTAAAAATAGGAGCATGACAAGCCAGGAATCAAGAGGGAATTATATACTGGAATAATGAGTTGGATTATGCATATAGCTCAAGTAGATTGATGCAAGGGAATAGATAAAACAAAACAAAACGACTTACGTATCATCATCGATCCAACACAAAGTGAAACTGAATGCACCTCTGCAGGTCATGGTAGATAGTGTTCTTGCAGACGATAAGGGTGGAGACTATAAAGTAGATTCTTGCAGTATTAATGATCGGTAGCAAACTAGAGCATGCACACTGACAATTCCGTCAGTGACAAGCATGACATACCAATGTGGAAAGAGTGGATGGAGCAGCATACACAGGAAGCGATGAAGGCAGTGTACCAAAGGTGGAGGATGCTCCAGCAGTAAAGTACGATGTGTTTGAAGGTTTAGCAGAACGACCAAAGCATGAGAATGCAGGAGCGGCTCTAAATGCTCTCGAAGTAGATCGTATCATTGAATATGTTAAAGTTGCTGCAATAAAGAAAAAAAGCCGAGTTTTTGGAATGGAATTTAAACAATAAAATTGTATTGACAAGTGAATGGATGATTACATTCGCATAGAATAAAACACTTGTAGTTCATTGTGTAATAAAGTGACATGACTCTTGAATTTACTGAACAGTATTGTATTTTAAGCTGTTTAGTTGATTAGCATTTAAATTGTTGTATTCACAAGTTATGTTGGACTGGAACGCGAATGTTGGGATTAGAATACAAGAGTTTGAACAGTCAATATCTGTAATTGTAATAGATTATCGACTGTATAATGCATGACTATTCTAAAGTAAAACAGTCAGTTTAAAGCTATAACTGTAATCATATGACAAACACTGTATCTGGAGATTGATCAAGCAAACTGTAAATGCTTTGATATTTCAGGGGTTTCTGAACAGCAATATTGAATGAGCATTCCAAATGCTCATTTGATTCTAGACAGTACACTATTTTGCAAGACTACAGATTCACATATAAGCTAATCTGCCGACTGTTCAACACACAATAATGTCGCAAGGTATAATTTTATGCTATTGATTCCTAAACCCTGCTGATAATTTGATAAATGACTTTGTATGGTGTGCGATTCCAGATATCAAAACCGAGAATATCTATTGAAAAAGCAGTCCGTTTGTAGTTGAAAGCGCAATAAATATTTAACCACTAATTCGCAGCAAAAAGGCCGTTACTGTAAAACAGTGGCCCATTTACGTGAATATGGCGGTAATATTCAACAGACTAGCCAACAAGAATCCAACACATTGTCAATCTGACTTTTAATTTTTGAATTCATTAGTGGGTGCGGAACAAAAGATTGTCCGTGCGAGTGTTTGAATATAAAAGAAGGCGTCGACCCTTTCATTAACTTATCGCAGTTGTTTCTTTCCATCGCATCACCAACTTCATATCCACAAATGACGGTTGCCACTACTCGATCTGCTCATGGGTATGTTCAAGTTGTTTTTTTTCATACAATACTCTATAGACTCATATTTTATATAATTACTATTGGATAGTGGCAGTACACGACTAGCAAAAGGACATTTTTTTGGTGACATTACCATTCCAGGACTTGACCTTACACTCAAAGAAGTCAACTGGGTGCATCTTATTCTTCTTACTACAACTCCCTTGATCAGTATTGGTGCATTCATATATGTTCCTATGCAGTTCAACACTATGATGTTTGCACTCTTTTGGTATTTGCTGACTGGTTTCGGCATTACTGTTGGTAAGTCTTTGCTAAGCTCTTGTGTCATTTGACGAGTTGGGTCTAGTGACCACTCAGCCCTTTTTACTGGACCCTCATGGAGTCCTGTTGAGTTTGGAGAGTTACAGTCGTGATATAAGCAGTCTAGTTTATGATTCAACCAAGATTGTACATTACAATTTTATTGTCCAACCCGTCAAATTCGATGCTTTTTGCTTTCGATTGATGCGGTGAATTAATTGTACCAGATATTGACAGTTTCCTTTGAGCAGTGCGGTGATATTAACATTCTGATGTTTTAGGCTATCATAGATATTGGTCGCATAGATCTTATGAGGCAACTGTTCCTTATCAGATTGTTCTTGCCTTGGCTGGTGCTGGTGCTGTCGAGGGTTCCATCAGATGGTGGTCTCGAGGTCATCGTGCCCATCACAGATATACTGACACATCCAAAGACCCATACAATGCTCGCAAGGGTATATTTTGGTCACATCTTGGATGGCTGCTTGTTAAAACAGATTACTCGACCGTTGGCCGTGTCGATATCAGTGATTTGAATTCTGACCCTGTAGTCATGTGGCAACACAAGTACTACGTCCCTTTGGTGCTGCTTATGTCGGTCATTCTCCCAACCGTCATCCCTGGAATTTTTTGGGGCGACTATATGGGCGGATATTTCTTTGCTGGTATTGCCAGGTTGGTGTTTGTGCACCATGCCACGTTCTGTGTCAATTCTCTTGCACACTGGGCTGGAGAAACTACATTTGATGATCGTCATAGTCCAAGAGACCATTTCTTCACTGCATTGATTACTTTTGGTGAAGGCTACCACAACTTCCATCACGAATTCCCATCTGACTACCGTAACGCATTGGGTTTGTTCCAATACGACCCATCCAAATGGATCATCTACCTTGCCTCGTTGACAGGTCTGACTTATGGACTTCATACTTTTACTACCAACGAAATCGAAAAGGGAAAACTCACCATGGCTCAAAAAGTCATTGATCGCAAAAGAGCTAAGCTTTTGTGGGGTCCCAAGGACGAGGATCTTCCACGATATACATTTGCTACATTCCAGCGTATGTGTACAGAACAACATCGGTCGCTTATTGTCATTGATGGTAATGTGTATGACGTTGAGCATTTTATGGACCAGCATCCAGGAGGTCGCGGATTCCTAAAAGCCAGTATAGGAAAAGACGTCAGTACCAGCTTTAATGGTGGTGTTTATGATCACCACAATGCTGCACGGAATCTGGCATCCATGATGCGTATAGCCATCTTGGATGGTAACGTTCCATTACAATTCGTTGCCAAAGAAGAGTAAACTTTCAAAACTCCCTAAACCATCCAAATCCAAATCCAAATTCAAATCCAATAAAACTCACTTCATTAACTGGTATTTTACACATGATTTCAATCACTGGCTCATAGTTTATTGAATAACATACTTTTTGACTCTGCAACACCTCTCTACATACTCAGATCGCCAAACACTCTGCACACTCTAGCCCACGTTACTCTATCTAAATCCCGCACATCCACTTCAACATCTCGTCCACAGAGTAATGCATGTGATATTCCAACCGATCCACCTGCTGGAGATGTAGTGAGTACATCCATAAGCATAGCAACTTGCGGTACAGTAGAAGTTTCCAATCTATGTTGTAAGTACAAAGTACGTTTTGTCACATCCGTTGTAGATGAAATGAGTGGAGGTGAAAGAAGAGGGAATTTAAAACCAGTCGGATTCACAGTTTGTAAAGTCGATGTGGATGGTAGAGGTTGAACCAAAGCATTCATGTTAATGTAGAGTGGATCAGACGATACAGGTGGTGTGTAGGGTCTTCGATGTGTCAATATACCCTTGATGGGCATTAATCTAGCACATCCATATACGTTTACCATGGACTTCTTTTTTTGAATCAAGAGTGGTGTACATGTAGACTCTTCAATGGATGTGTCGCTTAGAGTTCCCATGATATCAATCTCCATATCAGAATGGCTTAGTGTGGATTTGGATCGAACTGGAGTGTCCATGTCTGTGAGAGTTGGTGATGTACTGAGATTCTCATTGCATGTGTCACTTGTAGAAATATCTGTAAGATCAGCATGATCAAGTAAAAAGGGAAGATCCGTTGTTTCCTTGGTTGTATGCTTCCAGTTTGATTCAAGAGTGGTTTTTGGTGATGCAAAGCCGACACGATGAATGGGTGCAAGCCATCGGTCAGGTGTAGACCCAGTTCTTAATCCAAGAGATGTTGATGTTAATGGACCTCGTTTGAAAACAGCAGAATGGAACGAAGTCTGATTACCAAACGTACTACACGATGATGGTGTCTGCTGTGGTTCATGTGTGATATTGGATTTGGTACAAGAAGGAATCGAGTGTTTCAAAGTAGTGGATTTTTTCTGTTTCATATTGCCAGTTGTTTTGATGCACGATTTTCCATTCATGGCAGCCAACATGGCAACATTCTCAAGCTGACAGTTGAGGTTTAAAGCAGCCAGTTTTTCAGATGAAATCTGTTTCTGTTTAGGATAAAATCCAGGGGTGAGAATCCGTCCACGCTTCCACTTGACTCCACATTTGTTGCAAAGTGGATCATTTTCCTTGGGACCATGTCGCCACATGGGAGTTGAGTCTGTTCCACAGTACTGACAGATGCGTTTCAATCCAGTGGTAGTTGTTGCACATATAGGCTGTGAATCAACCGAGCTAGTTTCCAGGTTCAAAGCCAAATGATTGGATTTGGAAGCCTTGTGTAGAGTGGAATTTTTTGTGAATTTTAATTCTTTGTTGGTAATACTACGAGCCAATGCTTGTTTTGGCAAAGACGGCCGCTGCGTAGTCAATGTATTAGCAAAGATGGATGAATCAAGCTTGGCCGTTTTCCTAGGAAAAGCAGTCGATCCTGATAGGTCGGATGAGACAACAGAACACACTGGATTTTCCAAGTGAGAAGCCAAACGATCAAGACTAGACGACACATCGATGCTAGAACTTCGCAATCGCTTGCCGAGAACTCGACCAGTTGTCACGTGTGTCGAGTCATTCGACTCTATAGACTGTGAAGTAGAATACTCGCCTCTAAACGAGGCAAGTGCAGCAAGCCTGTGCGAAGATCTGGTGGAAGCAGACAGTTTTAAACCAGTCATGCCCATTGTATTAGTGGCTGCAGAAAGTTCAATCAATGGTTGCTGCTTGCAATGTCTAGGGGTTGAAGATCTTTTTGCAGGTCTAGTAGTGGATGCGGATGCAGAGGCAGTAAGAGCATAAACACTTGAGCCATTGCTAACAAGGATGCTGGGCAGTGGAGGCATTTGCAGAGGCAATGGGTCGGCATCGACTGTTTCTTTTCGGTCTGAAGCAGCAATCGAAGCAACCGCTGCAGAAAGACCAGCAACACCTTGCTGTAGGTTTGAAAATCCATGACTGGTTCCTTTTCCAGCACCAGTAGTGTTTGTGCAAGACCTAACCATGGCATTGCTTGTAGTTGAACCAGCCGAATGACTGCAATCGGCAAGAACTCGAGCCGAATTGGCCGAAGCAGCGTTGGCAGCAGCAGAAATTGCAGCAAGAGTCGATGCAGAAGAGCAGGCTACATTCAATCCGCTGGAAGAGCGGACAGCATGGGCAACAGTACGGGCAGACCTCTTCACAGTAGATGCCATGCTCAACCAATTCTGTTTTGAATTCACAAAATTGCATTTTTTCATTCTAATTCAAAAGTCATGTGACTTGGCGGCCATGAGTTTAGCCATCACTGCAAGATAAACACTCCATTTTACATGAATTTCATTCAAAACTTGCGAGCACATAACCAGTCACGTACGACTTCAATATAATCTCCATTGATTTCCAGCTTAGATCCTGCTGATTTGATACTGATCCTCTCTTTTGGAATCAAATGGCTTAAATCCTGCTTGAGTTGTTCTGTGTTTCCCCTTACATCTCTAATCAATGTGAGTTTACGTGACCGTCCGTTGCGATATGCTGAATAAACTGGCAACCATCCAGATTCTTTCCTTCTTTTGATGTCATATGGAAGCAAATCTGAGATTGTAGCCAACGAGTTAATATGGATCCAAATCATGCATACATTGAAACTTGATTTTTCCAGATCAGTTTTTGATCAAGTGAATTAGGCAACATTTTTAGTTGGTGAATATCCATTCAGTTAACGTTACCTTTTGGAATAACTTGCAGCGATTCTAAAGGTGAAACCAATGGACTTTTTTGTATTGTGGGTTTTGGAGCATTGGCATAATCTGTCTTGGTTCTGACAGCACCCAACACATTGCGTGTGATTACCGGTGTAATAGTGTTTGAAGATAATTCAAAAGAATGTGTTAAACTGGAAGACAAGGTATTTTTGAAGCAGCATCTGTGCATATACAAAAAAGACATGTCTAGCTATGCAGACTCGACTGATGTGATGTTGGAAACAAATTCAGCGTTTAGTGCAAGAAAAATCTTTATTGTTTTGCTGAGGTCTGGACCCTATTTATGCGGTCTGTGATCTTAATCTGAATGCAATGAACTTGCACTGCAGACGATGCAAGTATTGCAAACCCAATCTGGCTGTACAAGTTAAATGTGCAATCTAATCAATGTGTAATTGAACTAATGAATGGTGTGTAATTCGTATCTCGCTATTCCAAACTTTTGACTTTCCGGAACAATCCAACGCTTTGTCGAAATAAATGCCCATGATGGATGGTTCTAATATCAACATGTCGCTGCATATATGTGTTGTTGGAGCAGACACTCTTCTTGGTAATTGGTTTGCATGCATTGGTCTTTAATATTACTCTTGTGTACTCATGATAGTTGTCATTTAGGCATGGCCATTGTCACCGACCTTTTGCATGGGTCGCACAGATCTACATTCAAGTCTGTTACTGCATTGGTGTCTAGACAAGAGAGTATCGATGATTTGACTTGCATTGCTTCATCTCCCAAACCTACGGATTCCTCTGTCTCCCATTCAACTGACTCATTCCAACTAAAGCTTCAGGTGTTGCTTCTCTCCGATATCATCAAATTTCCATCCAACCATCTTGCACTTTTTCAAAGCATTGATGGCGTGTGTATCATTCCTCCTGTTATTCCCGACTTGATTCAGGTCTGCTCCCCCATCATTCATCTGTGCCAAATGGCTCGAGTCAACAATGTGGTCCTTCTTACCCCACATCATCCAGAATCTGTGTGTGCAACATTCTCACCACGATTGTATGAATACAGAAAGATTGAACATGCATTAAAGGAAAGCGATATTGCTGGGCATTGTATCCTACGATATACATTTTTACAACAGTATCTACTGTGTTGGATCAACAAAATAGGACAAGATGGTATACTTGCCTTGCCCATCACGGATGGAATGTTTGCTCCAATTCATATCACAGATGTTGTTGCAAGCGTGGTTGCCATTTACGTTGACCGAGCCTCTCACAGACCAACAATGTGTCCATTGCATCGGGCTTCAGTATACACTCTCACAGGACCAGCATTGCTAACAGGCACAGATCTGGCTCAGAAATTCACAGAATTCATCTCCACATCTCAACCTGATCCTACACCCACTACGGATTCAAATCACACCCCTTCATTGCCATCAGTCGTGTCATTTACTAGCAATTCTCACAACGAAACAAAACGATTTCTAATGGAAAAGCAAAATGCTATCCACAACTTGGCTGTCGACTTTGATGCAGTTATTGAAACACTCGACGCCATTCGACACGATGCAGATGACATGAAGATCCTGCTTAATAAAATGTTGAAGCAGATCAAAAACAATACCAAATCAATCCATATGGACCATGACGAAACCCAAGAAATCTACCTAAAAGAGCAGGGTTTAGTTGGCAACGGTGTCTCATCAGCTGTTAAAATACTTGCTGGAAGAGATCCACTGGAAATCAAAGAGTTTATCCAAGAATGTCTAGCCAGTGGTTGTGTTGCATTTAAATCTTAACCCAAGATGAATTCGAAATGAATCGTGTCGAGTCTGAATAAAGTTGATCAAATTCTCAGTTTTCAACCATCTTGTTTAGTCATGGTAAACCTATGTGACAACCAACAAAATAAATTGAATCAAAAAGAAATGAATGGATTGTTTTTTGATCATGTACAGTGTAAAAACGTGAGATGCTCCATACACGATAGCTCAACTGATTCTAACCTTGTACAACACATTCATTAAAACAACTTGTAATACATACTTGTACTGGTCTCAACTTTTTCAAAAATCATGTATGTTTTGAATTGTGTATTCATCAACAAATGATACAATTCAAAACATACCCCAAGTATTGATTCAAATCAATTCATTCCTTTAATTTTGGTAATGTGTTCAGTGTTAACGTCGAATTTAAAAATTTGAGAGCAGGTTTGAGGAATACAACTTGAATTAGAATATCATCTCTCCAATTGCGACATTCTGAGGGTCTGAGAGTCAACAATCGTGATACATGACGATCGTCATACTTTCCAGATTTGAGTGCCTGGCGAAGCAAGTGTGTGGCTACATTTTCATGTCGAATTTCATAAAGCGCAGAGTTTGTTTTGTTTTGTGAAGAGTTGAGAAAATCACCCACAATATTCACGACATGCTCATTGGATAGTTCTTCAAACAGCCCATCCGATGCAATCACAAGAAAGCAATCTTGAGGAGTCAATGTCACATGTGATATGTCTGGTCGAGCGTGCACATCTAATGTAAATGTTAGAATAGAATACATCATTACTATATAGTGCATACACAACATACATGGTGGAGTCAAGCAGTAGCGTAGCATGGGCCACTGACGACGTCGAGATGGAAGTCCTTTCATCAATGCACTTATTTTATGTTGAACAGCCATGGGCCATTTATATCGAGCATCTCCAAAAGCTAAAACAAGATGTGTGTCAATACCAAGATACAATTTCAATTCAGTGTTGATAGCCACTATAAGTTTTTATACAATGTATACTTTACCTCTAGTAGGCACTAATCCACCGATAACACGAAGGGGTCCATCTAGACAATGTCGAAAAGCAACCGTCTCCAACTCATCTGGATGCTCCTTTTTCAATGTAGCCATTTCATTCGGATTTCCTACTTGATGGTCATTGGTGAGTGTAGATGCCACCCACGAGCCACTGTTGGACATTGAGCCCAACACAACACGACTAGATTCAATTGATTCAATCATAAACACAAGATAGTTTAATAAAAATCTCTGTATATCAATGGTAAACATGACATTTACCTATCTCCAGCATGAGCGACATATACATCCTCTTTGCCAATGTATCCCATGACAGCACACGAACCAGATAGCGCAGGCAAGATCATATCCCTAATTTTAATGCGTTCAGTAGAAGGCAAAGCAGCAATCTGCTCTATGGTCATTGAATCAAATCCATCCAATGCTTGAAAAGGAAGGTTCAAGAGATGATCGTCCACGGCAACAAATGCATCAGTAAGTGCTCGAGGAACGTCTTGTGAAGTAGCAAGATGTTTTTGTAGAGCGACAGGAAGTAATTCTGTAAGCTGTTCAGCACATTGAGTATCTGCATGACCTAGTTCAGAATATATGTTAGCAGAATCAAGCATCAGATCATATGCAGCATTGGCTAAACTGCAAGAACGCGACTGATGATTTAGGGACTTGAAAGCATCACAAGATCTGATGAACTAGCAGCTGACTATCAGACGGGAGCTTGAATAAATGATGTAAGCCAGGTTGCAAGTAGAATTCAAGCTTACCATCAAATATTCCCAATAGGATGGACCCATTTTGTAATTCCAGACTGACATGACGGTCCTCTGTTGGGTCATTTGAAGCTAGTTCGCACTTGTCAATTCGAATGGCAGCAGTTTCACTACTGTCTGGCTTGAAAAATGTTTCGCCTAGTTGTAAACGAAGATCAATGTCTTCTACTGTCATGTCAGGAATTCCGGGAGGGAGCATGTATCCTGAGGGATATGTTTGAGCTTCAGATGCAGTGGCCACATACTTGTTGAATCCAGCCAGTTGAGCCAGTTGATCCGATTGTCTGGTCCTATACAAAGACAATTGTCTGTTGGAAGTAGTGATGCAGGATGCAGCCAAAGGAGTACCCATATTAAAATACTGAGCATTGTATGATCTGTAAAGATGGTTTTTTATAGCATGTCTTGTAATCAATGAAGTTGATGCATGATTGAAAGCAGATGTGAAACCAGTTATATGTGCAAGCATTGTCTTGGTCTTGGAATAGGGTCTGACTGGAATGAGTACTCTGTTATACATGGTCTATTATTAAAAATAGAAGAGTTTAATATGGAAATAAAGTGAATTCAGATGATGCTACTGCTCAACAGTACTGATTCTGATTTGAAGTTGGGTTAAAAAGTTGATGCGATGTTCGTTCACGTAAAATAAATTATTATTTTGCATTGATTCAATCTTGTAAAATAATGTCTAGAATTAAATGAGTCAAGAATGTTCATTCAATATTGTTGCTCAGAAACCCTTAGGGTTTTATTTTAGGTAAATGGCTGTAATCGAGTAAAATACATTCCAAGTTGACACAGAAATAAACTAGATTTACTCCAAGCTGTGTGTTTTTATACAGCAGTCATTCCATTTACAAAGTGAGTTTATAAACCAAAAGTGGATTAAAATACATTAAACTACATTGATTTTTTGTTTAAATTGCAAGTTACAACCAGAATCTAAACACATGGTCATTGAACAACCAGAATCTAAACAGTATTTTCATGGCACGATACAAGTTTAAAAGAATGAATGAGTTGATACTGAACAGCCATCTGTTTAGAAGCCCCAATTTATCCTTAAAACACGAACCCTTTGCAAGCATCTGAATTCTCAATTAATAACTAGTTTCCAGTCAACTCGTTTGTCTGCAACTATCATTGTTTCAATTCTACTCGACTTTTTGAGTTATTATACTGTCATTATCGACTGCATTATCGTTTCTAAACACTAATAACAAAAGGTCGTTTTTATCATTCGACTACAAGTGTCGATATTCACAAATCACTGAGCAATTAGCGTATATTCGACTTGATAATCAGCACTATCCAGTACCTGCTAGTCATCTTCACATAGAACCAGCATTACTAGATACTTGTAAACCATATTTTCTGTCCTAGTATTCTATATTCGACCTTGTTTCCAACTGCATCGTAGTTATTCCATACCAAACATCTATTCTACAAACAACCCAACTTTGTTCTCTCAACTATACATATGACTGGAGGAGTAATATCTAGCGACATTCCGTCATGGTACCAACCAGTCGGAGTATCACTTGCTCTTATATCAGGATTCTTTATCGGTGTCAGTCTGATTCTACAGAAAAAAGGCCTTTTGCAAACTAAAGATGCCGCCTTGGAACAAGGAAACGAGCACGCTTATCTCAAGAGTTCTTTATGGTGGATCGGCATGGCTTGCAGTTGAGTACCCAAGCAGTGTTTCATATTCATACCAAACTGATGACTTGCAACAGACACTTTTCTATTAGAGTCTTGCTGATCGTCAGGATTATTCACAGCTGTATTCATGTACAAACACTTGCATGTCATTGTAGTCTTGTTTTACTTTGGAATAGACTGGCTGAATATTCCTTGCGCCTTTCACTAGACATGGATTGGATTGCTGTTTAATTGACATGACCAATCCTTTAATCAACACATTCGTCATAGATACACACAAACTATCCCTTTCTCACTTTTGACATAGCCATACACTGCATAATCACCACATTCAAATCCAGATATTGGGCTTGATTCTTGTCAAGTCTACAGACTCTGCTTGGCTGTGTTCTAATCTTATAATTTGCGTTCTAGTTTTAAAAAACTGAAATTGCATATTCAGGAATGCAACTATACATGCCAATAATCAGGACAAATACCAAGACAATATTGTCCAGTAAATTTAGTGGAAATATTTCACAACTGGCTGTTTATGTATTGAATTCTAGTGTTTCACTTTACGTGAACAAGACTGCAAATAATTGTATTTCTCAATACGATTTGTTTTAAATGGACTATTCATTATCAATCTTGTATTTTACTAATTACATGCCATGTGTTTACATCTTGATTTTCTTATTGTTTTAGTGGCCATGGGTGAAGTATCTAATTTTGGTGCATATGCATTCGCGCCTACAATTCTTGTTACCCCACTTGGAGCCATCAGCGTTGTTGTCAGGTATGATATATTACAGATGTATTCATGTAAATGGACCACTTTATTCTGTCTTGAATTGGAAAATGTTTGAATATTCGTCACGCTTTCCTACTAGAGATGATTGTGTATGCATTATATGGTGAACACAATCATCTCTTTTATCAAACTCATCCCTGGTGTCGTCAATCAAACTCCTTTGCTGTATCTCAAAATATCATGTTTTAGTTTAAAATCAAAAAAATTGCAGCTGTTGTTTCATGCCAGTCACCAATAGACATACCTGTGAACTTGTCAGAATACAATGCTGTTCAATGATTTGGGAAAAACTGACATTGACTATTTCGTCAAACTGTTTGTTGTGTCACACCCTTATTTAGACATGCTTGATTTAATCTTGATACTACTTTACAACATGTATCAGTACTTGATAGATATATCGCTTTTTGTAAACTAACTATTCTGCTCAATAATCTAGTGCAATTTTATCCATTGTGTTTTTAAAAGAAAAACTCAATTTTTCTGGCACTGCAGGAATTTGTCTATGCGTTATTGGTGCAACCATTATTGTGCTACACGGCCCTTCATCTACTGCAACTGAAACCATTCCTGCATTTATCTACTTTGTAATGGCTCCAGGTATATAGGATTGTGGCAGTTTGTAACAAGATTGTTTGAATCTTGATTGCATGTGAATAACAGTTTTTGATTTGGATCAAACTATCATGTTAGGGTTTTTAACATACTCGTGTGTGTCGCTTGTGTTTGTCTTGTACATGATTTTTCATATTGGCCCTAGATATGGCCATGTTCATCCAATCGTGTATATTTCAATCACATCCATTGTAGGATCATTTCTTGTCAATGCAGCCCAAGGTATACTAATTTGTTGATTGTTTTTCTAATTTGTTATTGATTTCCCTACTGTTTGTGCAAATCGAAACATATTTTAGGATTTGGATCTTCGTTTGTATACAGTTTGCGACACTGGGAAGCTGATAATCAATTCGTACAATGGCCCATCTACCCACTTTTTGTGTTTATTGTCATTACTGTGATTATCCAGGTCAATTATCTCAACAAGTCTCTATCCTATTTTTCGACATCCATTGTTACTCCAGTCTACTTTGTGTTTTTCTCTAGTGCTACACTCACAACATCAGCAGTACTATATCAAGGTTTCAATGTCGCTACAGTGATTGATGGAATCTCAATCATACTTGGATTTGTAGTGATTGTGATTGGTGTGTCGTTGTTGTTTCAATATAATTTGAAGCTCAACAAAATGCAAGTGCGGTTTGTGGAAGATATTAATGATGCCGAGGTAGATGACGAAGAACAGCAAGGGGATCAGAATCCTTTGAAATTGATGGCGGAAAGTTTTCCTTTGAACCCAAAGCCTAAAGGGTCTACGTTACCTCGTACTAGTGCTTCGGGTAATTCGCGCAATGCCAATGGTCATACTGATGGTAATGAACTTTGGCATGACGAAGCTGGTGGATCTGGTGCTGCTAGAACATATGTGCGACACGAAAGTATGCCAAGGATGAACATGGTTCATGCACCAATTGGTGGAAACGTTGGACTTGTTCAACAAGCCGTTACAAATGCTGAATCGATGGGCGTACATTCCATTCCACCTTTGACTGATTTTGCACTAGTAAAAAACGATGGAGAAATCCCGGTATTCTATAAACAACAAGTGCAGCTCCAACAGCCCCCACCAGCACATCCTGCCATTAATAGTGGGCTAGTTGGACAGCAGCTCCAACAACAGCATCTGGAACAATATCATATCCAGCAACGCGACCAGGAGCAACAGGTGATACGAGGTCAATTTCAGGGAGCGGCAATGACAGGTGATGAAATCTGGCCTCTACCATCATCATCACAACCCAGTCATGGAAATATCTATTTTCCGACTCCACCTACAGGGCCACTTGAGCAGATAAATCCTCGCTCTAATTCAGCGAGGGGTCAATCTTCACCTCCAGGATCTGCTACACTTTCTGGAGTGAATTCTGCTGGGATGTCACCGACTCGAAAACATATGGTTCATCCATCGATTGATTCTACAGCACAGTCTCTACAACAGCAGTCTTCAAACCTTGCACCAGTTGTACCTGGCATGATAAAATCTACACAACCCTTGACATCTTCAGATCAAGCGGCACTGGTGATGCAACATTTTGAGCCGCCAATCCCATCATCCATATTACAACCTTACTCGACGGGAGATAGTGCTTCAAGCTCGTTTGTTTTTGAAGAAGATGATGGCGAATCACAATTGGCAGGAAGTGGACGAGAATTAATTCATCACTCGCATCCTGGCGTGTCACCGCTTAGTGGTGAGCATATGGGGTTTCACAATAGTATAGAAGATCGCAACGAGGATCTAGAGCAATACACATCAAAAGAGTTGCATCAGAACATGGGTGGATCTGAGCTTAATAGAACCGGCAATGGTGATCGATTGAATCCAAATTGGCATCCTCCAACTCATGCTACTACAACTGACGGTGGGGTAGCTACCGTTTCCAACAAGCTGTACAATGGATATTAAACGGTCATGTCGATTTTCTTTAGATACCATTTTCTTTTAATACTGTAGCCAGACGTTTCTGTAGCTCATGATTTAATCCGATGTTTTTACTGTTTTAATTGTATTATCGGTCTACTTTCTTTTTGATTAATCACTGCCTTGTCTAGGCACCAACAATATAGTCTACAGCCTCACTTTTAGGTTATACTATTCAACCCTACTGTATATACTTGCAAGGTGTACGGCAAGTATAACAAACCAGACATTTAAATAATAAATTCAACATGCATTCAGTGTTTATTTACCAGCATCAAGTATAATTCAAAAGAGAATTAAATATCTAAAAAAAGATTCCAAAGTCCTTTGAGGTACCCAACGATTTCATTGGGACCCAATTTGGACTCTCCGAATACACGATCGACAAATGTGATTGGAATCTCGCCAATGGTGTAGTTTAGCTGCCTGGCTCGTACCATCATTTCCATTTGAAACACATAACCTTTTGAAACAGTATGTTGAATCAAATCCTTCAAGACATGTTTTTTATAAAGCCTATACACAAAGTTAATGAGATGATTAGAATGAATAAACAGATGCAAAAAGATACCTGAAACTTCCAGTGAGATCTGAAACGCCTGGATTAAGCATGATATCAGCCAAGTAGTTTGCTACACGAGATGTAAGCTTACGCTTTAGATCCCAACCATACACACCACCGCCATGAACATATCTTGTTCCAGTCACCACATCCAAGTTATGACGTTGCTGTTTCCTACAGTTTGATGTTCAAATGATTAAGAATGAAGCCAAACCGACACATTAAATGTATAGAATCTTACTTGATGAATTCAGGAATGAATTTGGGCTAATAGCAACATGATTAATACACAATACGATTCAAGTGTAAAGATGAATTGAGATTCAAGTCAAGGTTGAACCTTACATGATGTGACATGTCAGCATCCATGATAAAGACAAAGTTTCCAGTAGAGCTTTCAATACCATGAACATAAGCAGTTCCCAATCCAAGTTTTCCAGCACGAGGACGAAGAAGAATCCTATCTGTGCCATACACTTTCTCCAACTGCCTAGCGACTTGAATTGTATTATCAGGCGAGTTATCATCAATAATGATGATTTCATAGTCCAATCCACTAAAACGAATTCAATCCAAACATCAATACATATTAACAACAAGAACAATTGATGTCGACTTACGCCTCAGTGAAAGCCTTGACTAACATCCAAACAATGATGGGCAGATTCTGACGTTCATTGTAAGTGGGAAGCAAGACAGAATATTTGTTTTCATTCGAATAAGAAGAATTGTGTTTGGAAGTCATTGAAACAGCGTCCAATGGAATGACAATTTGATAATCGTCGTTATCGTATGAATTCAAGTTCATTCGGTCAACTTTAAAAACGATTTTATCGGAAAACCTGCGCGTAGAATCATCGTTGATTATCTCGTTAATCATCGTTGATTATCTCGTTAATTATTGTTAATTCAACCATCACATTCAAACAGTAAAGAAACTGCAGTTCAATTGATTCAAAACAATCTTGTTTTTCCATTTCTATAAACAACCGTCTTATCCTCAGGCAAATCAAGTCTTGAATTTAGTCAAAAGTTCAACTTTATCTTTGGATTTAGTCTGGACAATACAATGCCTCGTTTAAATCAGTCTCGTCAGAAACATCAATCCAAAACAATGCTTCAAAGCCAGCATATTCCGTTCTTACAGCAATGGCGAGGAAGAACAAGACCATTGCTCATTGAGCCTGAACTCAATGTAAACCATGTATGTTGCCTGATTTAATTCATATCTGCATCCAGGTTTCATTAACCAATCTGTTTGTCGTATTCTTAAGTTGAAACCAATTAAACAGCCATTGGATTCACAGTCGAATCAACCAGTGCTTTATCCTACATGGTGGGGCCATGAAGAGCATGTCGTTGCTTGTTCTATCAATGATAGTTCGGTTCGTATTCAACGTCGGCATTCAGAGTTATTTGACCGACAATCCACTTTGAATGCATCTCATGCTATTCATAATGACAGTGTAACCAATTCTGTAAAACAAGTTCAAAGAATGAGTCTTTTAAAGAAAACTAGATCCAATATTCCTGCTGGTGTTGAAACTAAACCATTACCAAGTGAAGCATGGGCACCATTACCAGATCCAAAATCTTGTAAGTCCAGTCCAATCTATATTATTAGCCCAACAACTCATACTGATGTTGTATACGATTGTCCAATGCAATGTAGTTCCAAAACGCACTATTGATGAGTTCACACAGACCGATACAGTCAGGATTGTAGATCGTGAAATAGATGATTTGGTAGATGCATTTAATCAGACTCGACTGCATAGAACTTCTGCTCCATATCTTGGACATACCAATTCTATTTATCCGTCATCTTGTTTTATTGAGAGATCTGATATTCGTCATAGTGCATCCTCTCCTATTTTAAAATCTGAATCTCCCATTCGACACGGCACTGCGGGATACAATACGTTCATTCCTTTTGATGCTCAGCAAAGTCCTACACGAGATGTTGGTGAAGAATCAATGATGACTAGACCATCCAAGTATGCCGACACTAGTGCAAAAAACGATCCTCACATACTCAAGTCTGAGCCTTTGAGTAGTCCACCATTGACAAAAAAGATTCAATCGCCTGTTTCTTTTGTTGTTCCTTTGAGTCCAGTCAATTTATTTTCTGCCAACACATCATTTCACGCATGTAAGCAATTTGGGTTGATTGAGTGGTACGGTTTTGTTCATGTACTGATAACATGTTTGATTTAGCACCAACTAAACGCCGATCATCTCGTCGACCCACTTCATTGAACACAAAGAATTCGTATGGGAAATATCCTGATCATTCTTCATTTAATCGATATGATCAATCACCCCTCAGTTCAGTTGGACATCAATCCTTTACATATCCTCAGCCGTCACCCAAGAGGACATCAAGTCCAACACGCGATGGTTTAACTTACAGTCAATTCGACCATAGTATTACACGATCTCGAAAGTCACCTACAAGGAATGGTGAGCAAAATCGATCTCTTTCCGAGAGTCGTTTTTCTCGATCTCCGAGTCCATTAAAATACAGATCTGAAATGACCCCATCACGGTATACACCAACGATAAACACAGCAGCATCGACATCCAAACCCTACTCTCAAGGATCACGAAGCGTACAAAGTACTTCTTCAACTCGACATCATACTGAACCAGGAGTCATGCAGTTGGTGGATACATTTTTAGCGAGTAGTTTTATCCAGTTTTTAGACACATCGGGCATCAATGCCAAGGTAGATATGACGTTTTTGGATCATGCGTGTAGCGATGCAGCTAGTTTTGTTACTGCTGATGCATCCATGAACGAAGTCCATCAAAATCTTCCATTTTAATAGTCCCATTACACAGTTTCTGAATATATTGATCAAATAAATAGACAACTGACTGCCATACTCGTGTACAATCGAATATTGAACAAGGGTATTGGACTTGTCAAATAATGGATGCCAAAACCGTGCCATTCCAACTCTTTAGTTGACTGGAAGGAAACAACAGTTGCATTCCTGAAATATGAAATCTAGGTTTGATTTCAAACTTGGTAAATCAAAAAGATCAGTTTCTAATAGAAAAGCGTAACGAATATTTGGCTATAGTTTATTTCAAAGCAAAATCATCACTGCAAGATAAATACAAGTGTTTCATTTTACGTGAATACAGCTAATTCAAAATGTTGCTGGATAGTCGTGTACAATTGCAACCCATTCGACGAGTTTCTGAATTGAAAAAATCTATCTCTGATGAGTTCGACGTCGCTTGTAATTCCTCGATGCACTCGAAGACGATGAGCTGGAGTCAGAGTCAGAACTTGAACTACTTCCGGAACTGCTTTCAGAACTGCTTCCAGAACTACTTTCGGAGCTACTTCCAGAACTACTTCCAGAACTTGAACTCGAACTAGAATCGCTACTAGATCCTGAAGATTTACTACTGTTTCTATCACTCGATGAAGAGGATGATGACGAAGAAGAAGAAGATCGACGACTAGCATGTCGTTTATGAGCATTTTGTTTTAAAATACGATCTGCCAACCCTTTGCGAACAGCCAAAAGTTTAGCAGACGTAGACGGACTCATTTCATCATGAGTGGATTTTGATTCAGTAGAATTAGACTTGTTTTTTTGTTTCATGAGTTGAGTTCTTGATGGACGAGAAAAGTAGGGCAATGTAGTTGATTTGCATTGATAAGTCCAATGGTCTGAACTGAGACATCGCTGACATTGATTGCGAGAGGATGCGGAAGCAGCAGTTATTGCAGAACGAGCTCCCATTCCAGGTCTAGCTGTCCTAATCTGAGATAGAGAGTCTACTCTCACTTCTTGAGAGAACATTTAAATAGCAGTTTGAGTGATGGTCAGGCAATTATCGCTTGCTTAATGTCAACTCATCACGTGTAATTGCTCACGTGATGAATTCACAATTTAGCTTTATTCAACTGGTGTTTGATACTGTTTAATACGATCTGTTAACCTGCCAAGAAATTTCAATGTCTGTTAATATACAGATTCTAATGTGAATACTCACAAACCATTATATCAATCAAACAACACCATCAAAGACTTTTTATCGGCCTCGCTAGAGATTTATGTGATGATCCAGTTTGAGATTTAATTTTCGAGATTTATTCTTGGTTAAGCAAAATACTACAATACATGAACGAACAGCAACAACCACTTATTAAAAGTAAACTCTTGTTGAATGCATTCAACTCTACAAACTCTTTTCATCACCACACACATAGGGATATAAGTAATCACATGTGTAGTCATTCCGAGGGTTCTTTGGGAATAGAGATTTGGAATGTAGGCGGACATTTGACTGAAGTACTTTACATGCGAGCTAGTAAGCATACTTCTAGTATCAAGCATGTGGCCATATTATATCCAGGTAAACCTTTATGTAAACTTTATTGATTGAAACTGGTTTTGGGTTTTCATTGTATATCACTTCATTGTCCATAACTAATCCAATCTGGACAAATCGCATTCAATTGCTATAGGAAATCCTGGAATCATTCAATACTATCAACAGTATGCTGAAGCATTGTATCGTCACTTTGATGGGGAGCTTGAAATTGTTGGTTGTTCTTATTTGGGTCACGCATCTTATATCGCAAACAACGATAACAAGATCTACAGCCTTGATGACCAAATTACACACAAGGTATTATTTTTTGATGTCGTCAAGGCTCAATATCCAGCATCGACAAACTTTATTCTCATTGGCCATTCTCTTGGAACCTACATGTCTCTTAAAGTCTTGTCTTTTCGTCAAGACTGTTCGATTGTAAAGATTGTTGCATTGTTTCCTACATTGCATTCCATGAGTGCATCTCCAAATGGTCGAAAAGCAAGTGTATATACATTTCCTCCTATTCGATATGTTACTCGACAGGTTATATCGTGTATCGTGTCGATTCTTCCTCGCAATCTGCTTTTTTTGTTGGTTAGTGCGCTGACAGGCATCCATGGTCCAGTACTGTATATTACGACCAATATGTTGACATCTTCCACAAATACTGCAAATGTGCTTTACCTTGGTGCTTGCGAAATGCACCAGATTCGTGATTTAAACGACCTGGATGTGATTTCCACTCATGCAGACAAGTTTATCATGTACTATGGGGTGGACGATGGATGGTCTCCTGTTGAGCATTATCAAGATATGTCTAGAAAGGTTCCTGCAGCCAAAGTGATGCTGTGTGAAAAAAGTGTACCGCATTCGTTTGTTGTTGAACACTCTGGTTTGATGGCAAAGCTATCGTTTGAATGGTTGCGGGATCTTGTATTGCAGCAGTAGTGATTTTCACGAAGCTGGTGATAAAGGGCGTGAAGACGAGAAACATAAATAAAAAATTGTCAGCAACCATCATTCTTGGTAGTGCTCCTTTACAAACATTGGTAGATTGCTGATTTGAATGACAGAAGCATCCATCACTCATATCTCCTGTATCATGGCAGCAATCTGGTTTATTGACACGGTCAGTCTACTAAACGATCTACAGTTCCTTTCAATTAAATATAGAACAACGCTTCACTTTTAGTCTGGTGGTGGCTACTTGCCAAACTTGGTGTTGGTCTTGTTCTGACAAAGTGTTGGTGTTCCACCTACATAATCTACACTAGTCTAAACCAGTTCTACAATGCTACGGTCAAAGACTCTTGCTTTTTTCAAATACTGTAACAGCTGTTTGATGTCATCAATGTTTTTGAAATATAATCAGATTAGTTGTTGAAATAGTTTTTGGTGATCAACTTGGAAGCATATTATGCTTGTATTTTTTAAAATTTACGCCACAAACTTGCGTTTTATCATATATCGAGATGTGAAAGTGTATGCATATCTAAATCCACACAACAATACATTTGCTGATTTAGATATTCGTCATTAAGAGATAAGATTGCGGCATAGTCCTGTTGCTTTTCATGTTCATTATAAAATACCAAGTGGCGACATACTCGACTTTCAGTTGACTGAATGTATACATCATTTCTAGTAAAAAAATCAGATAGAGCTACAAACTGTCAATTTATTGATAGGGTTACTCTGAGTTGGCACATGTTGATATTTTCAATCTATATGCATTCAATCTTTGACATTCAAAGAACGAATATAAGCTTTCTATGATGTAGCACATGGCTTGGTTAAAACATTGACGCGTTTCAAAACAGACTGAATGCGAGAAGCCACCAACAATCACTTGTGCCATCAATAAAATCTCAAACCATCTATTTGGTGTTGTCTACATCTCACATGTGCTGTTTATTTGGCCAGAGTTTGACCGCTACTGTTTATTTGAATATTTCTTACCGTCGCCACTAGCCTTTTGACTTTCCCAATTTTTACTGCTTGTATCAACCATTGCTTTTCTTTTTTGGAATTGGTCTTTCAACTTACTCCAAAATCTTACGTTCAAGTTTGCACAGTAGCGCATTCCATTACTATACATTCAACTCCATTTACTTTTGTACACTAGCTGCTCATTAAGCCAGAATAAGACAGGTCGAGATTAATCAACGCTCATCAAAATACAGGATACACTGTAGCCTTATTTCTCATTGACTACTTGCCAATGCAAATAGTGTATAGTACAAGATCAATCATGGGCTTGTATACAATATCCATGTTTTTGGTTACCACATCGATACTGGGTGTAATGAATCCAGTTGTACATGCTGATGTAATTTCCGAATCTACTACGGATACTATTTTCCAATCACTTCGACGCAGAAGTTCTTCCCTTTCATCTAACGAGGTTATATGGAACCATTTTTCTAAAAGGGTATGTATGATGTTTTGATGTGTATGTCACTTGTACAACATGATGGGTTTCCAAGTATATGACAATCGCTCATGAGCTAACTGAAACTTTGGATATGTCAAATGACACGTTTTATCACTAGAGCGAGAATGGTGGCGTATTCGTTGATGATCCAAACTCGAGCTCTTTAAACTCGCAATCTGACGCTAAATCAAAGTCTAAATCCAATGGTGATTCTGAATCTTCAGGATCCGGAAAGGGCAATCAGCCTGATAATCAATCCAATGGTGATTCCGGTTCTTCAGGATCCGGAAAGGGCAATCAGCCTGATAATCAATCCAATGGTGATTCCGGTTCTTCAGGATCCAGAAAGGGCAATCAGCCTGATAATCAATCCAATGGTGATTCCGGTTCTTCAGGATCCAGAAAGGGTAATCAGCCTGATACTCAATCCAACAGTGATTCCGGTTCTTCAGGATCCAGAAAGGGTAATCAGCCTGATACTCAATCCAACAGTGATTCCGGTCCTTCAGGATCCGGAAAGGGCAATCAGCCTGATACTCAATCCAACAGTGATTCCGGTTCTTCAGGATCCAGAAAGGGTAATCAGCCTGATACTCAATCCAACAGTGATTCCGGTTCTTCAGGATCCAGAAAGGGTAATCAGCCTGATACTCAATCCAACAGTGATTCCGGTTCTCCAGGATCAAAAAAGAGCAATCAGCCTGATAATCAATCCAACAACGATTCCGGTTCTCCAGGATCGAAAAAGAGCAATCAGCCTGATAATCAATCCAACAACGATTCCGGTTCTCCAGGATCGAAAAAGAGCAATCAGCCTGATAATCAATCCAACAGTGATTCCGGTTCTCCAGGATCGAAAAAGAGCAATCAGCCTGATACTGAAAAAGCTGATCCATCTACTAAAAATACTAACAAACAACCTATAAATACTCAACCCTCAGTTCCTGAAACCAGTGTGCCAAAGAAACAGAGTAAAAAGGTTACCACGACAACTGTCCAAGCCAAAAAAGTTGATGATACCATAGCTACACCTACAAGAGATCTTCCTACAAGTAAGACTACTAAAATTGTCAAGCCATCCAATCAACCAACATCCATCTTTTCTATCAGCACGACCACAGCCGAACCTAAAAAACAGTCTACATTTACTAATGACGCAGCTCCTAAAGAAACTGATCGTAGCAATTCAGAGATAGTCTTTAATTCAGTAGTTCCCGACAAATTTGATCCACATACTAAACAAGTATCACAATCTGAATTGAACACAATCACTAGCGTGTCTGGTATTTCAAATAGTAATAGCCCAACACCAAGTGTATCTATTACTGCTCCACCATCAGATATTCAGGATGCACTATCTGATACTGAACAAACACTAAGTAGATCATCACTTACTACTACGCCTATTCCATCGCCGAGCAAATCTGAACCATCTCTAGAGACTACTCAACAAATTGCGGTCTCCACTAGCAGTGATGCCGTGTCTGCAGTGAGTACTCGCCATATTGAGTTTATAACTCCATCTGAAGATGTGCCACCGCCTCGACAAACTTCAACCACGGTTAAAGTGATATTGGTTTCAACTAGTCAGATTGCTCCACCAATCAATACTGGCACTCCTGGAAAAGATACTTCTGGAAATGACACTCCTGGAGGCGATACTCCCGGAAAAGGTAATCCTGGAAATGACACTCCTGGAAATACTACTCCTGAACAAACTACTCCTGGAAGCGAACCTCCTAAACAAACTAACCCTGGAAACGAACCTCCTGAACAAACTAACCCTGGAAACGAACCTCCTGTGAGAGATACTCCTAAAAGCGAACCTCCTGTGAGAGATACTCCTAAAAGTGAACCTCCTGTGAAAGATACTCCTAAAAGCGAACCTCCTGTGAGAGATACTCCTAAAAGTGAGCCTCCTGGAAAAGGTGACAAGAAACAAGGTGGAAATCATGGTGATCAAACCGGTACTTCGCCAGATACTGGTGGTACTCGTAATACTCCACCTTCACGTCGTACAGGAGATGAGTTTCCTTTACCCGGGAATAAAAACATTCCTCCTGAAGGTGGTCAGCATGGTGGAACCAACAAGAACCCACCTACTTTACCAGACAATAAAAAGACCCCTGGTACCGGCACTGGAACTGGAACTGGCACTGGCACTGGAACTGGAACTGGTACCGGCACTGGAACTGGAACTGGCACTGGCACTGGCACAAGCAAGAAAACAGGAGCTTCAACACCAATAGTAACAGTGATTCCAGCCAACATTCCCCAAAAAGATGGCAGTCCAAGTATTCCAACAACACAAAAAAAGATCGAGTTACCACAAGGTAAAGACGAATCTTCAAAGCCAATTTCTGGTACGGTTCGGAATAATACTTCTACAGGATCTCGCATGGACACTGATGGAAAAACAGGTCCAGATGATATCACTGTTGAATCTGGCAATTCCAATAGTACATCTTCCGGATCTGGTTCAGTCGGTGGGTCGAATAATGGCTCAAAGGATTCTTCACTCAATTCAGGTTCAAAAAAGATTGGCGGCTTGTCTTTACAAGGAGTCATTATAGTTGTAGTCGGGTCTGTTTTAGTTGTTGCCGGTAGTGTTTTAGTTGTTCGATATCGAAAAGCAATAGTGAGTCGCATTAGTTCAAATGACGAGGAGGCTGGATCTGACTATAAGTTTCCTAAACTTTCTCAATCTCTCGAAACACCCAAAAGCACCTACGATGAAAATGGAGTTGTCGCACCCGTACCAACTATGCTTAACGAGTTTCGTCTGACTCCTATGCCTTTTGTGGAAAAACTTCCACCATTGACAGATACAAAAAGTCGTAGTAATCAAAATGACTACTACAGCACAGAGAGTCTTGCACCACCACCCCACAAGACCAACGACACGAGTGAAAAGGATTCCAAACCAATGTTCAATATGCCCATTTCCACTGGAAAGACTCTTGATGCACTCAAAAACATTCCTGAAATGCAGCGTCTTGATGTTTACAAGGAAACTCAAAACACGGATTTAAATATCGGCACACTCAAAAAGACCCTACGAGTTGTCAACGCTTCAAGCCTTACATCTACGGACAGCAGTCTGCAACCATCCAATTTAAACCCAAATGCCTATGCCCAATATATGGATGAAGCGTTTTCTTACAGCGCAGACACCATTACATCACCAAGACGTAACTTGAACGAGCACTACATGGGTGAGAATTTGAACGAACGGTCGTCTTTTGAATTGGATTTTGATGATGTTATATCGATCCCTTCCCTTCCAAGAGATACAGTGATTCCGCGCGACTCGACTGCGTCAACCAATACTTACTACGGGCACACGTATTCTGGAGCTACTTTTGACTATGATGACTCGCACAGGTCGAATCTATCTAGTGGAATGGACAATCCTCAACAGCTGGCACAGGCAGCTCTGCATGTAGCCAGCATTCCTCATGATTCAAAAAAGAATACGTCGTGGTGTGTCAGTGTCAGTGAAACGGAGTACACTGATGGACGTATGTCAACCCTATCGGCAGCTTTGACTGAAAATATGTAATTTGTTGTTTTGTGAATGCTTATGCATATTATATTTTCATTTACCTCAATAAAATGTTTGAATATTGAGGCACCGAACTACTTTATGAATCTATTAGTTTTAGTGCTATGATTACAAACTGTGCATTTAAAAAAGCAGATTCGTATGATTGACAGTTGTAAATCCCGTCTACATCATTTATTGCTTGCAGTATACGATCTAACAGGTGATTTTCAACTAAACACGTCAGATTCAATACCATTACAGCTGTATTGATGTAGAATGAAACAATACATGTCAAGATACATGATAAACAGTCATGTCTGATTAGTATCAATCTTACTGGACAAGATTGTTTTGTGAACTCGTTATCGACTGGCCTACTCATTCTTGTACAAAAATACAGAGCGAATATTGATATCTCTGTTTCAATGCATTTATTGCATTCCCGAGATATGTTGGACTAGAACGCGACCATGTCTGATATTAGAATAGTGTTTCAATAGAAAAAGTGATCATTTTCCAACAACAACGAATATGTAACGATTGTTTATTCTGAAGCAAAATCGAGTCATTACAAGATCCATACGAGTGGTTCATTTTACGTGAATACGGCTGTAATTGTATTGAGTGAATATGTAGGCATTTGATGTTGGTTTGGTAAAAGACGACTAGTTGTATAAAGAACTGTATTGTTATGTAGTCAAAACAAAGCAACACATGACGCACTACTCGCCACCACATGATTTCTTTAGCAGTAGTGCGCCGTATGGTGAATTTTTTCATGGGATTAAACAGAGGCGCTTTATTGGTTCAAGTCACGACCTGCCATTTGCAATTATCGAGTATGGCCATCAGAAGTTGATATTGGTGGCAAAGTTGCGAAAATTACAAACAGTTGAAGTGTGCACATATTCCAACTGTTTATCAGCTACAGTTTCTTGATTGATAAACGTGAGCTTTTCAGTACTCAAATTATTTTGCAGCCAATTTATACACTTTCCAATCTATCAAAATTCCAACAGAAATATCAAGTGATTGTTAGACCTTGGACTACTTTGCTATTGAAACAAACTTTATCAAACCTAGCCGTCTGTTTTGTATCAATATATTTTCTCGAGCGCACTGGTTTCCTGCACGCTACTCTGTTGATTGTTAGAAACCTGACGCTGTTCGTCAGCACTACATCTAAACTATACATCGAGACTATTACCACACAGCTCGGCAACTCCATTATTCACAAGGCACTCGAGTGCCCTATCCATTCATACTTGTTCCCGCATGATTATCAAGTCGATTCTTTTAGGATGGCTGTTCATCAGTACTTTTGTCAATGCAATTGAACAGTCGAATGCAACATTGCCAGATCCTCTTTTATCGGTATGTTATAGATATTGATCTTGAATGCAACTCATGTAGTCTATTGCCTGTAGGTTGTCAGACGAAATGGTCTGCAGCCGTGATCGTAGTGTTATTGGATAGTAGTGAATGGGCATTGGGGTCATTCACTTGCAACGAGTGCGGTATTCTCTAGTCTACCAATTTGCACTTTGGTCAAGGTTGATTGGCGCCTCTTCAAGCCACCACTCACTATACACCTAGCTGCTCAGTGGAGACTTTGTTGATTGCTACATGACCATCTAATATGGCATATGTCATTGATACTCTCTCACACAGGCTGATGAATCACACCAGCATGACTTTGAGCTCAACGATCTTGTTTGGCCCTTTTCTCTTGTAAAGGAGTTTTAAGATTAAGCAGATATCCAACTTTAAATCAACCCGACTAACTTGCTATTTTTATTACTGTTAGAATAACGCCTCAACACCACTATCCAACATCACCTCTCACTCGAGTACATCTGACCCTCAGACACCAGGATTTTCTGCAGTCATCAACTCTTTTAAACCTATCAATCTTACTCATCCAGATGATAAACTAAATCAATCATCAACTGCAGTTCAAGATCACAGTCATGAATCCGTGACTTTAGATACGAAACTAGCACCAGTGTCTGATGAACTACCCAAGCAATCTATACAGACTTTTGGATTAAAATCGGACAGTTCTCTAGCCCAGTCAGATGGTGATCATATACATTCCAAAGGACCTACAGAACCATTAAACATTGTACCTAGCTCTGTACCCTCACCACCTACTCCTCCACCACTTGATCTTCCACCACCATCCTCTCTTCCACCTCCTCCACCACTTGTCTTTACTCCTCCTCCTCCCCCACCACTTGTCCTTCCCCCTCCACCTTCTCCTTCTCCTCTTCCTCCCCCTCCACCACTTGTCCTTCCACCTCCACCTCCACCACCTTCTCCAAATCCATCGTCTATCGTAGAAAATACTCCAAGCGTACCAACATCTGTACCCAAACCTCCTATTCCAATAGTCTCAATATCAACTTCATCAAATTCACCCACATTCACTCCAATCAATGTGCCGCATCCTAGTCCTGTTGAGCCTAATTCTCGTCCTCCACCTGCATCCAAACCCATTGGACCAATCATCACTCAGATTCCTACTGTTCCAACTCCAAACGTGCCCGTTGGTCCCGTATCACAAATATCTCAAGTAGTAGCGACTGTTTCATCATCTCCTCAACCACAAGTATCATCGGGATCTGATCAGTCTGGTAATTCACCGTCTTCTGGAACTACACACATTCCAATTGTTGTCAGAGCAAGTACTGGTGGTGGTGGTTTAGTAGCAAAATCTGGAAGCAGATTGGAAAATTCAGACGTCAGCGGAGGTTTGTCGTCTGGAGGCAGCACCACTCATAGTAATGGCATTACTGCTGGATCTGGAAATACAAACTCGAATCCTGGTTCATCGAATTCTAATGTTGATGTTGGACCCAATCAATCTGAATTTCCCAAGGCTTCATCTGAGTCTGACAATAATTCTCGTAGTTCTAAATCAAATAGTCTTGGACCTACAGCCATTGTCGGATGTGTAGCTGGCGTAGCTGGTGTTTTGGCTGTTGTTGTCGGGCTGGTGATGGCCAAGAATAGGATGCCTAGTAGCTCTGCAAGTGGTAAATTTATCAAACCACTCCTTCCAAGTTTTGGTGCTACTCCTATTGCCAGTCCCGATCTCCAACACCAACCGGTAGCTCAAACGCACTGCGAGACCATTGATCCATCATCCTCACTTTCTAAAGACCAACATTCAAAAGATTCATACCATCAGCCTCACTATGGTTTAGAAAACAATCACCAGAACCAGAACTTGCCCATGATGAACACAACATCTATATATTCAAACTTTGTTTCGGCTACAGCTGTTGATCCAATGCCTAATCATCCAAATCCTTCCGGCTTGAATGATATGGCAATGCGTTTTTCCAAGATTTCCGAGGTATCCACCGAACCTGCATTATTTACGAGTTCTGGCGAACTTAGCACTGCTGAAAATAGCTTGTTCATGAATGATCACTTTGACCAAAACTACAATGGCTTGCATAGTGGTAGTGACAAGACACTTCCCGAGGAACCCATTTACCAACATGTGCATCTAGAAAAATTTGCAACTCATCCTCAATCACCACAAATCTTCCATTCTCCAACTGATAATTCTGGCGAGCCTGTCCAGATTTATCACTCGTCTTTTGTTTCTGATCCGTCGTCCAATGGCGATTTTACAAACATGGACAGGTCTGGATCGACTGAATATTTGAATGCACCCAACCCTATACGTACCCAACCATCGGCTAGTGCTTCAAGATATCCCAGTCAGAGATCTCATCCTTCCACTATGCTATCTCTTGCAAACCGCAGTCGTGATTCTCTCACTGTCGCTCAAGCTGCACATAACATGTCACACAATAAATTCTCACATTCACAGCGACGACAGTCTCACACACCACTGTCGGCAGCTTCGACTGAGCCAGATATTCGTCCTGAAAACGACAATGTGTCTGCTGCTGCCCTTGCTGTTGCTGCCGCTGCGACTGCTGCCGCATCTCAAGATTCCAACTCTGATCAGTTCTACAAGTACGATTCGTTCATTTCCTACCAGCGCTATAGTGAATATTCCAACGAAAGTCGACTCGAATGAAGATCTCAGTGTTTACTTTTTGTCTATGCATATACTCCAAGGGTATTATGCGTCCATGATTTGAAATTGACAAACTCGATCAAGAATATAAATTCATTTTTCTACAATCCGTTTTTATTTTAATGGTATTTCAAGTTGGTATTTTAAAACAATGTATTGATGGTACACATTATTACATTTATCAATTTATACCAACTCGCAAGTGAATTTGTTTAAATTTGGGTTGCCAACCCAAACACATTTGCTTTGAAAGCGGATCGCATGTTCAGCATTGACATTTAATATACTGAAGCAATATTTAAACTTGAAATGATTTATTGAGTATTTTAGTAACTTGAACACATTTGAATTTTGATAAAGTTGATCCAGTAATAGAATTTACATGCCATTGCTGTCATCAATATTTTTTAAAGTCATATCGTTATTGTCTGGAATTATATTTCCATCAGCATCATCGATATTCTTTAAAGTCGTATCGTTATCGCTTGGAGTTGTATTTCCATCGCCATCATCGTTATTCTTTAAATTTTCATTCTTGTCGCCTGGAGTTGCGTTCCCGTCATCATCATTATGTTGAGCAGTTGGAGTGTTGCTGCTTTTAGCAGGTGGAGTATCGCTAGACTGTTTGTCACTACTTTCACCAACATGTCGTTCACCAACCACGCGGTGAACTACCGCATCGATTGTAGATTCTTTTAATATATCCATTGTCGATTTGGTCATTTTTATAGAAGTCGGAATTTGAGGACTAGGAGGACTAGGAGGGTTAGGAGGACTAGGAGGGGTTAGAGGGGTTTGGTTCATTGGCGGATTCAGTGGTTGCTGGTTTGAATGTTGATTTTGAGAATCATTTGACGAGTGACGATGATCTTCAGAATCATTTGACGAGTGGTGATGATCTTCAGAATCCTGAACTGCATTAATATGAGAGTTACTGTGTTCATGTGTAGCCGAGTGATGCTTAGTCGCTCCACCTCCAGTATGAGTCGGACTCCTTTTATACAATCGACGGGATGGACGTATTGCAAATGGTATTACCGACTCTCGAGTTAAATAATGAAGGCTAGGTTTTTCTAAATCATTATCCAGCTGTTTGATTATGACAGTCATATCATTATCAATGGCTGGTGGTTTAGCATAAACAGATTCTGATTGTTTGGCTGGTGTCACTTGGATCACTAATGCGTTTGTTGAAACTGCCGTAGCAATCGCCCATAAACTAATCCCAGCAATATGCATCCAGCTGTCAAATAATGTCTTTAGTCGAGTACAGTAGATTCAATTAGTGTAAAGTAGTGACTAATGAAAAAAGTGCTGCTTGGCAAAGTTTAAATTGGACTCTATTTAAGAATATGTACAAATATGGATGTTGAGTTTTGTGTTGCTTGAATTGAGTACCTGAAAGCAACAACCACAGACAAGTAGCCATTTTGTGCAAATCGCTATCAGCCTCTACAGCGTCGATTCAAAAGCTTGAAGCTAACATGAGAGGCGTCTTGATATTAGCCGTGACTCACGGTTATTCTTGCCGATATGGTCTAACAAGCTAGAAGAAATCAACATACCACGGCTATATTCAGGTAAAATGGAACACTAGGAGTACAAAAATACATAGTAAGCAATCAGTTTCATGTTGGATTGGTGCCAGTCCCACCACATTTACTGAACAACGTGCTTTAGACTCCTTCAACTCGGCCGGTCGCTGATCATTTCTGTACAAAATACTGTCCAAATGTTCAACACTGCACTCATATCACTGTTCCAATGCATTACACATACTTGTCACTTGTTCAATCTGCAACTTTTTCTTCATATAGATTGATCACTAATGAGCATTGGCTGACCGGCATGGAAACAACTGTTGTATTCCCAAAATATGCAATTATTGGTTTTTGGACTAGATTGTAATTGTATCTGATATTACAACATGACTGAGTGTGCTAGCGCCATGTATTGGTTGTGTAAACCCAGCGTCTACAATCACAATGTATGGTCATAGTTTGTGTAGTGGAGTTTTTCCTTGTTTGGTTGCAGTTTGTAGTAACGACAACTGGAACTGGAACTGGAATTGAACCCAAAATGTAAAATAGTCGCTGCTTCCACATGGTTTACATTGTTAGTTTAGGTTTACCCGACTCTGGACTCGGAAACGACATTGGAATCGTTGTCCAAACACAGTTTTTGATGGTTTTAGCATTCAAACATGTCATTTTACATATGACATGATACGCTATGTCAGAACTTTGTATAATGTATCCAGATTCGACTGGTAATTGACTATATGCTGATGGGTAGCTGCCACCAAATGCATATGCAGTGTATTCATGTGTAATGTATTGGATGTCCGTGTTGAACCTGTTGGACAATATATTGTCATGACGCATCAAATCGCAGATATTTAAACTAAAATCATTGATTTGTTGTGCTGTCTGACTGTATCTATGGTGTTGATCAATGTCAATCAGTAATGCATTTGTATTGGTCATGACTTGTGTGCAGTAATCTGACAGTATCGTGATGTATGATATCATGATCAATGTAAAATATTACTTGATCAAACACGGTAATTGTGGTTGTGATTACAATCTATAATTGGCAGGATATTGGGCGATTTTGTGTGCAATATGGTATACTGCTGCAAATATCATGATTATCACATTCCATTAGTATGTGTGATTATATTGCACCAATCGACCAGTATACGATCACTGCATACATCAACATGTGCATAATGACCATATTGTTGGCATTGTATATTCAACATGTGATACTTGATACACGATAAAGTTGACACTGCGACTGATGTGTGTGATCAGTCAGACTATTGATGCAACTATTGACACCACAATCAACGAGTCAAACCAGTCAAATTGGTCGGATCTGATATCAGCACACATGACTATTGTTGGTATTGGTGTTGCATGTGTCAATACGACATGTCAAGCAAGCTGTATTGTATTGGAAATACAATTGTCAATGTAAAATGATCAGATATAATGCATGTAAATCCAATTTTATTGTAAATTAAACAGAATGACAATTGAATCGGTTGAAACCAATCCAGATTAACATTCAAATCAATTGGGTGGATCGTCACGTCTGGGCTGCCTTACTTTTAAATTTAAAAGGGTTTCCACATATTGGAATAACCACCCTAAACTGGAAGTTTCTCGAACGGGTTGAGCTATAGGTATATGTGTTTCCTCGGATGACGGTTCCTCGGTTAGCGGCTCTGCAGATAATGTGGCAATGTCAGAATTTTCCAGGATCTTGGGAAAATTTTCAGGATTATCGAGTACTTCGTCATATGATGGAGGTTGATTCTCAGAGTCTTCCGAGTCTACCTCATGCTGTTCATGATTCTGCATTGCACTTTCATATGATGGGGGCAAATTTTGAACTTCTTGCTGTGATGAACTTTGAATCTCATTAGCAGATTCAATCGCGAATTCTGTCGATTGTCTCGTTATCAGCTCGTATAATTCGTAGCCAAGGGAAATAGTAATGGATGATAATCCAAAGTTTACATGGAACCTAACTGTCAAGGCTCTTGTAAATCTTTCAAAGAAAAGTAATGCGATTTTTCTTTCTACCCGTCTCATCCTTGACAATGCTGTATCATATTCCGACTCGAGCATATACTTTTGCTTTTCAAGACTGACAAGTTCAGAATTGAGGTTTTCAAGCTCAATTCTAAGGCCATCAAGTGCACTTTTATACTTTGAACCATTGGATTTTTTATAAAATCTACGTATCAACTGCTGATATTCTACACGTAGCTGAGCTACATATCTTTCTTGAGTAGTAACCATATCTCTTTTCGAGTCACGAATTTCCATTGCTTTAATGTATAGTATATATTTTTTACAGTAGTTTCTGATTAAATTTTGATTTTCGACTGTAAATGTATCTAGCTCAAATGTATGTGTAGCATCTGGATCAACAACTTGCATAGATATATATCTAATATTTATAGCATCAGTAGGCGGAGTCGTTGAAAGGCTATATTCAGTACTTGTAGTCGCAGTAGATAGAGTTGTTGAAAGACTATGTTCTGTACTTGCAGTCGTACTGGGAGTAACAGGACTAGCAACAGTGACTGAACAAACAAGCAGGATTGATGTTAATGCAGCAGCTGATAATTTCATTCTATTAGTTTGGTTAGGCAGGTTGTAATGCTGTTCAACAGGTCAATTCTTGGATTGTATTTATGTTTGTTAGAGTGCATAATGTTAAAAGCATGCTGGATGACCGTCCTAAGGAATTATCTTTATTGTCAGGGTTAATGGTGATTTATTGTTACCAAGGTCAAAGTAGCAAAAGGAAGGATCCCTTTATACGGTAATCCGTAGTCTTGATTGGACTATTGCTTGTGTATTCAAATATTGTATGATTAATCAACTGTGGAGTTTTCACCCTTTTTCACCCTAACCCTGACTAGTAAGCCACAATACGGTCAAGTACAGGTCATGTAAACCTGTATGCAATGGGTTTGACATTCGGTTATTAGTTGGTCATCAATGTGTTGTGGTATTGTATGGTTTGCAATTGCAATTGATTGACATGATTCAAACATGTCGTGGTTTAGTGATATTTTGCATTCAACTCGACACAATACACACATGCATGTCAGCATCATCAATTCATACTATGATATCATGTCAACCAAGACTGTGTACAATAATCAGATATAATGCATGCACATACAAATTTATTGTAAATTAAACCATAATGACAATTGAATTGGCTGAAACAAGTCCAGATTAATGTTCAAATCAATGGTTCGCGATCCTCACGTTTGGGTCGCTGAAAGAGTGATTTCAATCCATTCATAGGCTTGGAAAACCCTTTCCGTTTATTGGGGGGCACTTTCTGTTTAGAGGATCCAGGTCCAGATTCTTCATCTGATGATGTTTCCAAATCTTTGTGTTTTCGTTGATCACCAGATTTTCGATGTTTTCGTCGACCACCAGATTTTCGGTCAAGATCCTTGTTTTTTGATGATTGTCGTTCAAGGTAATCTTTAACGGAAGGCATTTCTTTGATAAGATAAGCTTGGCGGATAATTGTTACAACATCCATAGGGGTTCCGAAAACGAGACTCGCAATCTGTTTATCGGTTTCCCATTTTCTTTCTACAAGATAACCAATCTCGGACTGGCACTCCTCAAATTCTTTTCGAAATTTGGCAAGTTTAGATCTTTGTTTTTCAAGATTAAGCTCAGCCTTTCGAATTTTGTCATTGTGTTTTGAACTGTCACCTTTTCCTCGAGGTTTCTTTTTCAGAGTTTCAAGCTTTTTTTTGCAGCCCATTACCACTTCATATTGACTGTCACATCGAGCTTCTAACGGGCCATATTTTTTGCTTTGCCGATCACGATTATTCTGTATCTCTGCGTATTTGTTGAGCAAATACTTGACGCTATCTGGAAGTGAATCAAGATTATCTAGGCCTATACCGCTTGGACTAGGAATTGGCAAGATTCTAGACTCGGTGCTTGTAGTCTTACTGGGTTTAACTGGGCTGGCTGTAGTGACCGAGAAGGCAAGCAAGATTGATGACAATACAGCAACTGCGAGTTTCATTTTACTGTTTTGGTTGATCAAGTTGTAATGTCATTCAACAGGTCGGTTTTTGAACTGTATTTATATCCATTATTGAATAAATAGCATTAAAAGCATATTCCTTGAATAACCGTCCTAAGGGGTTGACTTTATTGTCAGGGTTGAATAGTGATTTGTTATCAATTTCAAACTTTGAAAGGATCTCCCTTTATATGGTATCCGCAATGTTGGTTGAGCCGCTATTTGTCCATACGCTTGAATATCATATGGTTGATTATGCAGTCCCACCCTAAAAATGGCTATGGTCAAGGGTTAGGGTTAAGAAATGAGTATAAACCAAAACTGCAATAAGTTGACACTCGGATATTAGTTGGTCATCAACATGTGCCGTGATATTCCATGTTTGTTAAAGTAGCAAGTGATTGGCATGATTCAACGTACAAGTAGTGTATAATGAGCATCGGATGATACTGTTTTACTTGAACAAGAGTGCTAAATCCGTTGGAATAATTGTAATTTAGTCGTCTATTTCTGTACTACATTTTACACCCTCATTGTTACACAACATCAAATGTCTGCAAAAAACAGCTGGAAATGGAATGCGTTTGTAGGAATACAAAACACCATACACAAGATGACAGCAGTATTGCATACATACAAATCAAAGTATGATATCATGACTGCCAACGGATTGATTGAAAACAACTTTATATCCAACTTGCTCATCAACAACCAACAACTCTGTTGGAGTTTTGTGTAATCTGATTTATATTAATTTAAATGGAGGTGTGTGTGTATGATCTGTAACTGTTAGTAGTTGACAGAAAATAGCAAATCAAAAGTGTAATGGGAGTTGCACAATAATTCAGGATCAGCAGGCTTGGGGTTTTCAATGATAATGAAAAGATGTAATAAAACAATAATATGTTGAAATGGTTGGAAGAGTCATTTATTAATAAATATGAGTTATAGTCAGTCTTGTAGTAATTGATTGTTTGTATCTTGGTGACACGAACAAGTAGAATGTATGATGAGCAATCAGAAAAGTAAATTGATCAATAGGTGTAATTCATATTGTTTACCAAGTCAAATAGTGGAATTATGGCACACAAACATTGGTGATACGAGTCCCTTGAATCATCACATATTACCATTTAGTATCCCGCATGGATACTCGACACATTTGGTAGTCATACATTGTATGGTCACCAAGTTTGAACCCACATTCATGTATTGTGTTGGACTGTCAATATTGTCAATACAACTCTGTACACACATTTGTTGTATTCTGAATCACGGATACGATTGCAATCTAGTTCAACAACAATCATGACACATGTCAGTAATGCAACTGTTGTTTGCATGCCAATCACCACCAACAACACCACTTTATTGTCAATCAGTCCATGACACTGACTGTTTATTACACACCAACACTGTTAGTATTCCGTTTACATGACTAGACTGCAAGTTGTCGTATTCGTTTGTGTAGATTTGAAATTGTTAGTAATCGAGTTTTGACATTCAATTCGTGCTGTTTTTGTATATTTTTGTATATTGCTGGACATTCAACTCAACGTCTTGTTCCAAAGTAGACATGTGTTTGATGTCATGTTTGTATAATCGAAACAGGAATCCAGTTTGCCAAGTAAATGCTGCAAGACTCTTGACAATCAGTCATGTACAGTATTGAGTCGGATGTTCATACTATTGATAGCATGACAATTGACAGTTCAAGAGTTATGTTGAAGCTTTTCTAATCATTGGCAATACTTTGAGTTTGCATATTGAAAGTATTACAGTTGGTATAAAGTATTGATACTGCTGATATGACCATCAATCCATACTGCATTGAACAGGACTGCAACACAGTGTCATATCACTAGATCAAGTGTTGAGGCAGCCGTTTGAAGGATTTTACCACTAATATTTGACCAGCTGTTGTGTGGATAAACCGTTACTCTATACTGACCGTAACTTGAAACTGACTGACTATGCCAATCGATCTTGACATATTCTTTAGTATATGGGTCAGGGTTAGCAGTCCTTGACTATGAGTCCTGTTTCATTCAATGGCTGAAGAGTTGTGCATAAAAGAGTTTACACATGAGTATTTGTGCTACATATACCTAAATGGCGGTCGAGTTGTTGCTGCATAAGCTCATATAACCCTTATGTCTTGATTATATATTTAATCGCTATAAAAGTATGGTTCATATCCACAACTGGCTCATTCATTACCAAGAATTGTCCTACTAATTGACAAGCTTTATCACATCCATTCTCGTCAACAGGATGAAATTCATATCGACTATTGTGTTGTCACTGTTGTCGGTGACAGTCAGTGCGATAGTCATTGATCGTCCGTCTATCAGCAAATCAGAACCTGTAAAAGAATGTTCAACACACATGCAGCAACACGCTGGTATTTGCGCTTCAACTGGAACAGAGCAACAATCAACTGGAACCAATCATGATGTAGCTCAGTCGACTGTAGATTCCGATGATTCAGACAGTTCTGTTGAACAGTCCGATGAATCATCGTCATCCTCTTAGTCCAAACAGTCAGATGATGATATATTTGGCAACACACTATACGACGACGTCTGTCATCTTCCTAAAAAATATATCCCAGAGAATGAACGGCCCATTCTCACACCTCAGCAAAAACTGGATAGAGTCGAAAAAATAATGAAGAATATGGGTATGGAAATTCCAACTGATGTTGGAGACGGATATCCGCACAAGATGAGCACCAAGGCAAAGGAAAGAATACTAGAAACTAAACGAAGAGGGTATGGGCGTAGAATGAGCTCATCTGATAAAAAGAAATTCAGGAAACTGAGACTAGGAAGATTATGGGTGTGTCGCAAGTTGGCTCTTGAACCTCCTGAAGAAACATCAATCAGAGTTGTATCTGAACCTACTCCAGAATTAAAATCCATCTTGAAACCCGGATCTACTTTTAAACCCCACGGCTCAAAACACGATCATTCTAAAAAACATCATCAGAAATCAAGTCACGATGCTGGTTCAAGGGAAGCTAAAGTGCACTTTGTACCAACGACTAAAATTGCTAGATATTCAAGTGAATCTAGTGTACTGCAAGAATATGATATTCAACTTCCTTCATCACGTTCAAAGTTTAATAGATTCAAACGACAGATGCTGAGATTCATTGGATATAGAAGGCATACTTGAACATTTCTACGCAAACCACCAGAACTAAAAGTGTATAGTAAATCAATGTTTGGACACTAGACTGTTTGGTAATCCAATTTCATTGTAAAACTGGAATCACGCTATCAACAACCTTGTTTAGAATATGTTGTACTGCAGTGTGTATTGTATGATTTATACTGTCAATTTGCATTTGTCATGTAAGCATTCAGTCATGTTTGTCCAATAAACACCTTGCATTATCACCACCATTCCCGATGTAGTAGTATGCTTGAATTGATCATATTGCACCAATCAGCTACTGTGCACTGAATGTATCAGATGGTGTCATGAAATGGTGGATAATATTCATAATTGAAGTATTGGCAGTCAGTGATTGCATAATCAATTGTATACCGCTGATCACTTTGTTGGTGACCAGTATCACATGTGGTCAATATCAATATGTTGCACAACAGTCATTTAAACAGGTTGGAGCATGCCACATTGTAGCAATGCAATCAAATTGGTACAACACATGTCAACATACATGTAGTGTAGTGTAGTATACACTAGTAGTGATGATTCAACCAATGACATGCGTGGTTGTAATATTATACGTGAAACCACATACTCATGTCCATGTCTATGATTATGGGGACATACAGCGTTACAATGATGGGTCAGCAACAATGTAATGTAACTGAATGTGTAATACCAAAACCATGTCCAGAATACGTGATATAACAACAACTTGCAGCAATATTGATGTAAATGGACCACTAAATAACAGTGTTGGTGTGTAATAAACAGTTGCATTACTGACATGTGTTATGATTGTTGTTGAACTAGATTGCAATCGTATTCGAGATTCAGAATACAACAAATGAGTGTACAGAGTTGTATTGCAACATCGACAGTCAAACACAATACATGAATGTGGGTTCAAACTTGGTGATCGTGCAATGTATGATTACTAAGAGTGTACAATGTGTAGATTCAACATTATAGTATGATTGTGTGTCATATGATGGTTGTTGTATATCAAACACACAATACAGTCAATGTGTAGTAACCATTGTATATTGCAATGCAGAATACAAACATTGTTGGATGAATATCAAAGTGATCTATTTGACATGAATATGGTTGTAAAACAAAGCGTTTGCGGTTAAACAACACTATTGAAGGGTGTGCTTTTCAACATACCTGATCAAAGGGTCGTAAAAGCATAATCCAATCGACATGATCATCAAATTGATCAATATGATATTGTGGATAGGAAGCATCATACTATGGTTTGATATTGGCTCACTACAAGCAATCAAGTAACCCTGTATAACTGGTTAACCTAAAAGGGTTGGTTTGCTATACAAAACATACAAATACAATCGAGTGTGTACAGTCTTATAATCGACACCAGTTTCAACACTACTTTTGTATTAATTGTTTAAACCCATTGACCAGTCTGATGAAATTGGTTGATATTTTACTTGTACTGACTGCAGCAGCAACCACTAATGCAATATTGATATCGGCTGATAACAATGATTCACCACAAGCATCAAGCACTTCGAGTCAAGTGTCTGGTCCAACCAATGAACCCAATTTAGACACTTTCGATCAAAAATGGCAAGACATAATGGATGAGCTTGATTTAAACATTTTCAGTCAAGATCAACAACAACCAATGGATGTAGTTGATTCAAGTACTTCTAGTCAAGATCAGCAACAACCAATGAATCAATTCAATCCAAACACTTCTAATGAATATTGGAAATCCATAATGAATGAAATCAGTTTAACCACTCCAAAAGACTGGCAAGAAATAATTGATGCAGTCACTTTACAAAACTCCAAAGAATACTGGCAACAGCCAATGGATCAATCCAATCCAAGTACTTTTGGCCAAAACCAGCAACAATCAACGGATACAATTGATTCAAGCATTGCCAACGAATACTGGCAAGAATTGTTTGATGTAGCTAATCCAAGCACTTCCAGTCAAGTTTCTGACCCAACTAATGAGCCTAATCCAGATATTTCCGATCAAGACCAACAACAACCAGCTAATGAACCCAGTTTAGGTATTCCTGACCAAACTCAGCAACACTCGATTGATCAGCCGAGTCCAAGCACTCCAAAACGAGGCCGGAAACGACGAATTGGTCAACCCAGTTCAAGCACTTCCAGTCAAGCCCAGCAACAACCAATTGACCAAAACCAGTCTGCTAATACTGGTTTTATTCAAGTGGCTGAATTAAGCCAAAGACATCAAAAAACCTTTAATCGTATAAAGCAAAGATTTGAATTGTCTAAAGAAATACGAAAGAAAAAGCGCAAGGAATATCGTGAATATGCAGCCCTCGAAATCAATCAACGGTTAGCGTTAGCAATGGGGAGAGAAATAACTGAACCAAGATACGATCCAAAGGTTGAAGAGCGATTAAAAAAAGAGTGTAAAAGGACAAACAAAAGAGCGAGCAATTTAAGACAACAATTAAAAAGATTTATGAAAAGGTATGGTTTGAAATTCGAAGAACCGGAGTTGGATTTTTGATTTTAAATAAATTTAAGCTTTCTGTTGTATTGATATTTATCGAATACTGTGAATAAGTCAACAATCATATCATTGATTGTATATTGTGTTTGGTATTACTTCAACAGTTATTGGATTGTTGATTGATACATTGACATGGCTTGTTCCATATACATCAATAACCTGATAACAACCAGTGTTGATTGTAACTATCAGACATACTTGCAATCACTTGTCAGTTGCATGATATTGTGAGACATTGGTAGTGTATGTCCCTTGTAATGTGAGAATGTTGGAATGTGAAATCTGTTGACTTGCATTGTATGTGAATGTGAGACATTAGTAGTGTGTGATCGCAGGCATTTCTGAATAGTTTATCCAACACATGGAAGATTTGAAACTGTTAACAACGGATGCTCAACTATACAAGGCTGAACAAATATGGGACAGACTGCTTGTATTGCTATTAAAGTTGAGAAAACAGAATCACAGTAAGTTTAATAGCCATTGTATTATTGATGAATTCAAACTGTTGCTGACTTTGTGTTGGTTTGAAATGGCATGATATATATATGTAGTGCATCGTTTACAGAGTATTGAACTGCAAGATATCATAACCAAGTATTTGGAGTATAATCGACCCAGTTTACAGGTATTCATATATTGTAACAATAATGGATTGTTGTTCATGACTAAAATAATCAACATGTGTTGTGTAGATCAAAGTAATGGAATTTACTACAGTGTTTTTGGGTATTTTATACAGTGATTATCGGTTCAAAATATCACATCGACTAAACAGCCAACTTGCACAACTCATGCAATCATCAAACCGTCAAGTCAAATTGATGGCAAGTCATGATTCACATCGATCAAATGATTGAAATTCAACTCATCTAGTGTCAATATGCATATAGGCGATAAACGCATATACACAGTTGTACAAATATAAACGCTGGAGTCAAGAGGATCAATTTGACATCAAGCTTATGGCTGATATTATTGCTCACGATTCCGATCAAGAAATGCTCACATTGGCAATTGACCTGTTTTTGAAAGTTTGCCATGATATTGACGATGAAAATGTATGTTTACAATGATACAATATTGGATCAGTTTGGACAGTGTCTTGTCATGTCTTGTTGATTTGGTTGTACACTTGACATTGAACAATATCATTAGTTTGGCATTGTGGTATCAAGACTCGTTTCACGACTGGAATCATCCAGTGGTTCAGTTGCTGTTGGTTTCATCGAAAATCTTGAAACCATGTATTGGAAGATTCATCGTCATGACCCAGTAAAAGCAGCGGAATGTGGCATCATTCCAGCACTGGTCAATACGCTCAGGTATGTGGTGCTATGCATGAATGTGTGTCCAGTCATCACAATTGGTAAATTTGACATGGTTGGATTGATATGACATGAATACAGGAGTGTCGATCAAGCAGTGATTGATCAAAGTATTGATACTATTCAGAGTTTTTGCAAACATGCAGATTGTGAAGTGATTTCAGCCGAGTTTATAAGGTCGGGTTTGATTCAAACATTGAACGACTTGTATATCAGATACAGCGACAACTCTGGGCTAAAAACACGCATAATCAAGATGGCTGGAACAGTTGCATCCAAAATGCGGGACTTTCCTGTATCGCTTGTACGATCGTTGATTTTTGAGCAATTGACGATATCGATGTGTGATGTCGATATGAATGATCCTTTGCGTCTGTTTAATAATGTCAACGACATGATTCAGAAATCTACAAACAAGGCCGAGATGATCAAGGTGTTTCAAGATTATGGAATTGTAAAGCAACTCAACACTATTTATTCACGTACAGATATACGTTTGTGTGATTATGATAGTGGTGACACTAGTATTGTAAAACTACTCAAAACACTTGTTGATCTTGCCGACAATCATCCCGACAGTTCAATACGTACCGAGTTGGATCAAGGCAGGATATTTGAAAATCTAATGGCTATTGTAAAATCGAATACTACTGATCACAGAAACAAAAGGATTGCTGGCCAGATCATTAAAACGTGTTTCCAGCATCGGGTTCATGTTGCTAATTCGGACATTTGGCCATACAACGACAATGCCGAAATTGATATGAAATCTGGAATGGCCGGAGATACACATGGAGATGCACGCACACTTGTCGAAATGCAATATATCCAGTATCTGCAATGTATACTTTGCAAACCCATGTGGTGGATCGATATCACAAACCAGCATATTGTGGAGCAATGGAGGGCCGACTCACTCGATCGGAATATATCACCATCAACATTTAATCTTGCATTGGAACAACTCGGAGTAGTATATAAATAACACCGAATAATACCGTTTTATTTGAATGAGATTTACAAAGAGCAACAGATAATGTCGGGTTTCTTGGATAAAATTATCCACTAAATTACTCGAAATTCTACCTGTAAATAAAATTTGGTATTAAAAGGTTTCGTGACTGCCATTTTCTTTTACCAAATGAATCCAATCGACCTTTCTATCACCTGTCCTGGAGTTGACTTTACAGTCACATACCAGCCACACGATACTTTATTCTCTATTGGTGACTATGTCATAAAGTATTTACAAAAAACTTTTGACATCATCAAGTCATCCCCCAATATCGAGAATAGCACTATTGTGTACTTTGTCAGAGCTGGAATCAAGGACCATCACTTGCCTTATACACAAGATTTTCTTATTGAAAATCTCAAGTGCACTGTCGTGGAAGCCAAAGACTACCTTCTTGCTCAGTCATCCTTCCTTGCAGTCACTTTCAAACCCCTTGAATACAAAACTCTTGGTCCTTGTGACTTTGTTCCGTTTGTGGTTGATTCTCAAACAAAGCTTCGAACTGGAGGTTACGGAGTGATTGAGAAAGTCTTTGAAGGAAGCGATTCATTCGCTAGAAAGACTATTCGAGATGGCTATGACACTGAGAAGATTATGATGGAACTCAAGATTCTTCGATTGGCTACTGAAACTGAAAATCCTCACCTTCTTCGCCTTCGATGCGCCTACAAGCAGGATAGTCAAACGTGTCTCATAACGTATCCCTGGTGTGAATTTGATTTACGTACATTCTTGGATGGCTCAAGTGAAATGGAATTCTGGGTTAAGCTGCAGCCAAAAGACAAATTGATTCTCATTACTGATTGGATGGCTTGCTTGGCTTCAGGATTGTCTGCACTTCACAAAAAGAAAATCAAACATCAAGATTTGAAGCCAGAAAATGTCTTGTTGTGTTTGTTGGACGACAGAATGATGCCAGTTATTTGTGATTTTGGATTATCAAAAGCCTTTGCAAAGGATTTCAAATCTGTCAAGTTTCAGGGTACTCGTGAATACTTTCCTCCAGAACAGTTTACTGGTAAAGTCGGTCGAAAGGGTGATTTGTTCTCTCTTGGTCTCATCTTTGTTGAGCTTGGACTTCTTCTCTTTGGTCAAAAAAGTTTGAAGCATCAAATTAGCTCGGGTTTCTACACGGATATCACAAAGAACTTGGACAAATTCTTGACAGACAAGTTTCCCTGCTCTGGCGCTCCCTTTTTCCTTGATTGGCGCACAAATTTCTGCAAACTACTCAAGGTTATGCTGAATGAAACCCCCGCTAATCGTCCAAAAGCATCAGAGGTTTGGGAATGCTTGAAAGAAATGGTTGAATCTCTTGGAGCCAAACCTCATTGTGAAAATGTCTCCCCTGTTGAATCAAACCCTAATGTAGACGATGAAACCGAGGATGTCGAGATTATGCTCAGAGAAAATATTGCTTCTATGATTGATAAATTAACTTGAGCTTCTTTGTCAATGATACTGTAATAAAAGAAAGCGTTTATAATGAGATGAGTTTTTGATTGTCAGTTCTTTGTACTTGATATATTATAAGTAATTCGAGTCAAGGAGATTATTACAACTGTAATGTCTGAACAACTGACTGTCTGGACAACAGTAACTATTTCCAGTGATGCTGATTTGTAAACACTCGAATTATTCAACAACACTCTATCAATGCATTTGCAAGAGTCATTGGACGTATCCGTTGTTTGAAAGTTGATTCTCATACATTCAGAAGTGGGAGTTATGAAGCTTATTTCTATGCAGACACGATCAATGTATTACTTTTTGTTGGATAGGCTGTATCATCTGTCATCAATTCAGACACACTTGTCAGTCCTGTTCCGTATACAATGAGTCACATATGGACACCAATGCAACAATCAAGAATCAAGAGTCAATTGTCATTTACAAGTCTGAATTGCCAACCAACAATCGTACTAATGGACCAACGGACCAATGCCAAAACACCTGCACATCAGACAGTTTATTGGACATGACTTGATTGTTCTTGAAAACTGATTGATGACTGCTTGATGACTCGAGTAATCCAATCACACATTGCAAGCAATTAAATGGAACTATACAATGTGTCATGTATACATTGGATACCATCAGTTTATCAGTGACTATCCGGTGTTTGTTTATGCATAATTACTTGGACTACTATTTGAAATCAACACAATCACTGGTGTCAATGACTGATAACAATAAAACCAAACGATTGACTACATCAGATTATGCACGCTCATTCTGGAATGCAACTTTGCATCGATATCGTAAATATCAACCAGAATCCGAGCCAAACGAATCAAGCGAGTGTCGCAAGCTTGCATTCATTTGAAAATACTCGATATCAGGCTAAAGTTGCATGTGAAATGGTCATTTGTACAAGGTTAAACAACATCGACATTTACAATCAATGTGATGTTGGAACAGAGCTGCTATTTCCGAATTTAAAAGTCCAAATTGTACACATTGTTATCAAGTCTAATTTACACCCTTCATGGCATGTCATACCATGTCATGCTTGATAGTTTCATATACTGCTGCAAGAGTTGTATTGTGTGTATTTCGAGTATTTCCATCACTCCATCACACTGTATTGGCTCAAACAACTCGAACCGATTGTCATAATCTGACATGATTCCAAAATAATTGCAATCGGTTATATTTGACATGATCGGATCATTGTAAACCATTGATTTCAGTAATTCAAGATTAAACAAGCCAATGTTACTTTTTCCAAATTTGAATCAGCATGTTGTTGTAATATCGTCAATATTGTGAGCAACTCTGAGCAGACACTTGGACATTCAGTATCAAGTGATATTGGATACTTTCAAATATGTATCCGGTGATAAATGAGCGGTGATGTGTTTGAAATCAATTTACCATTACAAACCATTGTGTATTTGCCAATACACTTGATGGTATCAATGACCACTAATGGATTCAACTTGCATTCCGAATGAGCCATCATGTGGTAACCCAATTGTTTAGTATTGGTTGTTATTTGATAATGTCACATTTTGTGTCCTGCCATGAGATTGATTTCATCTGAACATTTGACAACCGTGCAAGAAACATTGATTGAATTCGTACAGTTTCATATGCAAGTGCATCAGTAGTGTATCGACCAACGAGACCAATTTTGTTGGTTGATACTCACTGATACTCACTGATAACTTGATGAAAATGTGTCAAACTATGACTTTTATGACAACACTGTACAAACTGTACGAGTTTAAAAGATTATTGGTGAATATTGTCCAATTTGATTGTTGACTGCAATTATTTTGGTTGGTTCGAGTTTCATTCTTTTGTCAAAAAACATCAAATGAATATTGAAACAACAAAGACAGCAACAACACAACTGTTGAATGAATATTACCAAATCAGCACTCAAGCCATACCAACACAGAGAGTCAAGTCTGAATGGCAGGATGACAACAAGCGAGGTTTGTTTTTGGGAATCATCCAAGAGGGAGAAACCTCACACATCACTCGACTGCACAACCTGCTGACTGCCAACCAATTTGCAGAGCAGCAGGAATTCTCAACCAAGATCCAGTTGGCAGACCCAGAACATCATTGTACATTCATTGATGACATGTTTGGGTATTACATACTGCCATTCCACAAAGACTACAACGATTCATCCAGCTGTCACTCCAGTTTCATCAAATCCAACATCAAGAACCAACTCTGATGATCTGGACTATGTTGCAAAAGTGAGTGAGCTACAGCACAAGGACTTGAACAAGGTGGTTGAAAAGAGAGACAGTGTCTGCTTGTTTTGCTGGAATAAGTTGTCCTTGCAAGGAGCACACATCATATCACAAAAGAACATTGGAATGGCATACAACGAACCATCCATCTTGCTACGAGCTGGTTTGACACAGAAACATCAAATACAGAACGGACTGTTGTTGTGTATCAAGTGCCATGACCAATTTGGTAAGCTAAAGCAATATGTGGATGTAGTGGATGACAAACTGGTGATCAAAGTGATCAATGAGACGAATGATCTGACAAGTGACAAGCACAAGAAGTGGATTGAGACAATTGAAGATTTGAAAGTTATCCACAGAACAAGGCAAAAGAGATAAACTGACAATCGACAAACAGTCGAATTCAACAGTGAAATGACATTGTATTTCATTCACAACAATCTCACTCGACTACCAAACAGGAACGCACTAGAGTTCCACAAGACAGCATGTCTCATTTGGTGTATGACTGGTGGTGCGGAGTTTGATGATGAATATTGTCCATATGATGATGATGGCTGCACTCCTGTGGATTACCAGAGTAAGAATATCGAGAAATGGATGGAATCGAGTGCTACTTTGATTATTGAAATACTCGATAAAACTGTGTATTCATTACAAGAGACTGGTTTCTGTTACAGTAATAGTTGTCATTGTAGTGAGTGTGAATACCAACAGTTGATGTTGACACCTTTGAATTCAAGCAATAATGAAAGCAACTCAAATGTCTCTTTCCATTGCAGTGAGACAGTTTGTCAACCAACAATGTCTCATCAATTGATGACACATTCAGATTCCAGTAATGATGATGTTGCTACCAATGATCGTGGAACTGATAGTGCAGTCTTTTTACACTGTGGTGGGACAACTCGGTATCATGTCAATCATGTCCATCGTTGTGGAAATCACTTGTTAATCTACTCTGAATGAACAACTTTCTTTCAATCTGTGTATCGACTGTATCGATTGTATCGTCCAACATCAAACATTATGTCAATCAATAATAGTCAAAATACAATATTATATTTTCTGTACGATTATTATAAATCACAATCAATGAAATCCATGAAATCCATGTAAGCTACCAACTCCATCAAAACACTCACTTGCTCCATTTGCCATGAAGTTGTTACAACACTTTTGATTCAATGTCAGGATGCCAATCACTTTGTATATCCTGTATATCTTGAACCCAGTGGAACTGTCCGATTTGTAGGACTGTCCGAGTTTTACACAACATGATGCTGGAAAGAACCATCAAATCACAAATGATTAATTGTGAGCATGATAATTGTAAAGCATCAGTATTTCTGTAGACAAAACACAATCATGACAAGAATTGCAAATCCAGAACAACAGGATGTGACTATTGTACATAACTTGCATCAAAACCTTGTTTGAAGACTTGTTTCAAAACTGGATGTAATGTATTCTGGGTTGACGGAAATGAATATTCAAAATCGTTGACCAATTGCATGAAAACAGGAATCACAATCAGAATTGAAATTGGACACATTAAAGTCATTTGCCATCATATCCCATGGCCAGATACCAGTATTCAAAATAGGAAATAGTCAATGGTTATTGAAAATAATCAATATTTGCCAAAATCCAAACAATACAATCATGATAACTTACTGGCTACCTCAAATCAGCAAATCGTTTGAAAATAATACCACAATAACTATCAAACATACTTTGAATGTAATTGATGATTCACCAACAATACCACTGTATGCGGTAGATTTGAAATATCAGATACAACAAGTCAAGTGTCGACATGGCAAACGATGAACTGGATGTGTTTTTCCAGCATTGCTTGACCCAAGAAATGGTGCTGGGTTCCATCAAGATTACGGATTCATAGTATGATATATTCAACATATTTGGCGTCTACATCGGCACTCATTACCATTTGATACAATTTATGCTGTAATGTGTGCTGTTTTTCCATCACTTTACCAAGAACATCTAAATCGCTAAATACATGATGAGCCATTCGGTCTACATTGATCTGAGCGTCCGTTACAGTGTGATGATGACTTTTGATCAAAGTACTAAGCCAGAATGTAAAATATACATACAATCCAATGTATCGTAGTAACTCTCGTTCAGCAACTCATTGATTCAATGATAAAGTAGCTTGTATTGATTTTGAATGATACTTTTCATCAAGGAATTGAATGTTTGATTTCAAGAGTTTGTTGGGATCCACTTTGATTGGGTTGTCCAACTTGAGCATATATCGAGATATGATTTCATAAGTAATAGGTTCAATATCATTGCACACATAGTGGATTGCTACTTTTACAAGATGGTTGGTTAGATTTCGTTCAACAACATGATACTTTTGACCGTTTTTAGGTTTGATGAAGACCGAGTTCACGACCAAAGTTTGTAGATACTTGGATCTTAAGGATGTGCTTGTGATGTGTAATGTCATTGAGGTGGTTTTGAATAAACCCAAGAAAATACATTTTGGAATGGTATCAACAAACAATTGGGTTGGATTTATTTTCTATTATTATTTAAACTCGTTGAAAATGTTGGAAACCTGTTGGAAACCTGTTACAAAGTAATTCTGATTTGGACGAAAATAGTGGTTTAATTGGCTCACACAGAGTCCATTACGAGATGCTCGGATTACATTTTGTCGTTGATTTATTGTTGCCATTAGGAAACCCCAATAACAATACCATGAAAATGATTGGATCAACGGTGAATATTGATGTTAAACTCGTCAAAGTCAAACTGCGGTTTACAAAACGTATCCAAGGATTCAGGAGTCGAGTTGAAGCAACAAAGGCGTACAAGCAACTGATTCAACTACAAATAGAGCATTGGAACCAAGCAAGCAAGTTAAAGCGACAGTTTAATAGACATATCAACAAACATCCTTTCCACCCAAAATACAATGCAATACAATACAGTGCAAGACACATGTTCACCAATGTGGAGGAGTTGATGCAAAATATACCGGAAAATCACCAATCAAAACCTTGGATATTGGCTTGATATTCAATTTGGGTATATGCTGCAAAATGTAGATACTGAAAAAACAATTCAATTTAATATTTCAGATAATACATTATTGTTTAATGGTAACAATCAATCCATGATTAATACGGATATTGACATTATTTTGGATCTGATTGACGGAAATGATATTATTGAACGCATGAAACGTCATAATTCAAAGTATATTGTTGAAAGTATCTATGAATATGCCATTTTGCAAGTAACACTGGTTGTTATCAGGTCATTGTATATGAAACAAACCATGTCAATGTATCAATCAACAACCCAGTAACTGTTGATGTAATACCCAACGCAGTATACAATCAATGATATGGTTGTTGATCCATTCACAATACTCGACAAATATCAACATATCAGAAAGTTTAAATTTATTCAAAATCAAAATCATCGACAAACCATCAATCTGAATCTGAATCTGATTCCAGCTCTTCAAATTCTAAACCACGTCTTTTCATAAACCTTTTCAATTCTTGTCTGGCACTGTATATTTTTCTCCTTGCCATTATATACTCTTGTTTCAATCGCTTTTCAGTTTCCGGATTGTGCCTTGGTTCAGATATTTCTTCTCCCATTGCTAATACTAGCTTGTGTTCCAATCCAATGATTGCACATACACGATATTCTTCGTGTTTTTCTTTTACAATCTTTTTAGACAACTCAAGCCTCTTCTTTATACGATTAAATCTTCTCTGATCCTGTTCGTTTAATACAGTCACTTGATTTGGAACAGTATTGCCCGACTCGCCTTGTTCCATTGGTTGTTGTTGGTGTTGACCGGAAGTGCTTGGAACAGTTACATCTATTGGCCGTTTTCGACTTCGTTTTGGAGTGCCTGAACTGCTCTGATCAGCTGGCCGTTTTCGACTTCGTTTTGGAGTACCTGAACTGCTCTGATCAGCTGGCCGTTTTCGACTTCGTTTTGGAGTGCCTGAACTGCTCTGATCAGCTGGCCGTTTCCGACTTCGTTTTGGAGTGCCTGAACTGCTCTGATCAGCTGGCCGTTTTCGACTTCGTTTTGGAGTGCTTGGACTGGGCTCATCAATCGGCTGTTGCTGGTCTTGGTTGGGAATATTTAAATCAGTTGCATCCATTAGGTGTTGCTGAGTTTGGTTGGGAATACTTGAACTGGGTTGATCAGCTGGTTGTTGTTGGTATTTGTCAAAAGTGTTTGGACCGACTTGATCAATTGGGTCAGAAACTTGACTGGGAGTATTTAAACCAGCTATATCAAACAGTTCTTTCCAGTCTTCAAAAGTGTTTGAATTGACTTCATCTATTAGGTGTTGCCAGTCTTTGTCAGGGATGTATAAACCGGGTCCATCAACTGATTGTTTCCGACTTTGTTTGGAAGCACTCGGACCGGGTTGATTCATCGATTGTTGTTGGTCTTGTTTGGAAATACTTGAACCGGGTTCATCAATTGGCCGTTTTCGACCTCGCTTGGGAGTGCTCGGACTGTGTTGATCCATTGGTTGATGCCAGTCTTTAGGAATATTTGAATCGGGTCTATCAGCTGTACCAGATACTTGGCTGGAAGTACTTGGACTGGGTTGATCTACTATATTTTGCCAGTCTTTATTGGAAGTGTTTGGATCAATCGGATCAAATAGGTATTTCCAGTCTTCATCAAGAATGCTTAAATTAACTGCATCCATCATTTCTTGCCAGTCTTTGTCGGAAGTGCCTGTATTAGGTTCATTGGTTGGGCCAGACACTTGACTGGAAGTGCCTGATGCTTGGAGTGAGCCATCGTTATCAGTCGGTGTCAATATTGCATTAGCAGTTGCTGCCGCAGTCAGTACAAGTAAAATATCAACCAATCTCATCAGACTGGTCAATAGGTTTAAACAATTAATACAAAAGTAGTGTTGAAACTGATGTCGATTAAAAAACTGTACACACTCGATTGCATTTGTATTTTTATATAGCAAACCAACCCTTATAGGTTAACCGACTATACAGGGTTACTTGATTGCTTGTAGTGAGCAACTATCAAACCATAGTATGCTGCTCCCTAGCCATAATATCATATTGATCAATTTGATGATTGTGTCGATTAAATTATGCTTTTACGACCCTTTGATCAGGTATGTTGAAAAGCACACCCTTCAAGAGTGTTGTATAACCGCAAACGCTTTATTTTACAACCGTATTCATGTCAAATGGTTCACTCCAGTATTCATCCAACAATGTTTGTGTTATGCATTGCAATATACAATGGTTACTACACATTGACTGTATTGTGTGTTTGATATACAACGATCATCATATGACACACAATCATACTATAATGTTGAATCTACACTTTGTGCACATTTGGTAGTCATAGATTGTACAATCACCAAGTTTGAACCCACATTCATGTATTATGTTTGACTGTCAATGTTGTCAATACAACTCTGTACACACATTTGTTGTGTTCATTACCATCCAACCCAATCTCACCATTTCAATCAATCTTGGTCAATGTTGATGATTTACACGCTAATTCATTATTCAATCTTGTCTGACATTATTATTGGCTTTAATCACGTTTGGTTTATACAACTGCCATGAGTTGTACTACCATTATCATTGTGTATCTGATCACCAAGTATTCCAATACATCAATAATACCACAGTGTAAACAGTAATACAGTTGATCAGTATTGTGGCAAGACTTTTCATTCAAATTTGTATTTGGAAATACTCAATACTGAACAAATGATCGATTCTGTTGTACAAACGGGTTATTAGCAGTGAATGGGTAATCAACCAGACTGTTTACAATGTAATCAGACTAAATACATACAATACTACCAATCTATGCAACAAACATGTATCAACCAAAATAACAGACGTTTCTAAAACCAACCCGTGATAAAGGACGAGTTGGGCTGTTATATATATGGTTGCATATCTACCAAACAGATACAGGCCGTACCATTATGCATGATATCACCCTGTTGTGGCTCAGTTATATCCACAACATTGTGTCTAATACACATCCAACCCTCAACGTGCCAGAATAAAATTGAAACCACTTACCAATAGATTCATGGCGCTGTACTAGCGTATACGCTTGGTCTGATGGTGACTAGTTGTATGCCAAACATGAGAGCATCTAGCAACCAACCCTAGATGTTGTGCACATTTGGTGAATACAAGTACAGTTGGATGTCACGGATAGCAACAATCGACATGACAGTGGACACTATTGGACATGTACACTGTAATGTGACTGTCAGCAACCATCACCATCAGTGTGTATCATGTGTTTAAAAAGTACTCGCATGCATTGGATTCAACACCACGTTTGTGATTGGGTTTGTATTGGATTGTATTGGTGGTGTTGTATTGCATATATCAGTAGATTGTGTGTTGATTTGAATGACATGATCATACATTGTGGTTCATGTATACGATGACAATCTGACCTGTTGACACGGCCAGTTTGTTGAACGACCTGTCAATCTCCAATTCAATTATAGTACAACGTCACTCATTTGGTGTAGCAGTGACAGATTGCCGAGTTTGATGTTGATCATGTTGTGACACAATCAGCAGTGTTTGATGTATACAGTCTACATTAACCTAAAATGACTGTGTAGTCATACCAACGGAAGAATCATGGTTTGAAATACTGAAACAGGCTGTTTGATGCTGTTGTGTCCGAGTGATCCAAAACAC